ACGGATGCCGCTCATGATCTGTTTGAGACGACCGACCAGGGCGTCGTCGTCTTTGCGCTCCCACTCCATGAGGTAGAGCATGTAATCGCCCCCATTCGAAGTGAGCCGTTGACCCGTCGGTGCTGGGGAGGATGCATCGAAGTCCAGCGTAGTGCCATCGCCGTTAATGATCAGGGCCTTCTGGGCCGGGACGAAAGTCGGGGCATTCGTTGAGGACGCGTTGTTTCGAAGTGCCCAGGGTCTGTACGCGGTCAGACACCTCGGGCAAGAGTATCGTCCGTGTTGCGAGGCAATCGAGTAGTCCCACGAGATCTGTCGAAGCCAATGGTGATTGTGTATCACCGAAGTGCACTCCTTGGATCGACAGACAAAGTGCTGGTCGATGCTGTCGGAGACTCGAAACAGCTAATCGGTGAGTGGCGCCTCGTTGGTGACCATGCTCCAGAATTCATCGGCGTTCCACTGAGGATCGATGGCTCGAGCGATCGTCGTGACCTCCCATTGGGCGAAGGCTTGGAACACTCGTTGTTTCTGTGACTCGTCGAGCTTAGCGAGGTCCGCAACGAAAATGTCCGTGAGCCGGAGAATTCGTGCTCGGACTTCTCGTCGTACATTCGACTTGGGCTCCCCTGGGCGCTCGCGTTCGATGTCCTCACACATTTGCTTCCACGAAGCGCTTCGCTGTCTCGCGGTCTCCTGTGTGATTCGCTTCCTGACGGAGTTCACCTTTTGACAAATGAGGTACCAGTCGGGGATGCTGATCGTGTCACAGCGAGTCGTGCTCTTGCGGACGAAAGTCGGCTTGCGAACCCATCGGCATTTCGAGATGTCCCAGTAGTTGTCGAAGAAAACTTTGCAGTAGAAACCGTGTGTCCGCTCGATGGCTATGCGCCAACCCGGTGGCTTTGTCTCGTGGTCATCATCGCGGTCATAAAGCCTTCGGCGGTCCATCTGGTTGTAGGGAGTGTCTCGAAGATTGCCGCGTAACCCGACTTTGGCTGGCGAGAGATCGGAGTGCTCCGCGTACCACACAAAGTCCTCGTTGGCCCCTGTCGCGCACTGGTAGCAACATCTGTAGTGTATGTTGCGCCAATCGTCTTCGCCATCGGGGTTGACTGAGAGCAAGTAGTAAGGCGGGAAGAGGAGACCACAGAAAGTGCAATCGAGGGAGCCGTCGTGGAGTTTGTCGGTGTTCGGGGTGCTGAAGTATTTGAGGTACATCTCCACACGATCGACGTCCTTTTTGTGCTGGTCTTCGATCGAAGTCCCATCGCGACTGATGAGCTCGATGGGCATCCCGTTGTCGTCGACTTCCTCGCCGGTCAATTGTCGTCGCCAGATGGTGGCAAGCTCGGCGTCTGAGGAGTTAGGGAACTGTCGACGTAGGGATGCCATCGCGGTCTTCTCGGAAGCTCGCTTAAAAGCGATTATCTCCAGGGCTCCTTGGGTGTTCTGGTCGTCGTAGAGTCTCCGTTGCATCTTGAGAGCACGGCCCGCATCGGTGTCGGGGTCAACACCCTCTAAGTATCGCGCGGCCGGCAGAACAGCCCCGGAGCTACTCCCGGGTGTTTGGGAGAACTGCTCGATTGGATCGGGTACAGTCGTGGGAACCTCGGGAAACTGTTCAATCGGGTCAGTGTCCATCGGGGTCTGACGGTGGCTGGCCATCGCGTCGAGTAGGTCGGGAGGTTCGGGGGTACACGGCAGGACTTGAGAGGTCGAGGTCTACGGAAGCCAAGCAATCTCCAAGGAGAGAGCAGGCCCCACTACAACTAGCAAAGCCTGTTGCAACCGCAAAAGTGATTGTACTGAGCAATTGAGCTTTGCACTTCTTATTATCGTGTGGGCGAGGCAATATCCGAGGTAGATCATCGGGTAGAGTGGGACACGTCGCCGAGGCGGAAGTCCCCCCTTACGCCCGAAGTCACTGTGACACCAGAAACTCCCGTGCGTCGCCGAGGCGGAAACGGGGTAACGATGTGAGACCGATGGGCTTCGGGAATGCCTAGTTGAAGGATCGAGAGTCTTCTCGAAATCGCAGAATGAAGGCCGGCGGCTCAGCGGCGATGATGGGTCGCATTCTCTCGTGTTGAGCGAAAGCACTCCGCATCGCCGGAGAGAGCATGTTCGAAGCGCAAGAGATGATCGCAGATGCTTGCTCCCGGAAGAAAGTCGTCATCGGCTCGAAGTATGGCATCTGTGTCGCGAAAAGGTTGAGGTTGTGGGCTGTATGGCACCACATTCGGAGTCTGTTCATGCGGTCCTCCACCGATGTATGACTCAAGTCGGAGAGGGACGCCGTCATGCTGTGCCATACCATCGAGTAGATCAGTGTAGTTCGGGGCTCCACGAAGTTATTCGGGACACCCAGGAGCAAGACCCTCTCCTGGAGGGTGTCGTCCTGCGGGGTGTGAATCGGGAGATCGATGTACAGCCCAAACTGGGTCAGATAGCTCCCGAAGGTAGGGCATCGAAGAACCTGTTCGAGGTAAATGACGCCGTCATATGTGATTTCCCATGGGGAATCGAAGGAAAAGGAAGAGTATGGGTGGTTGCCCGGGGGGAGCATCGCGACATTGTGTCCGCCCACCGGTGTCATCGCCTGCAAGTTCGGGGACATCATCGGAAAGTTGTCGAAGTGTCTCAAAGTCTGGAAGCCGAAAACGGGCTCGTGTGAAACCGGTGGATTGGAGCGAACATCGTCAATCGATGTCCTGCCCTTGTCCACAACCTGTGTGTCGAGCCACTGTACTCGGAATCTCTCGAGGCAAGACTGTCGTGGTGGCTGAGGCTGCACCGCAACTGGCACACTCGTGTATGGGCTCCGCAGTGATGTCGCGACCGTCGAGGAGGAGGCCGCTCCAGACTGGGTCGTGTTTGGCGTAAAGACTTGTCTCGGGTCTGCTCGAGACAGGTCCACCGCCGGGTGAACCGAGAACCTCGGCGGGACCACTTTGGGCATGGCCTTCGTCTTTGCCCCCACAATGGTCGTGGTAGTCGACGTACCGAAGGCCGGGTTGATCCACTCGGAGTCGCTCGGGGGGTTCACCGCCGGAGCTGTGGCTTGGTCGGTCGGCTGTGTCACCGGAGTACTCGTAGTCGCCGTAATCGGAGGTGTCGACGGAGCTGCAGTCGGGGGTGTCGGCGGCTCCGTAGCGTCGTCGTCCTCGTGCCAAGGATCCGGGGACAGCGGTCGAGTCTGTTGTGAGGTAGTAGTGGGTGTCGGAGTCGGGGCTGGAGTCGAGGTAACAATCTCATCCGCAACTTCGACGATTACCGGTGTGGTGTCGAGCCATCGCTTGGCCGGTGATTGTGATCGTCGAGGGAATCTCGCCGGTGACAATGGTCGTTGTGAACCTCGAGCTGCTCCATCGCCGGGGCGGAAGGCAGCTCGGGTGGAGCGACCGAAGCTGGGGGCGTCGGAGTCGGTGTCCGTGCCCAACTGGAAGAATGGTCGCCGTGGTGTTGAGCTCGTCGGTGCTGTCGAAGGTGCAACCAAGGGAGTCGCAGTCGAAGGAGCCGCCGACGGTGTAGCTGCCGGAGGGAATCGAGGTCCCGAGGTAGGGAAAATATTCCCTCGTGGTGGAGTCGATGGCTGTCCCCATGTTGCTGGGGGTCGAGAGTCGTCACGGGTTCGTCGGGGAGAGCGTCCACGATGAGTGCCCTCCGCCATTTCTTGTCGGAGTCTGGCTGCGGCGTCCGACCTGTCCCATGCTTCGAAATCGGAGTACTTGGAGAAGTTGGTACCGAAGTTGAATTTGCGCATCTCGGTGTGACGGAACGTGGCCATCGTGTCCATGATCCAATCGTTTGCCTGTCCTCTGGTCACCTGCTCAAGGAAAGCACCTCGAGATGAGTAGTGGAAAGGAGGCTCGCCACGTCGTAGTTGTCGTTGCAGTACGACAGCTCGACGCATGGCATCGTCGAAGGTGTGCCCGTGTTGATTCCAACATCTACTGTGGTACTCGCAGCATCCCTGGAACCATTTGTGGCAGATTAGATTGGGTACCACCCATTTCTTGTTAAGGAAATCGGGGTGTAGATGCGCACAGTTTTGCATATTGCAGTTCTTAGTCTCGAGGATTCGGGACAGATGTGTCGTCGAATCGAGGACACAGGTACTCGGGCTTCATCGTGGACTCTTTCGGGGAACTCGTCGAGCATGGAACTCGGCACAGGTGCAGTGATATTCTGCCTCGAACCCTCGCAGAGAAAGTCGAACCAAGAGTCGGATCGAGGAATTGCCATGGCTACGAAGTAGCTAATCCAAATCGATAGAGGTCGTGTTAGAGGGCTTGAGGCGCCCTTCGAAGTTTCTCTTTCGAGCTGTAGATGCAGCGGGTTCGGGATTATGAAGTTCCATGCCGAAATCATCACGAAAAATGTCTGCCAAATGCTGATTATGCAGATCGGTCTCATGTACCAGAAGAGCAGCATCGGTGTCCACTGGAAGGGGTACATGATCGGATTCGGGGTATAGGGAAGCCTCGACGATCTCGAACGGAACCGTGAGTGGCTCCGCGGAGTCGTCGCGATTGGTAATGTGCAGGTACAAAAAGGCCTCGAGATTGGGCGGCTTCAGCAATGTCGCCGCCAGATTGACAATGTCGTTGGCCGTCCGACACTGGGAGATCTGGTCAATAGCCTTTCGAATTTGCCGAGACTGTCGCTTGTTCCAGGATTCCAGGCAGCCCACGTCACATCCTCGGGCTTCTCGATCTGGAAGTCTTCGAGAACTTGCTCGCGGCTGAATTCCTCGAGCGATTCCTTCAAGCTGTCAACGACTGACAGAGAAGCCGTAGTGCTCGAAGTGCTGGCCGCCAGCAGCGGTCGTAATAGAGCTCGAAGTACTGGCCGCCCAGAGCGGCTATGACCGAGGAGTGATCCGAGGGGACTGAAACAAAATTTCTCAAGCTGTAACAGCTTTTCGCCAAAATGGCCACGGAGTATGCAATCGTTCGAATTGAATCGGTGAGTCTATCCCCTGACCGATTCGGTGATCAAGTGAGATGATGAGTTGTCACTTCGCACAAACAAGTGTGTGCTACACTACAACGGAACTCCCTCGCGGGGTCATGAAGATGCTCGCTGTGAAGCCCATCGTGCACTTGGTGTGTTTCCTGAGAGCCGCACTTGAACGCCACAGCGGTGACACCTATCAAATTACTGGCAGAATCCAAGGACTCGTGTTACTTCCAGTCAGAGCAGCCATGACCGGCCCGGCTGCCCGGCCTGCCAGCAAGGAAATCGTCATCGCCCTGCAAAGGCGAAGCACTCGGCCAGGCAAAAAGTGCTGAAGGCGCTATCTTTCACCCTTCCTTTGTCCCACTCAAGCATGTACAGTTAGTTCTCTCAGACTGAAGGGCATGTAGATGCCATGAGGATCGGAAGCGCACCTGGGCCGTTGGTTCGCGAAGTCGGCTCCTTTGCTTCCAAGGATTTCGAGCACCTCGAGCAGCCCAGCAGGCCCAGATGCTTGGGGCTTCTTCCAAGCGCTTCATGCACGTCGCTCCCTTCTCTGCCTGCTTGCGCAAGCTCAGGAAAACCAGCGGGTATGCAGTGACCTGGACAATTCGGCATCCTCAAACCGCTCAGTTTACCCACAGTCTGAGGGCCGAACCAAGGACAGCACAATCGCTGCTCGAGCAAGCAAAGCAAGACCTTCCGGTGAAGCAGGGAAGCTGCCACGGTCTCACACTCAGACTCGTCTCTGCCAGGGTGGTTCATTCAGGCCATCGCTGTCTATGGCGGCGTAGTTGTTGAGGATGAGGCCCATGCAAGAGCTGCCGAATGTTAGGAAGCCTGCTATGACATCTTGTTGCGCGCAGGTCAAACATGTTTGCACCTGTGGCAACTCGGCAAACGACAGATCCTTTGCCTCCCACCATCACCAGGCTGAAAATCAAGCCTTTCAGCAACAAGTGCACAGCACTCCAACTCGAGGCTTCTTCTGTCCGAGTGAGGTCAAGAGAGCCGTGCTGCGTGGAACGTTCAGACCAGGAAGCTGCACAATAGCGTGAGGGATCCAACGCCGTTGAGTCGTGCAAGGTGGATGAGTCTGTGGATGGACGCAGACCAGCCAAATAAAAGTACGACATCCGCGCCACTGATCTAGATTGCCCCTGCTTGTGGTCAAAGTGCGGCAGCGACGCAGAACTTCTGCGCTGACACTTCACTGATGTGGTGTCTGCGGCTAGTGTGTAAAGGGGGCAAAGCGAATGCTGTGAGGTCCAGTGAGGTGTGGTTGCAACAAGTTCATGACAACAGTCCATCTTGCACCCATGACTACGTGCCTGCGGCAACAGCAGCGTCAACAGCAATGGCAGCAGCAGTGGTAGCAGCCGCAGCGGCAGCAGTAGCAGCAGCAGGAGTGGGAGGAGTAGGAGCAATAGGAGGGATGTAGCAGGCGTGGGAGTAGGAGGAGTATGAGTAGTAGAAGTAGGGGTATCAGTCAGAGTAGCAGTAGGAGCAGGAGCAGGAGCGCGGGGCCGGGGGCGGGCGGGAGGGAGCGGGGCGGGAGCGGAAGCAGGAGCCGAGTAGCAGAGCAGTAGCAGCAGCAAGTAGTTGGTAGTAGTAAAAGTAGCAGTAGTAGTAGTAGTAGTAGTAGTAGTAGTAGTAGTAGTAGTAGTAGTAGCAGTAGTAGTAGTAGTAGTAGTAGTAGTAGTAGTAGCAGTAGCAGTAGCAGTAGCAGTAGCAGTAGCAGTGGTAGTGGTAGTGGTAGTAGTAGTAGTAGTAGTAGTAGTAGTAGTAGTAGTAGCAGTAGCAGTAGCACTAGCAGTAGCAGCAGCAGCACGAGAAGGAGTGGAGCAGCAGCAGCTACGAAGAGTCGTGGTCGTAGGTCGCAGGTCGGACGTCGAAGGTCGTGGGTGGTGCGTGGCTGGGCGGGGTTGAGTGGATGAGGGTGGGTGTGGGTCAGTGTAGGTTTGTGTGATCAGGGTGGGTGAGTGGGTAGGTTATAAGGATAGCTTCGAGGCTTAAAGGGCAGGTTCGGCTAGGCTAGGTCGGCTAGGTCGGTTGAGGTCTGGGTGAGGAAGGTAGTTAGGAACCGTGGGTAGTGTCTGGTGTGGTCGTGATTGCTGCTGGCCAAGAGACCTGCTGTGCAGAAACCCAAGACGGACACCACCACGAAGCGCTTGTCCTGGAGCAACACAGATGTGCAAGCAGCATGCAGTTGAGCCCATATAGACAGGCAGCTCTCCTTCTTCCCGGTCTTTGGGTCTGGTGCTAGCTGCTCCAGGAAAAGAGGCGCCTGAAAGAAGAACGGAAATCGTGGAGTCAAATCAAACCTACACTCTTGCAACCTCGCGCTGAGGCCAAGGAGAGCGCATTGTAGTGCGCCAGGAAGGCCGTTGCCAAAATGCTCAACAGGACGCTGAGACCTGCAAGTTACAGAGAAGTGAAAGCGAAACGGAGAAGAAAGCGAGAGCGAGACAGAGACAGGAAGACTCCGGGGAAAGAAAGCCCGGCCAAAGAACCTGGCAACCCTTGCTAACTTCATCTCTCTTACTGAATCCACTTAATCTGCAATGGAGTCCCAGGACTTAATCAGTTCATTCTTTGGTCTGTCGCTTTAGCATTCCGCCATCGCTCGCAAGATAGTCAGCTGACTCTGCACAATCCAGCGCTCATTTCAACTTATCCTCAAAAGATCATGACGGCAAGAAGCATCATTTCTTGCACGAATGTTCCGCGTTCTCCAGGTTTGGGCCGTTGCCGTGCTGCCCACATTCTTAATAGAACTATCATGCTTCTGATGGTTTCGTCCGTTCTGGCCACCGCACGCACGTGCACACGACTTGCACACGATTGGCGAGTGCTCTGGAATTGAAATGGGTCGGTTTTGACTTTGTTTGAACCAGTCTGCTGACGGATGGTCGAGCTATGATAGACCGCGCCTGGACTCAGCACGGTGTGCCACGCGCCCGCTGGCGCAGCGAACCTGTGAGAGCACAGGGCAGTGTGATGGCTTTGGGGATGCGTGAAGGTGAAAGATTGGGTGTAAGGTCCAGACTGTGGCGCAGCGGGTGCTGCAGCCAGCAAGCTCCCCCCCTGGAAGGTCAATGTCTAGGACCCTAGGAACTGCAGCGGACTTGCAAGGGATATTCTGTCGCACTCTGGCTAGGCCTTCTGGTAGGAGTGGTCCAAGCAGCGCAACACCACGAAAGCACAGATGTAGAAGTTGCTGAGCCTTGCTTCGTTTAGAGTTTACGTCGCTCTACAGGTCGGACCTTGCCGGGACTCGCAGGCGGCAGCTTGGGCAGCGGCACACCCAGCAGAGAAAACTTGGCCAGCGGTGCGAACCTGATTTTGCGACCAAATTCCGGATTTAAAGATGTGAGAGGTCTGCAAGGGTCTGGGATCACAACGACTTCATGCTGCAAAGAGGGTACAGTACCTGACGGTGCGCGGGGTGTGGCAATCTGTCCTGCACAATGGTCAATTACCTGAAATTGGGCACCACGATGGTCATCAGCAAGATCACTGCATCGCGGCTGGCGATAACGGCAGGCCTTGCATTGTTGCAGTAGCAGAGACTGGGCAAGGCGAAAGATGGATGGAAAAGCATGATAGTAACATTGCGAGCAGACTGACAACCCTGCGAGCATAGTGTCTTGGGATGGTAAATTGGAAAACACATGCATCTCGCTCAGGCCGCGGCAGGTTCAATGGAGCTAACCTTAGTCTGAGACTGTTCATCATTGCCCTTGAAATGATTGAAGTGTGTTAACGTACTCAAGGCAGAGCTGATAAGAAGCGTGTCGTCAGCTTTGCTTTGACGGCTTCACGTCGTGGAGACGGGAGAGAGGGCTGTACTTCGAATGGACAGGCTTCGCACGGCATAAGGAGATCACGGTCAGTCTGCGGCTACTCTGACAACATTAGGCTTGGCCGCACTGGGGATTCAGGGCTCTTGGATAGCTGCAGGATCTCTGAGGACATGCGACGGAAGATCTGCGACACCTTGCAACCGCAAAAAAGACGAGTGCAGACATGCCGCATCAAGGAGATGCAGTCACCCAGAATCATGGAGAAGGCGATGCATCCGATGGCAGCCTGCGGGTGTGCAGCGAGTACCCCACGAATCCTCCGTGCAATGTATCATCCGATAACTAACCTGACATGTCTTTACAGCTCTTGAAATGTGAACCATCTATGGCTCTCGCGATTTCCTCGTGATTTGGCAAGGAGCTTCATGCATGAGCCGCAGCGGGATGATCACACCGTTTCCCCCACGAAGTCGGGATTGTCAGATTCTCGGTATAGCACAAATGTGGCTCTAATGAAGGCCTTGATGACGTGTCCTTGCGAAAGCTGCGCTCGTCTGAAAACCGAAAGTGCAGGATTGGGGACCAAAACCAGCCCAACACGATCGACAACAGCGAGGCGGTTTTGCATCGCTGGAGTCGGACAAGAGCAACGTTCGGATTCAAGCGGCGGTGCCTTGTTTTGAGTTTTTCGGCTCGGGGAGAGCTCCCTTGAAAATCGAGAAACTCCGGTGGCCAGACCCTTACCTTGGCACCGAGGCCCAAATTGCTGCAGACAGCAATGAATATCTCGGAAGCTATCCACACACTGACTCGGTAGACTCATCGGATATAGTAATCTAGCGGGACACGCACAGGATTTTGCGAACCGTGACAGTCGGCAAGTTCGAGCAGAAAGCCTTGACGACACAACCTTTACGGTATGTCTGGTAGTGCTGACAGGCTTTCTATCCGCTTCGTTCTGAAATTCCCGAGCCTTCGCAAGGCAGGCGACTGCAGGCAGGAGCTTCGTGCTCTCGGAAACGCTCCGGGCCCAGACCCTGAACCGACTCTGCGGTGCACCATGCTTCTCCCCCACACCGCCCGGCTCAGCTTCTTGGCCTGGTGTAGGTGCTCTCACCTGTTGCCTCGCATGCCTGTGCGATCAAGACCTCAGAGGCGGTGCAGGACCGGAATCAGAGGTGAGAACTATGCACCGTGAAAGCTCAGAGTGCAGCAAAGCCGTAGGCACCTCGGTGACAACTACGTCTCTTGCAATTGCCCTGCAAAACTAGGTTCGTGATGAACTCCGAAGCACTAAAACAAAGGTTTTTGTCCGCTCTCCCCTCGGCCTCACCCATGCTATATTTCTCACACGAACCCAGCTGCCCTGTTGGCCTGCAGTGCGGGAGCTCAGCAGTGTTGAGTTCGACACTGAATACCGCGGCAAGGAAAGTGAGAATCAGCGACGGTGCCACGGCCTCTGCCAAGCTGCGTCAAAGGATATGTGAAATTGAGCTGATGTCAAGGACCATGTCATCCGATGCTGTTGAAGTTGTTCGGTCCCCTGGCCTGCGGGCTTGCACTCACAGCTGCCACCTGAGAGAAGCACTATTTACATTTGGATTCATTATGATTCATTGCAGCCTTGGTACAGCAGTGGCGATTGAGCCCTGAGACTTTCGCGCCATGGGGAAGGGACAGCATGCCAGCGCCAACAATGTTCTTGACCAGATTGACCTGAGTCTTGCTGAATTAAGGTGGTTTCTGTTCTGTCTTGTTTCGCCGAACCGTGCTCTTGGAAGGTGGCTGTGGACTGCGTAACAGAGCTCAGCTTCACCTGAAACTTGCAGAGGTTGCAAACTACACCAGCATAAAGCACTTGCTGAAAACGAGGCACCTCCTGAGGCATTTCCTTCGCCTCCGACTCATCGGTGGAACTTCTGCAAACAGCGCGCGTCATACGCGTCCTGTGAGGCAATGGAAAAGACTGCGAAACAGCTTGAAGCGGCGGGCGATTCACCGTCACACAGTTGAAGCAGTGTTGAAGCACTGGTCCTGCCCGAATGGACAAGCTGATGGCTTCGCTCCTGTGTATAGCACTGCATCCAAGCAAGAGGAGCTCGTGATTGGTGCTGTGAGACTGTGCATAAGCGAGCTACCAACAGCGCGCTGCTGGTGCGAGTACCTGGTGAAAGACGCGAATAGCACTCGACAAAAAGATGCATGCTACGTATACGGGGGCGAACCTGCGTTTCGCCCAGGAGCCGCAAATGTCTGGTCCTGTCCGCACAGAAATCAAAGCAAAATGCCTCTGCGTTGTCAACGCACAGACTACACGATCCACAACGGCCTGCGATACATGCCGGAGAAGTGCCACTAGAAGCAGACATGAGGTACACCTGCACACGACAAGCTGGGTGCTGAAGGGAGCTGGAAGTGTCAGCAGGACAAACGGGGCCACCGCCTTCTGAAGGTCACGCATCCCTGGTTGGCTGAAAATAGAACTACGGCTGGTTGAAAAAACAAGGACATCTAGAATCGAGCAATACTCAACTTCTATTTATCACGATGACTGCTTCAACACTAGATTACTAGATGTACCAGCTCCGTACCCCCTCGAAACGGCAAGAACAGAGCCATCTCACGCCATTTCTGCCACGGAGCCCGCGATCTTGAAGAGGAGCAAGGAGCGTCCCGGGGCATTGCAGTGGTGGCTAGCAGCATGGAATGCTGAAGGCAGAAACTGTTGAAAGGCAGTGGTATCAACAATGGCACTACATCGCATCAGTACTCAGGCTTGGACGGTATACGATGTGGCTACAGCTGAAGGTGCTAATGAAAAAATGATGGACTGGAGGAGGTACTTCACCGGTGGCACTTGCGAGACGGGGCCAGGCAACGCTGCAGCGCCGCTGCCACATCTGGTTGAAGCTTTCAATCTATCGTCCTCACGACGAAGCTGCAGAGCCGCCCCAGAATCTCTGCTCTGATCTTTTCGGATGCAGGCAGCTGGGCATCTGTGGTCTGATCTGAAAGTATCAGCATCCTAAGATGAAACAGGTCAGCGCGTCTTCACGACGCTGCAGAGCCTTCTGCCCGAGCGTCATTCATTCTGCTCTTATCTTTTCGCAACGCAGGCAGCTGGGCATCTGTCGTCTGAGAGATGTTGGGGGAGGGTACCTTCAGTGTGATAGTACCATCTCGAACATCCAACACTGCATTGTCATTGCTGCAGATGAAACCGGTCAGTACGTCGTGTCAACGCTTGAAACCTGCAGACGTTGGCTCTTGTCGGCTGGGTCGCGACGGTCTAGGATCGACGAATACATCTTCACGAACACAAACAACCCGACGTGAACGTAGATAATGCAAGAAGCGGAAGAAGTGGACACGCTGAAGCAAGGAACACAGGCGACGCACGACGCCGTCGCGTTCAGCTGGTAAGACAAAGCAGACGGACGGCCTGGCCTGGAACAGGCACCTGGGTCATGGCCACCATTCCTTAGCACGAGGAGTGCTTGCGACGTCTTACGAAGCCCGAGTAGTGAAACAATGTTACGGTGGTCCAGGGCATTGCTGGCAAGTCGCGGCCGTTGGCAGCAGGATTAAAGTGGTACGCTGTTGGATCACCTGCTTTGGGCTTAGGAAGGGGTCAAGCCGGCTCGCTTCTACGAGTTGGAACTCATTCATTGACATCTTGTCAGGGTGTCTGTAAACGCCGATGCTGCTGGAGCAGCGGAATCTATCTAATCACAAGGATGCCAGGTGATTCTTCGTAATTCGGCGTCTTCTGTGATGTCGTTGAGTTTCGGGGGCTTGAATGCATGGACTTTCTTTTGGTGGCTAATCTCTGTTGAGGAGAAGGGCACGCACGTTGATAGATTTAGCGGTCGCTGCAAAGCTGGCACACATGAGGACCCGGGGCATAGGTCACACGGAGGGGATGGCTGCCCCAGATGCATTATGGCGGGGCGGCTGGCCAGGGCGCAACGTTGGCTTCGACTCGAGAAACGACAAGACATAGTACTGTAGGAGGAGCCGCAGTGTCAAGAAACTGTCATGAACGCTGATCGCGGCACCTGTGCTGCGCGCACGAAGTGGAGAAAGCTCACGGTGCCTGGAGCATCGTCAAACCATGCAGCAGGCTCGACGCAGCTGTGCTCTTCTCCGCCAGATCGATCAACCAACGCTCTTCGGGTTTTTCCGTTGTCTCGGATTCAAGATGATCCGACTGTAAGCTAACAAAACTGGTCTATCCTGGTCTTGACTTTCTCGCTGAAGGCCTGGGCTGATATTGCATCGTAGACCTTATCGGTGACACTCCTCGGATAGGCGAAGCCCCCCGCACCGGTGAAGCACCTGGCCAGGTAGCAGGTCCGCAATCAAGGATGCCTTCACAGCTAACCCGCCTTGCCTCGGATAGGCGAGGCTTCGCGAATAGCTTCACGGACGGGAGACATCGGCCTCCCAATCCTGCAGTCATTGTGGTGCATCTAAAAAGCACGTGCTGAACGGAGCTGCGGCCTCGTGGTAACAGAATGGAGCACTGGTGGCCCAAAGCCAACCACTGTGGGAGGGCCATAGCCTGAGATTTCATTACGCGTGTAGGCGCAAACCCTTGAGCATGGCCATTGCCTCCAAGATGCTAACTGTGGTGTAAGAAGGAGCTGGGGCAATCTCCCCACCTGCAAAAGCAGCACACTCGGCACCACTTTCCGATTCATGCATGCCGTGTCTGCCTGCAAACTGCTCGTATCCATCTTCGTATCCTCCACCGGCATCGTACACACCACCGCCGTCGCCGTCCAAGCTGCCAAAGTAATCAGCCGCCAAGGGAGCTTGGATCGATCCATAAGAAGCTGGATGCATGCCTCGTCTGGAGTGCGAATCCCTGTTCTATAAATCCCTTCTCCCAGGACACCATCATCTGAACTTCACAGTGCTTCACAGTGCTGTACAAGCTCACAAAAAAATGTCAACGAAATGTCTCACGTTATGAAATGGATGGCAGGACCGACACTCCAAGCCTTCGATGCAGGTGCCCCCTTATATCTTCAATCCAAACCTCAGCGAACCTGTTTCAGACCAAGAGAAGTTGAGATCCTTCAGCTCACAACAGTGGCCCGTACAATGAGAAAGCTCAATCACGTGACGCCACGATGCCAAGGTCGGAAACCGGACCATGGTCGCTGTAGATGTCTGCTTCACGGGTGACGGGCAAGCCGATGCTCCCGCAGTAGCCTCGAGACAGACCTAACTTTTTAGAACTGCTCATGCCTGTTACAACTGCGGTTCTTGACAAACTGCAAACTGCACTACAAGTGCTTTACACCGTGGAGGGAATGTAACGGAACAGAACTCTTGAATCTCTGCCGAGCATCAAGCTCGTGACCTTGGATTGCAATCGAGCAGATTCCAGGCAATGTTTCTTCAAGCATGGCAATTCCTCTCTGATTAATTAACGAGCTGACGGCGTCATACACCGTCTGCCTCCAACGACTCCCTGGAATCCACGATTTCATTGTGGGGCTGCCAGCACAATCCAAACCGCAACTGGATGCTTGCCAGCAGGGCACTGCTGGTAGTTTTGCGCCGGGGTTGAAGTCGCATAATCAGGATAAATTTCATCAGCATATGGAGCAATATCAGCATACGGAGTAACAGGTGCAGGTTCTGGAGGAACATATGCAGGCTCCGGCGGAACATATCCCGGATAAGGAAGTGGCTGCCTAGGTTCGCAGAATGCCAGCACCCGAAGTTACAAGCAGCAGCCCGCACTAATATCCGTCGAGCCACACCGCCAAACCGTGAGAATTGGCAGTCCTTGCAACGCTGCCACGATTATGTACATAAACGGGTGGCCGTGTGTGGAAGCGAAAGGTTTTGTTGACCTTTTCAAGCTCCATGTGGGCGGATAAGGCCGGCTCCGAGCTGCGAACTGCCTCAGCCCTGCAGGATTACGGAAGAGCTAAGGTTTTGTTCGCTGCCGGGGGGAGCTATGCCCAAGACGTCGAGCCTGAAGGGTTCAGGGTTTTGCAGTGTCTCTCCAACACAATGCGAGTTTGTTTCGTCGACAGACTTAGCCTTGCCGTGTTTCATAGAGATGAAATCTTTTCCTTTGCTGCGGCTGCATTGTAAACGATGCCCCAGTCTTGGAATGTAAGCCTTGCAATCTCGAGCGGTCTTGCCCGATAAACCGAGCAAATGCAGATTCCTTGAAGCACGGTATCTGGCCATTAGCCGAGAGGCACAGAACATTCGACAGGGGCCGGTTGTTCCGGCTGATACGAGCCTGCAACTGAGCTCCAAAACCATCACTTGCGCTGTGAAATAGGTCATGATTTGGCACCCACTTCCACCCTGCTAAAGCAACACGGCGAGTCTGCAGCAAACTCCACCTGGATCCAATGCTGCGAATTTGCCAGAGAGGTCCTTGCAACCCCGCGAGCGCAGTAGCTGCACAAACTCCAATCACGGCCTATGCTGTGGGTAGCTGTGACATGACGAGATGGTGTGCTAGAGCGTCCTCCGTTGCAGCCTCGATCTGCTTGATAAGCTCCTTCTCCATGACGCTCATTTGCTGTCAAGGAACGAGGGCATAAACCGGTATAGTACTGCTGCAACATGGCCATAATGTCTGCAAGGCCTGCTGAATCTTTTGCTCCATTTGAGCGACGGGCTCAGCACTTATCGTGGCCAACTCAGTCAGCACAAAACTCATCACTTACAGCAGCTCTGCTTGAACATACTTGAAGAAGATGATAGCAATGACGAGTCTAAGACGCAACAAAATTTGCGGGCTACCGAACTGCACGTATCAGAATCCTGACATATCTCTGATCTCGAAACTTCTTAACAAGCCGAGCTGCGACCTTAACCAGATCGGAATTGTCAACGCCGAGGCTGCCTCTTGCTTGCTTGCTTGCTTGCTGACGGGGCAGCCTCTCTCGCTGTCTCTCTTTTCGTCAGCACAATCGAGAGTGGAGGGTTCGAGCATGGTAGAGTCCATCGCCCCATGCGCAGGTCTGCCCATCCAAATCCCGATCGCGTGAAGGCGAGCGTTTGCATAACGGCGACGGCAATAAACGAACTGAGCGGCAAAAGATGCGAACTACGTCCCCGGCGCTTCCGGCGCTCGCACAGTGACCTTCCGTCTGGGTGAGCAGCAGGCCCTGCAAAGGACTTGCACCGCACAAGGGCGCCCCCGAAGATTAAAAGTTGCGGTCCGAGTGAAAGAGAGATTGACTCCCAATAGTACCAGTTGTGGCTGGGGCCCGGGGCTAGTTCCCGAGCGGTGAAGTTGAAAGCGTCCAAGAACTGGGCATCAGGCATCACTCTGTGCCCACACTTCGGCAAAGGCTTCTGCATCACGTCGGGACGCGCACGCGCGTGACACCGCTCCAATCGAGAGAGCAGGCCAGGCCCAACCCGCGGGACGTGGAATTCGCACGGAACTGCCCATGGATTTGTTTCGGAGGGGCATTGTTTGATGACTCCCGCGATCTGCTCGGCCTAAGCCCATGTGGACAGTCTGCATCTGAAGGGAAACATCTCCGTCATCGTCCAACATGTAACATCATGTAACCATTCTGAGAGGAGCTGCTCTATGAGTTACAGTTGCGATTTATCTCCCTTTCTCTTTCGCTTCCGCTCTCTCTTTTTGTCAGTCTTCCTGCTGATGCAGCAACTCAGGCACACCTTCTGGAAGGCGTACCCCATTTTTGCTGTCCGAAGTGGTTTTGCTTGTTTCGCTTTTCTTGCCTCGCTGAGTCGTTTGAGCTTCTGTTTCTGGGTCTGGGAACGTCTGGGAGACATCTGCTCAAGTCCTGCCTCCGGTTGGTGCTGCCTTGGATGCACCCCCACTGCAAAGCACAAATTGTCGGGACCAACAAGTTGTATCAACGGCTGAGGTGCCAAGCTCTGAACAGACGTCTCCATGTTGTCAGAGCGGAGTTTTTGGTCTGCCAAATCCTTCTCGAGACGCTTGAAGTCCTGACATGCTCCCGCCATGACATGCCAGCAATGGAGGGCTATTTGAGATCTGATGTGCTCATGCAGTCCTTCTGCGCCTGATCCGCCAAGTGGTGCGTCTTGTCAAGGGCTTGCCGGAGGGCCGAGATGTCGTCGTACTTGGGCACCTCGGTTCTGAAAGTCGGCAGCACTGCCTCGCTTCCCTTCAGTCATGCAACCATGATACATTGGCCTTGCTACTTAGACTGGATACCATTCTGCAAATGCCGAGCGATAAGGCAAACCCGACTGTTGAACCCAATGCACTGAATTCCGGAACTACCTGAAATGTTCGTTGTGGCCTGAGCTTTCAGGAACTAGCTTCTGCGCAGGCTTGCAACCAAGATGGTTTTCATGCTTCCTGCGCCAGCCTGCCGTTCCCAGTCAGCGCATCAGCCCACAATTGGCTGAACAGGGCTTCAAGCAAGTCGCTGACTTTTGCATTGACATCTCCATACGATCCTGAGCATACGTCAGAAGACATGAAGTAACGTCCTATCATGGGCCGTGAGCTGCTGGCCGCCTCAAACCCCGGGCCGTTGTGTCCAACTGCAAATTGGACAGAGGGGCAACTCGATCTACATGACACTTGCTCCTCAATCGCTGGCTGGGTTCACACCGGGTCTTTTGCTCGGCGAGGTCTTGAGCAAGGCGAATGACATCCTTTGCTGAACAAAGTCTCGCATGCTGGTTTCAAATCATGCACAAGTCGGCTGAGGTTACACGTCATGTGTGCCCGACTTAGAGGCGTTTTGGCATGTTGCCGTTCCGGCTGGCGTAGCACAGCAGAAACAGGCTAGGAAAGACCTTCAAAGGGGTTCGGGCAAGCAAGACATTGCGGTGCACTACTACAAGTAGTAGCGCAACGATAAGCTCTCCTTACAACTCCAAGCTTCGTGCTGAGCATTGTCAGCCACAGCGCGCATCTCCTCCATAGCTGAGCGGAGCTTGCCAACATCGTCGCTTTCTTTGGGTACCTTGTTGCTTGAACTGTGAAATTTCTATCGGTACAACTGCCAACTTGCATGTTGACACAACTACAACTGCAAGCCTTCGGCCAAATGCAGCAATGCCACCACACGTTGGGTGGCAAACGAAGCTGTGTCCTGCACCTCACGACAGAAGTGAATGAACTGCTGATGCTTGGTGTGTTATGCTTATCCGTTCACCCTGATAAGCAGTGGGCAGCTTGCTGGGCATTGATTTCACGACGAAGCTCCGCGATGGCTTCCTGCATCCAACTTCGAAACGAATGTGCACAGGAGCTGCGACCAAAGGGAGTTTGCGGCTTGGGGCTTGTGGGCCGAGTTTTGAACGGACCGGCCCAAAGGGAATCCGGCCCCTGGATTGGTCAGTTCCCGGTTTTTGGCAGGACCGCTCAAACGAATATAAGACACCCCGCAGCCCCTGGATGTCGTATTTCCTGGATTTTTGGCCGGATCCGGAACGCACAAATACCACCAGAAATCCAGCTCCTGGATGTCTTGTTGCCCGGTTTACTCTCATTTGCTGTATTTTTTGCTGCACCGGCCAAACACAAAATCAAGATCTCCAGCTTTGGATGTCTTTGTTCTCGAATTTTTGGGTGAGAGGCGGGAGATGGTATGAGCAACACAGGCACGATTGCGGGCACGATGAGAAATCTAGGGCTCACCTTGGGTGGTGTTTCTTATGACCCTGAACCAAGCGCTTGCCAAATGAAAAACCCAGGGTACCCTGCCTCCAATAAAGGAGTTTCTTATCCTGCGCTGTCACTGTAGCCATGCAAAGCTGAGATACATCGCAGCAAAAAGTTGCCTTCTGTTCTCGACGCTCGCTGTCGAGCCGCCTGGTGATTCGATCCTCACACTCGGAAGCTGGGTCTGTGACAAGAAACATTGGTCAAATCGGTCATCAGCCAACTAGCGCCTGATGATTCCATGCGTGTTAATTCGGTGAATGGACTTGTCGGCTTTGGGAACGGCTGGGAATCAGCAGATCAATCAAGGCGTCCTCAGCTGCCGCTATGTCACCGTTCATCTGGACAGTTAGATCCCGCTTCATGTTGTAGAGGTTGGCCACCTGCAGAGGTGGATGCCAGTCTTGCTGGCACAGGTTTGCACGAAGGCGCTTTCAGGAAATTGACCTTCTGTGCAGTGCATCTCCGCTGTTTCGATCGTATGGCTTCTGGCAGCCTGGGAGGGTCGAGCCTCCTCTTTCTGGTCGCTGTCGATTCGGCGAGTCAATCGATCATCGAGTGCACGGATTTCTTTCCTGAGAAGATGCTGCATCGAGTCCAGCGGGATCAGGAAAGGTGCTTCCAAGTTGGATAGGCTTGATTCGCGTGTTTCCACCCTTCCGAAACGACGACGTGAATGCTAAACACTGCGGGGCTTCCAGCGACGACAACCGAACAATTAGCCAGACTTGCCGCTGAGTATCCTCAACGTTGTGAGCGCCTGTTACGTCTGACAGGCTGTCAACACTGAGCAGCGACTGAACCACAGTGCAATTCTTTGCCACTGAATCGACGCAGCTTTCTTGCACATATTGAAGGATATTGAAGGCAGTTCGTATGCTGAAAGTTGCTGAAAAGCAGAAACAAGAATTCAACAGCACGCAGACATCGTGCCAGCCTGTGCCAGCATGGTCTCAATCAGTTGCTCGATACCCTCGATTTTCGAGGAGAGCGAAGCATTGCCCCTTTGGGAGCAGGGACGGTTGCGGGTTCGCGCAGGACAGGGGCGTCCGAGTGGGCAACTGCTGCACAACATCACACTCCCCGTCTGTCACTAGATCATCCAGTGGCTACGAGGGGGATTGTCATCAGGCAGACAAACTGTCTGCCTCCCCGATCCTCCCCGCCTGTCGTTGCCGGACATGAGCAACGAGGCTTGAATACCCGAAAGTATAAGCACCTCAGAAATGACTTCGAAACGTGTCCGCAGCATGCTGATGCTGGCTGATTGCAGCTCGACACATGTTCTTTGTCGATCCTAGGCCAGCAAAGGCTTGAGATGCAGGCAAGGTACAAATTATGCACGAATGAATTCCCGCGTCAGAAAGCTCGTCCTTTCCAGTTGCTATCTTTGAGCCGAAGGCTGCAAACGCAAACTTCATATCTTCAACTCCACCTTCACGGGTATGCCGTTTTGATCGGCTGGTGCTCACAATAAAACCGAGTCGTATCTTTCACCTCTGCCTTTTGTCAGTGTTTTCATGCCTTGTCGAGACTCGTCACAAAGCGCGCAGCAAGGACGACACCTGAGATTGCTTGTCAAGTGGACCAGCAAGTATTTGAGCACTCAGTCTCAATCCTGAGAAAATGCCGTCGCCTTCCACAACCCCTCTGGGCAGAATTCCAGAATGCAGCACAATAAAGATGCGCCCACAGAGAGAGACTCGCATACTGCAACTTCTAAACACAGCTGAATACAGACAGAAGAAGACGACCTCTGCTCCACCCTCGGACAACCTGCTCTGAGCTTCGGTACGTAACCCATTGGCACACTGGAAAGACCGAATCCAAGCTGTGAGAGACTTCAGAGACGTGAAAGCACGGGAAACATGCATGGTTTGGCAGGGGAAGCCCAACAGGGCGAAGAACGCAGGGGAGGGGAGGCGGTGGCCGGGGGCACAACGAGTTCAGGCAGCATTCCGACCGGAGGACTCGCGCATCTCCTTCGCCCTTCACGTCCATGATCCTTCAGCCTGGATCCCTCGGGTCCCCCACGGTCCCCACCTGAAGTTTCATGGTCCCGGTTGGATCGGACAGAGAAACGAATCATTCACCACGTTAATTTACCAAACCACCGAATGGATGACATGCACGGAGTCCTACAGCATGAGCGCGCGCGGTTGTGTCAAGCGTCGCACGGAATGCAGCTCTGTTGCGCCTCGGACGTTTCTTGTGACTGATGCAGCCCAGGCCGCAGCCGACACAAGCACGAAGAGCATCAAGCTCAGGACCAAGTTCCTCAGCGCTCAAGGTTTCACAAGGCCAGCTTAACTCGGCGGTATGCGACACCCTTGCAAGCCAAGGATCAAAAGCACCAAGCTGATGAGCAGACGCTTGGCGCCTAAAAGCGGGAGGTACATCTTGAGCACTACGCACATCTGACTACACTGGGTTCTGACGCTAGGCGCATCTAAGCCCCACGTTACGAGCCTTGTTTAAGGCACCTCGGCCAGCCCCAGGTCCGCAGAGCAAACACATCGTCTCGAATCTGCCAAATTTTCCTTTCAGTAGGTCGGCAAATGCCTGTGTCTGTCCTAGAAACTTAGGCGTTTCAACAGATTTGTAAGTCTCCGGCGGCATTACCATTTAATATTTAACCGCTTCATGACTGATAAGCTTCCTAGCGCAGAGCTAGAATCTAGAAGCGATACTGGTATCGGGTGGTCTTGAATACTGGCACATGGTTCAAGACTCCAGACATGACAACATGAGGCTGCAACATGACCAACATCAAACCAAGTATAGCAAATGCTGCAAAGAGCATGAAACGCCATCTTCGCGGGAGAGGAATTCGTGATCTGCTGGGCCACCTGGCAGAAGCAGCGTCCTTCAAAGCTCCACAAATTGCAGAATTGCCGGATTGCTATTCTCAACCCGGCCTGTAACGCCGAGAGCTGCAGAAACCGACAGCCTTGCACGAGACACCGTGGTCTTGAGGGTTTACTTTGGAGCATCAAGCCGAAGAGCCCGACAAACAAAAGCGGTCGCAGCCGTCGCTCTACTGGCGCAAGGAAGCCGAACATGAGGGTCAGCACCTCACCATGACGCACAGACTCTTCGTGTCGATCTGTCCGGCATGTAAAGACTCATCAATCCCGTCAGCACCGAAAGCAGTCACAAGCGCCTGATTGAGGTGCTCTTGTGGCAATGCTGGGTGATCCAGAAGCCACCATGTCGCTGCTATCAGCGGGGTTAGTAGTGCAAACCTTGCAAAACGTGCATGCACTCGAATCTGACGTACTCGCCTCAACTCCGCAGTAGCTCGGACCGAGACTTCCAGAGGGTCATGAACTTCGGTCGGAGTTTCTGGTCACTTCGTTCAGACTGCTGTCGCGCACGACAACCCCACGAGGGATATTCGCTTCGATACAGGTTTTACTCTTTCCAAGGGCTCGGCTTGATGGTGACATCAAGCATTAGGTCCGGCAGGTCTCACGACCCACGAAGTGTGGGACAGCCCAGAATGGTGAATGTACATTTGGGGAATTGGTAAGAGAAGACAACGACGACAAGGTCGATGAGATGCTGATGCTGATGCAACAGTGGTGAAGCTGCTGTTGGGGCGACATTGATTGAGATTTTGTTGCCGTCCTTGCTGCCCGTTGCTCTGTGTGGTCTGATCGCTCTATATGGCAATGATTCGCTTCTTTGCTGCCCCGGGTCCTGAAGCGCAGTGGGAAGACGCAGGGCGACAGAACGATGTAGCATCTGCAGGTACAGCGACAAGCTTATCTTGGGAGGTGATGCAAGCGTCGTTGTTTCTTGTCAAGCTCGGTCTCAACTTCTTGGACAGGGGGCAAACACCCAACCATCGCCAGCAGGACAGTCGTGATGTCCATCTGAGTCGGGTGCACGTTACTAGCTCCCTCGGGTGCTACAAGCAGAGTGTCATGTAGCCATATACTCCCATGTTACAGAATGTGATACATGCGGCCGCATCCTGGGGCCAACACGAAATCACGCTGAACCTGCTCGACATCCAGCTCTGGCCCGCTGCCACTTTCCAATCGTCCCTGAGCATCAGTGATTTTTGTGGGCGCTTTTGAACAACGGGGAAGGGCTGCAACTACCATGCTCCAAGCGCCCGATTTCAATGACTCTGGGAGACGAGCTTGCACTCTCCAGATGAGTCCGATCTATTCTCGAGCGAAGCTGACCCAACCATAAAGCAAGCAAGAGCAAGCAGGCAGTTTCGTTGTGCTTTCGATCGGTTGCACTTTCGGGGCTTGCATATCAAGCATCCTCTTCCATGTTGTTTCCGTGTGCACCTATGAAAGCAAGCCACTGACGACCTCCGGACTGTGTGCCGCAGCAGCCAGCAAACCCACAACGTGTACATGCTAAATGCATGCGAGCATCATTCAATTCCTGTATCCTGAGCAGCAGTCCCGTGAAGAATGCCTCGGTGCTGCGCGCCTGCATGTCCATGTCTAGTACTTCTAGAACTCTGCCAACCTATGGAGCTGGACGAAATTCGAGGCATCTTGAAGTCGGGAAGCACGGGTCCAAGTGAACAGATCCTCTGGCAAGCCATCCCACGGCAGCGACTCAACTATCCTTGTGCCGCAAATCGCATGTTTGGCAAGTATAAGGTCTTAGTAGTGTAGCTAAAGCATGCCAAAGCCGGGGCACTCCTCATCCATGCGAACAGGTAGCACGCCTCATGGCACAAGGCTGGATATCAGGCACTGGGGTGCGCTCTTGCCTTTGTGGCTGTCTCGCGACTGCTGCCAGGTGGCGCGTAGTGGATGTCAGCATATGGGCGGAGACAGACAGAACAACTGCGACGAGCGCCACATCGTACCGGAGCACAACCTGAGGTCACGATAGGTCGGGACGCAAGCCCACGCTGTACAAGAGACACGAAGCGCCATTTATTAGCCTTGTGGCTGCCAGCAATTCAGATGCCCAGGGCCGCAGTAAGGCTGCTAACATGAACGAGGACAGGCGTCCACTCGCTCAGATCTGGCCCATCTCCCCCACAGATGGAGGATGGGCGACATGAGCACAGGGCAATCGACAAGCATGGGCGATTAAGATGCTTTAAGAGCGGCCACAGGCTGAGACGGAACTCGTTCTAAGAGGTGCCAATGCATGCTCGGTGAGGTGGGCTAGCGGTGGGCAGCAATGCTGCTTGGATCAGCTTGGCGCTTGAACGATGCCGGTGAAATTCACCGCAGTCCTGCCAACATGCATGCGATGTAGAATCAATGCTGCGCTGTGAAGGGCTTCAACACGATCTTGTAGCCAGATCCTCATTTTGCTCCTGTCCCGCCCCCCCCCCCCCCCAGCCATCCCCGCTGCGAGTTTAACGATGCTTGATGCTGTGTCCGTGTCCGATGTCACCATTGCCATACAAAAAAAACCAAGGAGATTTGGTGTTGGTTCTTATTCTTATTGTTGTTGTTTGCAGCTGAAAGTGGCTTGGGGCTCGGGACGGAGACCCACTGATAGGCTCAGTTTGCAGCTCCAGTCTCTTGAAGGCCATCCGAGCTTTCGCAAGGCAGGGCCCCGAGGCCCCAATCCAGAGGCGAATGGAAACTGAACAAGCGATTTGATGGACGCCTTATACCTGAAACATCCTGAAACACTCCAGCCCTCGCCTTCGTTTATTCAGTTTATTCAATGCTCCCCACCGAGCCACCTCGCAAAGCTGCACAGCATGTGTTTGCAGATTTTATCTTGCCGGATACTCCGATTTCGAGGTACTTTGGCGGTGTAAGGCAGGAGAGCACTGCCTGTAAGCGCTCTCTGCTGTTCGTCGTGCTGTACAATGCAAAGCGCGAAGCAACTGCACAGTAAACCCTACAGCTGCAATCGCGTGAGGCTTGCGAGCACTGCTTCGCCACTGTCCGGCTAGCAACGCCGCAACGCTGGTAACTGAGAGCCGAGAGCCTCAAAGCCTTTTGCACTGACTCCAGGCCTGGGCAGCCACTTGCCAAGACCTTGGAATCATCTTTTGCACGAATCCGAGTGCAAAAGGGAACAGCTGCAATAAGGCTTTACGGAATTCATGGACGCTGCTTTCTCGAATAGGAGCCTGGAAGCTGCAGGAGGATCATCAGGCAGAAGCTGTTCAACAGCTTTGAGCTTCCTCTACGCAAGGCCATTGGACCGCAACAGCAGTGCACACCTTGACAACGGCGAGTTCTCAGCAGCTGAGGGGAGCACCTGGTGAAGCCTTCCCCGAAACAGCCGTGGACGTTGCAACCAAGCAGGCTGGTGAATTCCTCATAGCAATGCGCAAGACCCTTGGCCGGGTGGATTCCCCGGTTTGGCATCGAATCTGCACTCCTGCGCGTGCATGTTTACGTCTTCCACTGCCGCAATGGCCGAAGTACGAGATTTATAAGCTCACGAAAATGCATCAGCACTGCAGTAATAATCTGAGCCGTGCTGCTGGAGCGAACAGGCAGGAGTGCTTCCGCAAACCCTTGATTCGCTTCTTTACCTGCAAGTCTCCGGTAGAAAATGCCGGAACAGGACACGGTTTGCCGGCACTGGCGCCTCGAGCTGAGTCATGTACACGTTGCAATGCAGAAATTGAACGAGGCCAGCCTCCAAGACGTCCGAAGGAGGTCTTGGGCCTGAAGGGTCTGACTGCCCGTGTCCTGAGACAGTTCATCACACAAAACAAGCGCAGGCTGCAGGGAGCGGCAGTGCCCAATATCCCAGGTCAGGTGAACCGGGATGACTCCCTCCAGGAGGCAATTCGAAGCGGGAGCAGATTCTGCCGGAAACCCATACTCATTGCGCGCCCAGCCGCGGAAAACGTCCTCTCCAACTTTCTGAAGCCGGGTGCCGAACTCTTCAGTTGTCATGTTGCACCCTTGGTTTGAACATCCTACGCTCCTTGCCGGACCTGCTGCACCTGGCCTCGCAGATGCAACCCTGAAACGCTCAGCTTACTGAAACCGTTGAAACGAGCTTCCTAAGTATGTAAACATGAGCTCCGCAATCATAAGTTGCTTGTAAACTGCATGCCAGTCTCTGTCTTGCCCAGGCGCGTACCTCGGTGAACATGGAAAGTCTGCACATGTTGAATTCAGGATGTTCTCGACTCTTAGGCGAGATGCCAGTCAATCAGATGCACCACGGTCGCGGATGCTGGGTCTGCCTGCGTAGAGCCACATCACTGCAAAGGTTCAGCAAGGATCGTGAAATTCTCTGTCAGAGCGAGCTTGTTTCAGTGCGCACTGAACTTGCCAAGCTTCAAACCCTCGAGCTCGAACCACAAAGACTGCGGCCAAGCCTTCTGTGCCAAACAGCCCGAAGAATTGCTGGGTCTGAGCCTGCCTTAGAGGATCAAGCGTAAGTCTCAGCACTCTTGAGCAACCACAGTACAATGAGTCCAAAAACATGCTACGCGTGTGGAAATCGAGTGCTGCGACAGACCCTCGAGGAACACACCCCAAACCGAAAACAACTTTCCGCCACATGGGTACTGTCTGCCAGCGTTCCATCCCCCACACTCCCCTGCCACGGTCATCGAAGATCTGCTGCAATTCACTTCACGTGGCCGAGATGCAGCGCTTCAGGTCTGGCAAACCTGCCAGACCACACAATTCTTGAATTAGCTTCGACGGGCCCCAACCGCTCCACCCACCTCCGGAGACCGCAGATCGAATGTCGCACCTCCTGGAAGCATGTTACACACCGCAGCATCAGTACACGTTTCTTCGACACAGCTACAGATCATAGCCAAGCCACCGAATCTCACCAAGCGCTGCATCGACGGACAGCTTCGCACGCAAGAAGCAGAACCTCGCGCAGGTTATCGCACATGCAGCCCTTGAGCAGGAGGAAAACGGGCATGCCCCTCATCTGCACAGCAACAATGCAATGGGCATGGCCCGGCAAAACGCATTGGCTGGCAAGCCACAGTCGCATCAGTGGCTCTTTGGCTCGGAAGATCTGGCGAAAAACGCCTCGGCTCAGGATTACATTCGCCATGCAGCTGCAGCACAGGGATGTCGCTGCAGCGCTTCACAAGGCGAACATGCTGCTTCAGATTCTGCACCAGTGCGAGAAACAAGCAGAATCCTGCATCTACCACAAGATTTGACATGTATGGTCGCCACCGCGTGCCCTCACTTCACCATGCTTGAACTGGGACGAAGTACACTAGCGCAAAACCTCGGAACCAGCCAAAGTTGCAAAAGTCTTGGATCACACACAAACATCTGAATTCACATCGATTTGGCTGCTTGTATGTGCGGGCCGTGCGCGAGCCAAACTGGCCTCAATATTATAGTGCGCTGAGTCCAATGACGTGATTTATTCTTGGCGATGCGGTTCCAAGTGTTCCGCACTTGCCGGTGTGTTGCGTGCAGATGAGCACGGTGCCGCCGCATCGTGCTTTTGTGCGACTTCCCGCAGGCGATCTTACGAAGGTAAAACAGCTTTCCAGCGACGTCGGCCGTCGGGAAAGACTCTTGTATGAGAGACAGATGCTGTACCGTGTGTTGCTGGTTACATTGGTTACATGCTTGAGGCCCGCACATCTTTGGAAATTCCGAGCAATGTCACTGTCGTTTCTGCCTGCCTTCGCACAAAACTACAAACAGGGTTCAGTCTTGGAGCTGCTGCTGAAGTGCTTAGTGACTGTGACACTCTGACCATATGCGATCGATCTCTGCCACCTATCCACAAAGCTTGCCTCTTGCTGCACGAGATAATACTCAGCAGCCGTTTCTGTCGCAACACGATAAGCCGTGTATCCAGATTTCGCATGCATAATCCACTCGGAACCTGAGTGAAACGCAGAGTCTGTGGGCATGCATCATGCTGCATCGTGGATGTTCAGAATCGCCGTGCAAATACAGGCTGATCCAGGTGCTGTGCCGTTGCCATTGCCGGCCAGATTGAACTCACCCCCGAGTCGAGCAACGCCTGTGCTCGTGTTTGAGCAAGATCTCTTCGCATGCCAAGGAAAATTTTCAACAACAGGCAGGCAAAAGAGTCGAGTTTCTGTTTTTCTAACCAAACTCTGAGTGGTTTTCATGTCGTCCCTCCTTCGCCCCTAAGTTCTTCGGATCGGCAGTGCGATGTCTTCCGAGCGACAATCGACGACAGCCTGACTGGTAGACCTAGAAGTTATACACTACAGCGTTTGCACGAAGCCTAACGGCCTTATGTGAATTCGTAGTTGCTGTTGCTGTAGTAGGAGGCGGAGTAGCATGAATATCAGTAGTAAGGGCAATACAAACCGCCATCGACAAAATAATCGTAAGCTTTCTCGTCATAGTAGTGGTAACGGCAACATCTATCGTCATCGCACAGCTGTGGCCATAACCATAGCGACAGCAATACCAATACTAGTATAGTTACTAGTATTGGTCATGGTAAAAGTAATTAGAATAGCAGAACTAGCAATAGAAATAGCGTTGAAATATCGCTAGTAAAGGTAACAGTAGGAGTTCTGATGATGATAATGATAATGGTGTGAGTTGCTTGTCTGATACTGCCATTTAGAAAGCACAGCTGTCCCCACGGGCTCACATGGCTTCACAGAAACATGGTAGAGAGGCAAGCAATCATATAGCAAGCTACACCGTATACTCTCCCTACAGTGCAGCACAAGTGCCAGCCGCTACAGTAGCTTGATTCAAACTTAGCAACTTAGTTATTAGTCCACCGCACATCTCTCCTCGGTATGGTCCGGAAGCAGCGTTCTCGCCGAAGAAGGTCTGGCAGAAAAGCAGATCTTTGGTTGGGCCAATTATGATGCCCTACAGAGAAGCAAAGCAAGGATGCGTGAAGATGTGAGGGTGTTGATTCCGAGAGGTCTACAGTCTGCTGCTTTTTGGTCCTGCTGGTGAATCAAGCCAGAACATCTTGTGTGAACATGTTTCATCTGATTTATGCTCACGACAGGACCGGGGCGGTTGAGGATGTGTCACACAGTGGCACGAAGCGCCTAAGTCGTGTCGGCCACCCCAGATCATCCCAGATCTACAAGCTTACCAACTCCTGAACGACTATCACTGCTCAGAGGGCTCCGTGGCATGATCGTGCTCGATGTGCGCTGAGCTTGTGAAACACACCGGGCCATCATACCTCGGGCGCTGTGAACAAACAGCATGAAACCTAAATTGCCAGGCGGCCTTGCCAGGGCACAAGTCTCCGTGCTTGACCTCGCGAAGGCCCTTGCCGGGTAGCCTGATGGAGGGGATACAAAACATCATGCAAAAGGTAGGGGCGCCCTTGTTCGTGTGATCGTGTCTCAAGCACATCTATGATCCACGGTGCGGTTTGCCTTTTGTGTCTTCTTCTGAGCCTGTTGTAGAACATGGCCGAAATGAGTGGGACTCTACATGAAGATGTAGTGCTCCATGTTTTGTCCTTCCCATCGGCTCCTGAACAGTGCAGCCCACACATCAAGCAACACGAGAAAAAGCGACAACAATCAGGCGAACAAGGCCCGAAAACAGTAGGAGACTGCCCCGAGTAGATCGCGCCAACAAAAGTCAAACTGGACCCAACGCGGTAGCCCACGTCTTACCGTCCGGAGGAGACCCAACACACCATCTGCCCGCCAACCAGTTCCCTTTCCAAAAAGCAAATCTAACAAAATGTGAGATGACGCATGCCCTCGACGACTAGGACAACGAGGTGGGTTTGCTTCCTCGAAAGGCCGCAAGGTGACTGCGCAGGATTGCCTCGAACCCATTACTTGCATCTCTGCTCTGATTCAGCTGTGTCAGCCCGTGTTCTGTCTCTTTTCTCATCGTTCTCTGTGGCTCTTTTGCTCACGGACTTCCTTCCCTCCTTTCTTCCTTCCCCAGAGCTGGGACACAGAAAGGCGAGACGCTAGGAACGGGTATGCCCTGACTGTGTCTCTTCCGCTCCTATTACAGGAATCTCGCTCACTCACTGCACGGCGAAATCTCAACCGCGAAATCTCCTGCACGGCATCGCAATCAAGCTCTGCATGCAGACCCAGTCGCTCCTGCATGGTTGGTGCGATGATCAAGTTGTAACCCTGGTCGAGAATCCTTACTGAACTGCACCATGCTCATATTTCCAGGCGAACGGCGTGCTATTCAAAGGCAAGCGTCCAAATGAAGCTCCCATGCTGTTCACGCCGCGGTGGCCACATGTGCGGCAGTGAAGAGAAAAGCGTTGATACCAGTGTTTGGTTTAGCCTCGGATAGGCATGCCAATGATGCGCACTGCCCATGACAGCAAAGAAGGCTTATCCGATGGCTCCCTGACTTACTACGACTGCCTCCAGGAGATCTCTGGGCGCTTTCCGGAATGGGCAGTCATATGCAGTCCCGCCCTCGTGCGCTCGCACTCGTGTTCCTCTTTAGGTGCGTCTGCACCGCTGCTTTGAGACCCATCCAAAACCAGAATACGTGGGAATTTTGGAGCCGAAGCCGCCTTTGCGAAATCTACGCAACTTCAACAGACTTGATAGGTCCTGTTGCCGTATCTGTCTGCAGCTTGGATACGGATGGGGAGTCGCACCTGTCAGGAGAAACACGGGACAAGGGACAAGTGCAAGAGGTTCAACGTTCAAGCCTTATACGAAAACACTCTCGACGGAGCTGACAATGCGATGCACTCTCCTGCCTCCATGCAGCCACAGAAAAGCATTCCCGCTGGCACACAGTACCAAACGCTCGGGAGGGAGGGCATAGGGACCATGCCACTGCCCCCAGTTCACAGCTGTGACCTAAGAATGGAACTGTGATGCGACAAGCGGCTACCGACTTCAACGCATGCATTGCAATTCAGCAACGTTGGGCAGACCCAGTTGCTCCAGATCCTCTCGTCAGGCGCTCTGTGGTTCTGTCTCACTGCAAGCCGCCTGCGATTTCCCCTCTGCACATGCTCTGCCAAATTTTCCACTGCTCGTCCTGAAGGGAAACATGTCCGCAAACGTTGCGAGGTTCGGCCGGCCTGCTACCAACGGAGACGAGTCGTTTTCACTTCGGATGATCGAAACAAAGCGAGAAAGCAAGTGAGACTGAGTCCTTTTCGCAGCACGCAGCTGGTGTCGGCTCTCAGCAAGACATGTCTTCTCGGAGAGGCATCGTCCCATGTGTGGTTTTGACGTTGGCGGCGATGGGGACGGTCTCTTGGAATGTAGGATCTGTGTAGACGAGGACTCCACGAAACGTCTCTGGGACTAGTGATGCCGTGAGCACGAAGCACACGAGCATCAGTCCCGCTGACAGGTAGAAAAATGCTTCATGTGTTCCACAGGTACTGAGCAGGAACTCGTAAAACACGGGTGCGATGAAGGCACCAATCCGACCAAAGCTCAGTACCGTTGCTGTTCCACAGGCTCGTACGACTGTGGGGTAGCTCTCAGCAGCGAGGACGTAGATAGACACGGAGCCAACTTGAGGAAAAGCTTTGCTGCCATAATAGCCCAGCCGAATGAGCGATTCGCTGCTGCTGCAAAACCTTCACGCGATGCAAACTCCGATCACCAATAGCAACAAGTGAAGGCCAGTCGATTATAAGTAGCAGTGCGCTTGCAAAAGCTCATCGGAACCCTGTAGCTATAGTCAACACGTGTTTTTTGGCTACTGCGTGTGATGCTGCGCATGAAGGGGCAGATTGGGCAAACAGCTCCATCTCTCTGTATCTACATTTATACATATACATATACATATATATATGTTACATACACATACATACATGCATAGATACGTACACAGACAGCCACAAACAGCCACGGACAGACACACACAGACAGACACAGACAGACATAGACAGACACACACAGACAGACAGACAGACAGACAGACAGACAGACAGACAGACAGACAGACAGACAGACAGAGAGACAGACAGAAATATGTGTGTGTATATATATATATATATATACATATACACAGACATACACATGTCCATACACATATCGGTACCATATACATATGTATACAGGTAGATATAGAGAAATATATAGGTTCAGATATAGCTAAGGATAAAAGCTTCAAATAAAAATGTATAGACATAGATATAGCCATAGGTAGAGATACTGACATAGAGACTCAAATAAAAATGTATAGACATAGATATAGCCATAGGTAGAGATACTGACATAGAGACAGATATAGATGATAGATAGATACAGATACAAACATGGACATAGAGATGGACATAGAGGTAGACGCAGAGATTGACAGTGATATAGATATGTAGATATAAAGATATATAGGTATATAGTATATAGGTATATAGATATATAGGTATAAAGATACATAGATACATAGTACATAGAAATGTACATATGTAGATATGGTATAGATATATAGAGATATACTGATATAGAGATATGGAGATATAGAGATATTTTAGAGATACAGATAGATGACAGATAGACAGATGTGCGTGCATGCGTGTAGACTGTGGTGAGCAAAAGCCTGTGCATGCATGCATTGCATGTATGCCGTCGGTATGCTAGATCACGCCAGCATGCGAGGCCGTACTACATTACGCAGCCTAAGCGACGTCGAAGTGTGATCGAAAGATGAGCCCACCCCGCAAAGGTTGGCCAGTTGGCCCTCGATGTGCACTTTCCATGTTTGCTTTTCCTGTTGCTTCCACACTTGAGGTACTGCACTGATGGGCCAGGGCGCAGCAGGCTGGAGATGCCCAAGCCAGTGAAGTAACCGTAGAGCACCCACTTTCGCGGCAGAGCCAAGCCAGCCAGGAGACCGAACAAATCACCGGGTATCTCGGCAAAGGCACCCCTTGTAAGCTCGAGAACAGGGCTTTCGCGCGTCTCTTTCAGCAGTTGCGGCAGCAGTTGGGGAAAAGCCGTAAATGCTCCGTAGATCGTGAGATTGTAGGAAAAACACACCAGGCAGAGAACCGCTGTTGAGAGGCTGATGATCTTGGGCAGTTGCTTCCATATAGAAGCCGATGCTGGGCTACTCGTCTCTTGGACACTCTCAAAATCTATGTCGACATCGGGGCGTCCGTTGCGCTTCCGCATGGCATCTAGGGTGTCCAGCGCTTCCTCACGCTTGCCTGCAGCCGCCGAGAAAGCTGGAGACTCCCGCAGAAGAGCCCAGGCAACCAACCAAAAGATGAAAGCCGGGATGGCGTTGGCCATCAACATTCGTCTCCAGTTCAGCTGCTGCAAACTGGGATCATCGAGCCACATGACCTGAGTTTAACCCGTGTGTCAAAGGAGCGCACAAGGTCTTCGACATCTCTCTTTCGGCCGAGAGCTGCAGCTCTCTCAAAGGCCTCTCCTGCGAAGTGTTGTCTTAGCACTTACGTCTGGATGTCTGCAGCATGGGGGGGTCCAGCGCTGGTTTGACTTAGTTAGTTACTGTTTACAGTCTGCCATCGACGTTCCAGCTCGCAAGAGGGTGGAGTTGCTTGGCCGTGCTGGCATTTGCTGCTACAGGGGCCAACCTCTTTCTCCTGGCACCGCGAGCACTCACCACGCGGCCACCCTTTCCCGCTCCGTTTTGCCAGGTCAGTCCGTTAAAAACCAGCTTTTTGCGCCCACAGTGTTTTGCGGCCATCGCAGAAAGCCTTTTATGAGAATCGAGTACGATAGTTCGAGTGTTTTCCGAGATGGTTGAGCGAGCTCAGCTACAAGTAAGATCACATAGGCATATAGAATGATAGCCTTGTACTGGGACTCAGGTCATATCCATCGACAGCACAAAATTCGCGCACGCATGACTTTGCCTGCAAGACTTCACAAATGGAAACCACGGCAACTGAGGAAAGCACGAAGCAGCAGTAAAGCTCTCCCATTGCAAAGGCCGTTTGTGCCAGCCCTTGGTTCAAGGCTCTGGACTGGACCGGCGAGATTTCCATCAGGATCGCCACAGCACTGGGCTGCCCCGTGCCAAATCCCACTCCGACGAAGAAGCGGAGCGGCAAGAGCATCCAGAAGCTCGAGGCCTCAGAGAGTCTCCAGGCCGTCTCAAGGTCGAAGATACACGGACCAGCCAAGGCACTCCTGCACTTGCCAGACTGAGCAGAGCCACCATGGGAAAGCCTTAGACACGGAGACATCGCAGGAGATGGCCAGGGAAGGCCGTTCACTCTCTGTAGGGGACGCATGACTTGACGTTTGTGCCCTGGGCTGACCACAGCTGACTCTAACACAGCCTCCGTCTCTGTCCTGAATCCAAACGGGCTTGAGAGGACCGGTTAGCCGCCAGCCTTTCGTTGTACCGAACCTGGTGGCCAAACTGCATCCAATCTGATCCGGCGGCAATTTCAACATGGAGTCGACTAGAGAAAGTCACAAAGAAACAAAGGACGCCAAGCCTAAATTTGAGCCATGCATTGACTTGGTGCCAAGACACAAACCAGCACAGCATGCCGGCGTCCCAGCGTGTCGCCTAAAATGCCGCTGACAATGTTCCCAACAAGGACGCCCAAGTAGACGACTGACCTCGTTGTAACGTTCATGCCTTCTGTGCAAGATGCTACGAGAGGGGTATGGCCGCCTTTCCACTACGAGTAGATGTGAGGTTGCTGTGCTGCAACATCATTTCTGCTTCCACAAACACAAGCACGAACGTCTGAATCGCCCGAGGCACAGTAGCCAGCCCCGCTGGATTGCAGTGAGATTCCATTCCGCTGACAAGGTCGTCGAGATCGAACTCAAAACCAACAGCTCGGCTCCATCTGCCAACCACGCGCCGTTCACGATAAAGCTCGTGAAGAACTGACTCTGACCATAGCCGATGTCCTCTACCACAGCGGAAATGGTTCTGGGCCCAGGGTTCCCTGCCTTGGCCATCGATGTAGAGAATTCCAGTATCGAATAGGTCGAAACTCAACTCGCGCTGCCCATCGACAGAGAGGATGGAGGGAAGGACGCCATCTTCTTCAAGCCATAAATTAGCTGCAAATGCGCCCCGCGCGCCGCTGCCCCCCTCCCCTCTGCACCCTCCTTTCTTCCGCTGCTGGGCTCGGCCGGTTTCAGAGCGTTGAGCCGTTGAGCCGAGCGCTGTTCTTCCCCCGCGGCCTGGCCTCTCTGTCTGTGCCGTTGGCCCCGTTGGCCATGGCCATGGCACAAGGCGTGGAAACAGCAGGGCAGAGCCCAAGACTGCCTCAGAAGTGAGAGGAGGGACGGGGGGGACGCTGGGTCGGGCATCGGACGACCCTTTCTTTCCTGGCTTTTCCGCTACAAGCTGGGATTGGGGCGAGAGCCACCACCGGTGCACGACAGAGGACATCTGCGCTTGCACCAGGCAGCCCATCAGCCTTAGAGTGGAGGCCAGCTGACGTTTCGTCTCCTCGGCCTCATTGCCCCAGCCTGATTCACGGTGTGCTGTTGACACCTAATGACAGCTAAGGCACGCTGCTGGCTTGGCACATCCAACGGGCAAGCTGCGGCTAGCTCATGCTCGCTTGTCAGTCTGGCTTCAAGCTGAGTTCTGCAGAATGCTCTGTTTGCTTTACGCATGCTGCCCAATGCTAGACTCCAGACGTGAGGTCTAGTCTGGGCCTTGGCTGCGAAGCCAATTAAATACCTCTTCTTCCCTTAGAGCATGTCCGAGAGCTATCCTTCAACTCTGTGGAGATTGTGCAGGACCGCGCTCCGACGTCTTTCGTGCAGCAGCGTACGGCGACACAGCAAGGTTCACAACAAAACTCGGAGCGACTGAAGGTGTATGTATGCCTTTTCGCATCACGGTTCGGATTCTGAGCGTCTGAAGCGATGTCCTTTCTTCGCGCTCCTGCCACACAGAAGCCCAACTGCAACTCCACACTTCTGCTTCTTCCGCTGCTATTATTGCTACGACTTACTACCACTACCACTACCACTACCGCTACCACTACCACTACACTAACATTACCACTACCACCACCACTACCATTACCACTACGACTACTACTACTACTACTACTACTACTACTACTACTACTACTGCTACTACTAATACTACTACTACTGCTGCCGCTACTGCTACTCCTCCTGCTGCTACTGGTTCTACTACCACGACACGACTACCACTACCGCTGCCACTACCACGGCCACTACCATTCCCGCTACCACTACCACTACCACTGCGACTACTGCTACTGCTACTGCTACTGCTACTGCTACTGCTACCACTACCACTGCGACTACGACTACGACGACTGCTACTGCTACTGCTACTGCTACTGCTACAGCTACTGCTACTGCTGCTGCTGCTGCTGCTGCTGCTGCTGCTACTGCTACTGCTACCGCTACTGCTACTACTACTGCTACTACTGGTACTCCTAGGTATACTAGCACCACCGCCTAACCACCTACATTACCTACCTACCTACCTACCTTCCTTCCTACCTACTGCTTGCCACCTACAACTCATCAGTCACTACTGATGAGACTGCACCTTCCCACACGTCTTCGAGCAGAGTAGCGTTTACAACATGTTCATTCTCTCGCACCGTCTTGGCCCAAACACTTCCGGCTGTCAGCATTATGACGATATCCTAGCCACCAGCTGCAAAGAGGAGCGGATGTGTCCTGGTCGAAGATACAGGACTCTTGGGAGTGTCATCCCAGGCGCAAGCACGCAGCAGATCCTCCCTTGGAAGCGCATGAGGCCTCGTGCCAAATCCGGCAATGTCATGCAGATTTGCTGCCGGCTGCATCCGTGCAACGCTTCAATGTCAGTAGGTGTTCCATCTCGGTGGCCGGCACATGCTGCTCGGGAGGGAGGAGCTGCTCAGGGGGCAGAACATCCTTTTTCTCGAAGAGGTTGACAAATGCCTGCAAGACAGCAACTGGGTGTGTCATCGGACCTGTCTTACAATTTCTTGCAACCTTCAGGCTCAGTAAACAACGACGGCACAGTACAGCCTGAAACGACATCTCGAAACAAACTCAGCTTTCACATGCTCACACGAAATCCTGCATTGCGGGAGGGGACAAACATTGCTGAACGGCAACGAAACTACTGAACTTGGAAGTCTCCTATGAGTCTTATGATCACGATGCCGGGCTAACGGCAAGACTCGGCCTGCGCATGATCTGGTAAATTAGTGACGCCAGGGGCCGCCTTCAACGCCCTACTATGGCCTACTCCTAGTCGTCACAGCGAATCCTACTTTCCACCAATCCCCATGGTCCCATGGTCTCCCGAGTGCCGTCCTAAAGCTGTGTTGCATGGAACACCATTGGCCAATGGACGAACCATCCACTGCATTCATTCCAGAGATGAGATGCCTCGAAACTGATCTCGCCGTTGCTGTCGAGAGCCACTTTGGACTCTTCCCTAGCAGCCAGCAGCGAGCAATCAACATGTTGGCAGATGGAATGGTCACAAGAGCTGCAAAAGACTTTGTAGTTGCTGATGCCAGCTGAGTGACAACAGTTCCTCCACACTACCTTCCTCGAGGGACTCTTTGAGAACCAGCTGAACCTGGTCGAAGGCACCAAAATGCTAAGAGCCCACCGCAACTTGTGAAAGGATTCTGCTGGCTTTACGATGCTGTCTGACGACGACGGCGCACATGCTCTCACCGGAGGGTCTTCTTAAACTTGTTGGATTCTTGTTGTGAAGCTGCATCCTTTTTGATCAAGCCCGACTCAGGTCCGCTATGTGTTCACATGGGGTCCCGATATGTCCTGAGATGGTTTCCTCGGTGGTTTGCGATGTGCGCCTTCTGTTTATCATGTTTTGGAATTCTCCCTCTCTCTGCTTAGAATATCGTTCGGCATCACGCAGTAGTGAGCTGAAGGGAGAAAAAAGGAATTTCAGAAGCATGCTGGGCAAAGCACTCCTGCCTCATGCATACTGATAGTGCCGGAGCGATCTCGGTCAAAGCGATTGAAAATCTTGCGGAGAACCTCCCGCCTGGGCAAAGGTCGACAAGAACTCTCTTGCCAACTTCTATGGCCTTGGACAAGCTGCCGTAGCTGCCAGCGGACGCTCGCTGTTGCAGCCAGGAAGTCCTTACGGACATGGTGATGTTTCGGGTCAACCATCCGGTCGTTGCGTTTTCACGAACTTTCGCTTGGGCATCTGCCGGCTGTTGCAATAGGCTTGCAGTATGTTGTTATGTATTTGTTACATATCTATATGCCAAGCCGATGAACGCCAGAGACAGGCGCTGTTTTGGAACCCTAGGCACAATCAGCTTTCACGAAGTACGGGGAAGAGCCAGTCAAAAGGTTCCGCTGCACATGCCGGGCGGCAGGCAACAACACTCCATACAGTACCGGACACTCCATGGTCAGAAGAACAAAGGCATAAGGAGCAACCAAAGGCACGCTGCCTGAGATGCACTCTATCATGCAGCCAAACGCCCGCAATGCTGACACAAAGCTCGCGAGAGTTCTCCCGTTGGGCTCTTGAGAGCAATCAGATCCAGGAACTCAGAGCTGCACATAGTAGCGATACACTGCATGCTGACTTCAACGTGCGAGAACACGTGAGCGGGAGCGATGGTTTCGGGGGGAGCCACACAATGAGTTCTGCTTTCCACAATCGATACGATGGCATGGCTGATGCCCAACGCGCAGTCACTCCAGCCAACAAGGGCAGAGTTCACCAGAGTCGGGTTTTCCACATTAAGTTCCGAACAGAGTAGTAGACCTCCTCGTCTCCATTGGCATCCAACACCGAGAAAATCTGCTCTGCCTGCCAAAACACAGACCTTTCCGAGAGCTTCAGACGTCGTTTCACTGCGATGCAAGGGCTTGGTTTGGGCATCTGCCTCGTCTGCTGCCAGAGGAGTCGCAGGCGAACCCAGAAAAGGAGCCGTCTCCCTTAGCTTGGACCGTTTCACTTTGGTTTTGCTGTCATGATGTGCACTAAAGTCTGAAGATTGACACATGGCAAGTGGCTGTCGAAGCCGCCGACGATGCGAAGCCTTGGGCAACACTGCGAGCGAACGACCTTCGGAAACCCGACTGTCCAGAATTCCGAAACAAAAGCAGCCTATGTATCCGCAGTCACGCGGACGCACACACACACACACACTCTGTCGGCGGTGTGCTACATTCCTTGGAAGCACTGCATTTTCTGTTCCTGAGGGCGGCAAGCTGACGGGGAGGGGTCCCATGACTGACGACGACCTGGCACCTGGCTAAAGCACCTGCCAAGGACACAAGATTATAGGCTCTTCGGGTATGAGTGAATTATACCGGCCTTTGCCGTGTTGAGACTACTAGAATCAAATGGGCCCAGTTTCCATCGTGCTGCTAGAGGTTCCCACTCAGATCACCTTTCGCCCATCTCCCAACCTCCTCCCCGAGCGTGCCTTCCCGTGGCCTTATGGGACTGTGCACAAGCCCCAGCCCCAGTGTCCTTCGACCGGAGGGTTGTCAGGAGGCAACCGGAATCGAACATGTGCTAGACAAGTTAATTGAAGCTGCGATGTGGGTTGCTGGACTGATTATTCTTCAGTTCGACCATGCCCCTCTGGCAGAAGGGGAGTCTGAGATTGCAACGCGCATCTTGGGACTGAGCAGCTGCTCCGTCCACCTGCCGGGTGCTGAAATCTTGAAGTTCTTTCCAGCTTGCACTAGCACGGGCATGGAACAGAAAAGTTGTTTAAGAAGGATTTCAGTTCTGTGTGTCTTCTGTCTGGAAGCGGTATGCGCCTCCGGTTCACATCAACCCTCAAGAGTCCAAGTAATTCCAGAAGTCGGTGCCTCGAATTCGTGGGCGATTGATGCTTCGCCTGAGCATCAAAGACGAAGAAACTGGGCACGGTCGAATCAAGGCAGGAAGAAGCAGGCTTAAAGGCTTACGAGGGCCGCTGTGCCGTCGAGGAACACGGCGTGAGTGACGGCGCATAGCATCCTCATGGCCCATGGATGCATTCCGGGTCATCAGAAGATGCGGTGCAATCTGCGCTGGGCGGATGATGCGTGCAGATCATGGCAATGCTTGAATAGCTGTAGCCGCGTAGCCGTGCAATGGCACGGATATGTCATGATATCTCCCACTCAGATCTGAAGGTGATCGGCCCCGGGCCTTCAAGTCGCAAAGCCGGATGGTTCCCCGAGCGTCCTTGCGTGTTGCGCCCGACACTATCCCGTCCCACGGAGCTGACAAAGGAAAAGGCTAAGAGTTGGACAGAATCGAGTTTCATGAACAGCTCGCCTCGGCCGGACTCTTCCTACAAGTAGTACCTACGCCTTCTGCGTTCTGCAAGCGCTGTGAGGTCCCAGCGCATCTCGCTGACCTCCTCCGGGGCAAGCTCCTGGGCCAAGAGCTGCCTTGCAAACGCTTCGTGAAGAGTCTCTTGAGTCCGCCTCTCGACAAAAACTCGCAGACTTGGAATCTGCATGCATGCGGCAGAAGCAAGCGCTGCATCTTCGACTTGGAAGAATACCTGGAGTTAGGGAGATAGCTGCGCAAGGACTGAGCACTTGCAAGCTCAGGCCAAAGAAACCAGCCGAGGTACTGTTGCAGTGACACCAACACGGAGGGATCCAATTTCGGCTCCGCGACGTCGGCAAACTGCAGGGGGCGAAGCTGTCGCACATGGAATGCAACAATCATGATGTCGCTGCCGGAATTGGAGCAGCGCATTCTGCAACAGCTCTATATTATAATGTTGCAAGGACCAGACGTCCACTCGACAACCATGTTCAACAGTTGCTGATCTGGACATGGAGGGTCTTGAAGCTCCAAGGCAGCTTGCGATCCCATTTCTATACTATTGTATACTTCTTCAGCCGATGAACATGCAACTCACAAACTTGCAATGCAAGGCGCCGTTTTGGTAAGCCAAGGGTGCTGAAGTGCAGTTTCTGCCTGAGTCTGCAACGGCTGCACTTTTCATTCTTCCATCATCCGCACAACAGTCAACAGACTGACAGTCATCGGCACCCGTAGATTCAGGGATTCAGGGAGATACCAAGCCACCGTCATGCGCTGGGTGGGGTTGACAACCAGAAGTTTCTGCACGAAGTCTCTCCTCAGCATACAGTCACTCAACCGCTTAGTGACGGCATGCTGAACCGGCTCCCTGCTCAAGGGGGCCCAATCTGCTTTCCAGACAGACATGTTGACTCCTGGGATAATCGCCTCAAAAGCTGCTTGCAACTCACGGTACACACCAGCATGCTTCGGCTTCTTTGCGCAAGTTTCGCGTGCTCGGAAACGTTGAGAAGCCGGTCCCACTTCACCAGGCCTTTCTCGATGTCCTTGCCTTAGTCAAAATCTCTAAAGTGCTCACTGAAAGTGCGGCAGGCCCGCAGCTATTCACCAACAGCTCGTGCTCGTGGACACGAGTACACATGATCAAACCTAAAAATTCCAGGGTTTAAGCTCATCCTGCTGAGGTATGCTCGACCCCCATCGCTCCGCTCCCTGCAAAACGCGGAAACTTCTTGTAGGTTCGGAACGGTGCAAACCAGTTTGGGTGCATGATCCTGTGCTCCCAACTCCTTATGCCCCTGATTCCTGTCCCTGCCGGTCACCCCCTTTCAGCAGTGCTGCTTTCGCAAACTGCGCAATGTCTCTCGCGTCCTTCGGTTTGATCTCCGGTTACACGGTTCAAAGACGTTTGATCTGACTCTTGCCTGGTCTGACAATTTCCGTCGGACAGCGGTTGTGTCTTATGCTGCCTGCCAATGATGGGGCTTCTCTTTTTGTGCCGGACCGGCTGGCTTTTGTTCATGCTGGTATGTTCCTGGCTATGCTCAACCGGGCTTGTGTTTATGCTAATGCTCCACTCTTTGTGCCAATGCCAACCTCGTTTGTTATGCTGTGGGTGGGAAGGGGGCTCTTTGCCTGTCGCTTCTTTTTTCCCACAGCCTTGTCGAATGCTTTTTCAGCGGAGGTGCTTGGGATGACATGATGTGACGATATTCCTTATTCCTGTTTCTCTGTTTTTCTGTGTTTGTTGACGTTGCTTGATTTGACTATTCTTTCAAGTTTTCTTCATGCAACGCAAGGCCCGCGGCTGGCCGGAGCTGCTGCTCTTCATTTCCGCCCGGTGCGATCCATTGCAAGTTGTAGTCCGCGCGGCCCTCTGACCACTGACCACTAAAACTCGGGGCTTTCGGTGCCATCGGAGCGCGATCCATTGTAGATTCCATAGTCCTTCGCTCTAGCAGACTCTAGGGGCGCCGCCGGTGTGTTCGTGAACATTTTTATCCGCCGGCATTCCAAGCTCGCGATTGTAAATAACAGCATGCACGCCTCGTGCCGCTTGTGAGATGTCCCGAATTGTAAAACCCCTCGTGTCGGCGATCAGCAGGATCCGCTGTAAATTCCAATACGTGCGCTTTGCGTCATTCTCGAATTGACAGACCTCTCAGTGTTTACATCGTCTCCGGCAGGTGCCGTTGCAACATGGCTGCGCACATGCTGCCTTCGGCCCACCAGTACTTGGTAGAAAGGATTTCGGTCGTGCGCCGCCACCCCGGGGCAGCATAAAAAAAGTGAGACTAGCATAAGAGCAGAAACCTGCAGCATGAGAATGTGCATGCCAGCATTTAAAAGAGAAACCATAGGCATAACAAGAGAACCCATGGGCACAAGCAAACGAACATGCCTTCAACGGGATGGAGACATGGAGCCGGATGGAGACATGGAAGTGGAGAGAACCATGCGCACAGAAAATGACACCCCAGTCCGTTTCCGTGGTCTGGACCTCTCGCCCGACCCGGAGCAGCATCCCTTCATCAGCGAACAAGTGGCGCATGCCCTCAAAACCTCTTGAGGTGCTCCATGGAGGCCGACCCGCAAGAAGCATGAAGACCTCGAAACAAGTCTGTCGCTGCTGTCTGAGAGCTTTTGGGCAACGGTCACGAATGCACGACAGTCTGCGCAACATCGGCCAGAGCTGAGTCGTTAAGTCTGCCATCTGCAGTTTTTCTTCCCGAGAACGAAAAGCATGAAGAGCATTGTATGTGACAGCCTATACGACTCATCCTTGCACCAATCCTTTTGCCATGAACATCTCCAAAATCAACTCTTCACAGACGAGCGGTGCACTAAGAATGCGAGCTGAGCCGCCACAACACCCAAGCTCCAAAGGTCCTCAAGAGCATGGCCAGACTTGCTGCAGATGCGGTTCCAACGGGGAGCGCAGTAATGGCGTGAAACCTCCAATGAGAGCCAAGGTTCACATTGGCTGGTGTATTCCTGCACCAGACTGCAGTCAGTGCTTTAGTCACCGGCAACCCTGGCGGTTTCGGGATTTCATAGTTTCTGCAGATCGGGATTAAGGTGCACTTCCTGTGCGAGCCTTGTTCCATCCTTCCGAAGGTTTGCGGTGCACGCTGACCGAAGTGCTAGGCGATCTCGGAGGGACGGAGCTAAGTCTGAACCTCTGCCCATTGCCGTCGCTTTTTGATGCTCGGGCACAACCCAGCAAGGCAAAGCTTCAGTCATGAGCATGCCCAGGCCTTACCACTGATGACATCTGGACTGCAGAACTCCAGGGTGCCAACAGAAGCTTTCATTTTCATGTCAGCATCCTGAGCAAGTTGTGAAGTTCTCATGAAATCCGGCTGAAGCTACGGCTGCCGGCCCGGCCGCCGGCCCCGGGCGGCAAAAGCGTCGTAGCTTCTTGTCTCGTTTCGCCAAAGCGTCTTCAAGGGTTTCGCACAGCCCGAAGTCAATCAGTTTCAGGAGGGCATCTTTCTCTGCTGATTCCTTACTTGGCGCTGCAACTTCACACAATCTACCCATATCTCTACACTGCTGTACCTAGCCCACTTGACTGCAGGCTCGGAAAGTGTGAGCGATGTAGCCGCATGGTGCCGTGTCGGTCTCTCTGCTGGGGGCCACGAGTTGCCGAAAAACAGCAGCGCTTCCAAGTCAAGGGGACACATGTATCAGTGCCCGTGCAAACCAGTGTCGTAGAGGAAGTTCTGGAGCTTCCTCGAGTGGCAGCAGGCTCCACCGCACAAGAGCTCTTTCCACTCTTCTGAGCGAGCTTCAGATCGCGGTGGACGATGCTGTGCGCATGAAGATAGTTGACAGCTTGGAGCATCTGGGACGTTGCCTGCATAAAGCGACAAGAGACACTTACATCATAGCAAGAGGAGCTAACAATTCGCTCGACGGTTTCATGCTAGTTTGCGATGCCGAGTTCAATGGCGGCGGAACCCTCGAGAAGGTACCATGCCTCTGCAGCAGCCGCTTCGTCGTAGACCTCTTGAGCCTCCAGACGCTGTAACAACTCCCCGCCGGAGCAGTACCTTCCACTGATGGCATGGAAAAGTCGGATCTGGAGTCCCACTGATGCCAACAAGAAGCTCCATAATGAGTGCAATGCCATCCTCCCATTCGTAGACATCGCTCCTAGCAGCACAGGCTGGCAAGTCTTGATTGCAAAGCGCCGGCGACGGCTGAAATCGCTGCAAGCCCAGAGGTGTCATGAAATGTCATGAAGAGCCTAATCTTTCGACTCAGCCGGCGGCAGTTGCGCGATGTTTGGATGGTCCACCGTCAGAAAGACTTCGCATTCCTTCTTCAGGTGTCTATACCGGCCTGTCCAGAACAAACTGTCGCCTTCATCCGATCCAGCTTCTCCAAAACTCCGTGCCTTCGGTCAACCCGTTCTTGTCAAAGGTCTTCAAGGCATGCTTGCGCCCATCGACCCTGCCTGCGAAAAACGAGTCGTGACTTATTCACTTAGCACAACACTGACATGAAGCGAACATGCTGGCTACGAGCCAGTTCGACAGCTTGCCGTCGGTCTAGGCCCACATCATCAAATTTCAGTGCCAGGCCACTTGTCACCAGCTGGATACTGCCTGACATCCCGCTTCCGAGGATCTCATCCTGCCAGTCCCGAAGCTACTGACGACTTTCCGTTGCGTCAGGTGGCGCTGATGAACAAGCCTGAAGCTCGTAGTCGTCTTCCAGCCTGAAAGAGGTTAGGGTGAAAAGCTGGCACATGCACATTGACAGGCAGCAACGGCGAAAAAGCAGAAAGTGCGCAATGCTTCCTGGCCTGCGACCTCCAACCTCATGGTAGCGGATAAGGGCCGCAGGTGGGTTGGGAGCACGTCGGCCTTGGTGTTCCAGCCACGCAAGGCAAGACTGCGATGCATGCACATCGGCAAATGAAAGGAATCTCCACTGGAACCCACTCCGCCCGCGCCCAATTTTCTGCTCGCCAAGGCTCTAACTGCCCTGACCTCTGCAAGAGTGGACTCGCACTCGCTGCGGTTCGAACCCCAGCAGCAACGACTGTGCTACTATGTGCAGACGGGTGGCAGACACCGCCGTTCTCTTCTCTCCATGCCACAAGGGGCATAGTCCCTCGCAGAATTCGACGGGAATGCCTCAAGCAAGGCCATGAAGGCCGAGTTGTGGTCATTGCGAGTTGTGAACATGAAGCTTTGCTAGTTCTGCAAGGGGTTTGGACGCGCCCAGGGCAGATTGCAAAATGCAGTCAGCTATATGACTGTACAAATCACCTGATTAGCGGCAAGTGCTGGTATAAGGATTCGTTTTGAGGCTCCATGTCCAGCCAAATATAACGGTGACGCCCGACTGGGTCTTTGTGGCTGAGATCTCCTTTTTTTGCAAAGAAAAGCTTACCGGAGCAATCCCGACATAGCGGCGCTGTGACCCTTACGCAACTTTTCGCTCCCTCTATTCTGGCTTCAGGCTTCACAGCTCTGCAACCTGTCAAGAGTTCCAGGCTCATTGTCGGCATGGCAAGTCGTTGGGAACCTGAAAAGTTTGGCTAGCGGCTAGGGCCAGGGTGTCCTTGAGTCGCATGAAAAGCTGAGTCTCCATTCCACAACTCAGGCGTGCAAACATACCCGTCGGAGAGAAACCATGAAAACTGAAAACCATCGACCGGTGCTCTAACTCGCTGGCTTCGCGACGGTGCGTTGCCTGACTATTTATGCTATGTCGTACCCTTGAGCAGAGCCCTGCTCTTGGCCAAGCAGCAGCAGCCACATCTCTGGAGTTGCATCTCATGGCAGTGAGACTGCAGATGTTGCAGATGCTGCTGGACCCATTTAACTACCCCGTCAGGCTCGAAACAATGGACAGTGCTCCCTGGGGTTTTAAAAAAAGCGCCAACACCGACAAGAGCCTTCAGATCCGTGGCTCCACCGAAAACCGTACGTCAGCCGTGGAAACGTCGGGGCAGGAGAGGGCAGCAAAAGTTAGGGTTGGAGTTAGACTGAGTCCTGCACGCAGATGCGTTAGCAGTTTGTACTGTCACCGAAGTTCGGTTCTGCTGTCGTGCAAAAGCCCAAAGAATGCGAAGGCGCCAGACGGGAAACTGCTGTGCATTTTTTACGCTGTGCAACGCAGCACTCCCAGCCATGAACTGGCGCGACTGGACGTAAACGACCCGATTGTCTCCGACAGACTCTCGAAGCACACTGCATTGTTTTCGGCTGGACGCAGTCGCCTGATGGAGGTCATCTTGCGCCTGGCAGATGTCACTCGACACAAGATGTAGCAGCCCTGGTGCAAGCATGGCATCAAAGCCTACAGCCACACTGGGACGAATAATGGTACCACGACCACTTTGACCTCAGTTGAAACGAGGTGAAGCGTCGAAAGGTCAGTGCTATCTGCTGCCCAGCAGCAAAGGCGAGTGAACGAAAACCAAATTGGCTTGCCCATGTCATAGTCATGCAGGACCTTCACATGTCCATATCCAACACTTACCCAACGAAAAGCATTCAACGAACCTTTCCCGTGACGGAAACCGCGCTGTACTCCAGTCGAGCTGCTGTTTTTGTTCCCACCACGCATAAGCAAAAGAGCGACAATGCCAGAACGGTGGTGACCGAAAGCCTCGTGATGTACTCAGCAAGGCGGATTACAATAAAGACTGCCTTGCTTCACTGTCACAGAGGACGGCCATGTGCCAGCAGGATGCGTAATGAAGGAATAGCGTCTGCGCTTGCGGATAAAGACCTGCAGACAGTCCCAGGCTGGGACTGCATCAGGGCAGCCCAACTTCACGGCATGCTCAGCTCCCCTGTCTGCTCTCTGGTTATCGATTCGTGCGATTTTCATCCCACGGAGCTCCTCGCAGGCTGTCTGGCCCAGGTACGTGGCCACGACGGCCACAACACCATACCACAAAGCATAGTGCCAGACGATCCTGAGGATTCCGGAGCAGAACTGGGACTAAAAGCCTCTTGAGTTGAAGCCGCCAAAAGTCTGTCCCATCATGAAGTACTGGATCGTGGCCAGCGAGCTCGACCTCGGCAGCTAGCGGTGCAGCAACCGCGGAGCGGCAACCGCCGAGCTGTCCCGAGATTTGGGGGTCGGATGGCGGCGCTAGGAGGCCGGCAGAAAGACGAAGCTGGCGACGGTCGCCTCCACAGCGGGAGAAGAGCGGGAGAAAGACGCACTCCGCTTCCAATGCACGAGCGCAAGATGTAGGAACTAGAAAGACAAACACTAGCGAAAGATCGAAATTCGCCCCAACGCCGCGGCTTCCCATATGACCGTCCCCTCAAGTGCAGCTGTCCTGAACAGCCTCGCTGTGCATCCCCACCTTTGCAGCGTGGGGTGCTAAGGGCTTCAAGAATTCGGCTGAATAGCTGGTAACATCTGCTTCACGAAGCCAGCTCTTATTGCACCTCTGGAAGTTCTACGTCCGCAACAGCTGGCAAACTACAACAGCACTTCACCCAGGATGCGCACTACACCTTCTCGCACAGCTAGTTAAACAGTTAAACTTGCTCATGATGCCCCACCTCAATCAAGACTGGACTCAGCAAGATGCCGCCACCAAGGCCTTCACACTGACAGGTGTCACAGAAAGCCACATACCACGACCGATGCAAGCCCAAAACAGCACCGCACAAAAGCTGAGCCGGACTGGGGCACGGACCCAGCATGGCACCCAAAAAGCCGGTGCCTGCTGAGCGACGATTTCCAGTCATGGCTCGTGATGCTGAGAGCGCATAGCGGTGCCCCAGAAGGCTGTCGAAGCCATCCCCGACATGCAGTTCGACCCATCGTTGCCTCCGTAAGCATATTGCCTTTCCCCCGCCCCGCTACGCACCAAACCCAATTATTCAATACTGCGTTCAGCACTTTCACGATACATCACATCACATCATCCCCACACACACACCCCACAATCACCAAGCATCGTCTCAATGAGCACCTTAAAAAACATGTTCGATGGCTGTTCAATGTTGAGACCCCTTTACCAATCTCAGCAGCAACCGCTTTCCCGCCCAGAGTACAATTCTTCAGCATCCCATCTTCCACGAGCAGAGCGAAAGCCCGGACACACACCAACTGGCTCGCGTCGAGGCGAGGCTGGACGGCTTCTCCTATTGGAACTTCTTTCTTGGTCTATCAGCTGCACGCGTTCTGAGACTTAGTGAAACGAACTTTGAAGCTTTAGAGACCCATTCACGCATTTACTTATTACCGTCCCACGAAGCCATTTACAAAAGACAGATCACTGTCATGCGGTATTGACTAGTGTCTCAACAAGCGTGCCTGCTACGTGAGCTCTAAGCCAGTATCAGTAAGCATTGAAGTGCTACCAAAATCCCTGGTACTAAAAGTGCTGAGGACACAATTTTGTGGTCGGAGACATCGTGTCGGCTGTCAGGCCAAAGGAACGTTCGACCCATCCGCCGAGGAGTTCACCACGTTTTCATTTTCCACTTGCAGTGAACCCGTGCGATGCGATGCTGCCCTTCGTCAAACCAAAGAGCGAAAGGCACTGTTTTCCTTCGCTCTGGGTGCTGACAAAAACACACAGACATCCACACACACACACACACACACACACACACACACACATTATAAGGCACAGGCCAAAAGCCACCATGGGAAAGGTCATGGGATGGCGGTCCTGCAAAACTCCAAATTAGCTGGAGGCACTTTGCAATCAGACCCTGCAGTGAACTGCCTATGGGCACCACCTTTACTTGACAACCCAGCCTTCCCTCCACCATTGAGCCAGTCAATGGGGTTCAAGTAAGATGTGGCTTGGAATCGCCATGTCCTTGGCAGGTGCAGATCTAGCCCCTTGAGAACTGAGATCGTCCAAAGCTGGACAGTGTGGCCATGACAGCTGCAACATGAATGTTTCCGAGCTTACTAGGAATCACGATAAGTGGAGGGGCTGACAACTTTGTGATTGGATCGCTCCTTGTGTCTGTCCTGATCGACGATTGTTGCACTTTTCTGGGCGCGAGGCATCACAAGCGCAAACGTAGTAAGCAAAGCAGCTAAAACACCTGGCAGTTGCAGAAGTTGAGCCCACACCCCTTGGTACATGAAGTCAGGACCGGGGGGAACATCATGGAGCCTCACTTCGAAGTCAAGACTGCGCAAGCAGCAACAACTAACTCTGCTCAGTGTGAGAAGAGGACAGTCGGACATACTGTAAGCAAAGAGGATTTTACCACATATACCAGCGGCCATGGAAGCAGCGCTTAGCCTATGAGCAAACGAATCTGATGAAGTCTCTGCCGTAAGGCAACCCGCGTGCTGTAGCAGCTGCTGGTTTCATCCAACAGAATGCCGAGGGCTGGAAAAAGAAGAACCCGGCTTCTTTGGATGGGCGCACATAGGAAAAGCCCGTAGTTGATCGAGCAGTACGGGAGGCCTTCCAGCAAAGGACTTGCAGTGTAGCCAAAATCCAGCTCGCAGGGAAACTGAGGCATCCACCGTGCAAACTGGCACCGAGCATCACCAACCACACAATCGCGATGCCGGCAATCTGCTCCGACCTTGCTACCCGTGTGGATACCAACCTAGCAATCGACATCGACCGTAAGCAGTTGTCACCCATGTCCTCAAAATCTCTGTGATTGGGTATCTCGCTTAGCTTGCACCAGCTCCTTCATGACCTCTCCGTAGCTCATGACCACCTTTCGAGTCTGCCACCAACATCACAAGCTCCCTTTTCTTCAGTGGACATGTCACGAACATTTGCTGTGTATTCGAGCACAGTCATCGTCATGGATGAGGCTTCTCCAATTAAACTCTCGGTTCTTTCACTGATTACAGTGCACTGCCTCCGGGCCCTGCTGTGGGACATCATCTTCGGCAGCTGGCCCTTACGCAAAAGCACTTGCAGATCTCGTCGCGACGATCAATACCACACGAGGCAGCCACGGACCCACCGCTTCGACCGCATAACAGCGGTCGAAGCCTAGATTGTTATCAGTATAAGTGACATTATTACAGCTGTCGACTGGTCTGGGAGGTGAGCCCGAGCAAGTTTATTAGCGCCTCGCTTGAAGGGAAATGCCGACCGGAGCAAACCCGCCCGTCAAACTGGAGCTCACCTCGAAATCTGAGCTTCTGTGACTAACATTGCCAAGCTCTGCACGGTGAGCCAAAAGCTCTCTTTCCTCCGAAGCAGGGTGAGGCTGGCGGTTGAAACATGTGTTGCACCTAAGCAGTCCCCTAGCCTGACCGATGAGAATTCCTCACCTTGCATTCTACCGCAAACAACCCGCACTTCGAGAGTGACATGGTGGTACCCACGCAACAAACCGGTCATGGACTTGCTTGACGACAAGGCCGCAAGCGAAAGCATTTCACATCAAGCAGTCAGGGTTACCAAGGGCCGCTCTGTCACGTGAAGAGAGGGATGTAGAACAAACATCACATCAGCGGACAAGCTTCTGCAACAAATAGTAATTTGGAGGGGAAGACACCACGAGTGCCAAGGAATCACACTTCACACCGCGTTGGTCCACAACAACGGATCTGGGATGCACAGCACGGGGGCGCCAGCGGTTCGACATCTCAGAAGCAAGGCAGCACAAGCATCCCGTGAAAAGATAAACCTCAGCCGCGAGTAGCCGAGTAGCCCTTGGTGCCTTCATCACCGATATCTGAAGGGTCCTAGCGAAAAAAAACATCGAGTCGTGGATGCGTGTGCATAAATATACTATTGAAGTTAAATGGTGAGCGCCTTCTGATTGAGAACGCCACATGTCTGAGATCTCAGAAGGAAGGCAGCACGAACATCTTGGCAGAAGACAAGCTTCGGATGCAAATTACGCTTCGTGCCTTCATCACCGGTCTTCCTTTATGAGGAGTTTTGGTCAACAAGCACATCGACTCGTGGACACCGGCTGCAATGTTATTCATGTTTAAGAGGGGGCCTGCGTTCAGCGCCACATGTCTGAAATCTCAGAAGGAAGGCAGCACAAGCATCTCGTCAAAAGACAAGCTTCAGCTGCAAATTACCCTTGGTGCCTTCATCACCGGTCTCCCTTCACGAAAGGTGTTGGTCAACAAGCACATACACGGACATCGACTAGTGGATATCACATGCTATGTTACTCATGTTTATATAAGAGGGAGCCTGCGTTCAGCGCCACATGCCTGAAATCTCAGAAGGAAGGCAGCACGAACATCTCGTCAAAAGACAAGCTTCAGCTGCAAATTACCCTTTGGTGCCTTCATCACAGAATGTGTTTCCGCAACTATGCTGAAGATCAGGCGTGGAAGACGCAACGCGACATTGCAAGGGACTAGCAACCTATGCAGACGCCAGAGGTTCGATATCTCAGAAGGAAGGCAGCACAAGCATCTCGTCAAAAGACAAGCTTCAGCTGCAAATTACCCTTTGGTGCCTTCATCACCGAAAGTTTTTCCGCAACTTTACTGAAGATTAGGCGTGGAAGACGCAACGCTACATTGCAAGGGACCAGCAACCTATGAAGACGCCAGAGGTTCGACATCTCACAAGGAAGGCAGCACAAGCATCTCCTCAAAAGACAAGCTTCAGCTGCAAATTACCCTTTGGTGCCTTCATCACCGAACGTGTTTCCGCAACTATGCTGAAGATCAGGCGTGGAAGACGCAACGCTACATTGCAAGGGACCAGCAACCTATGAAGACGCCAGAGGTTCGACATCTCAGAAGGAAGGCAGCACAAGCATCTCGTCAAAAGACAAGCTTCAGCTGCAAATTACCCTTTGGTGCCTTCATCACAGAACGTGTTTCCGCAACTATGCTGAAGATCAGGCGTGGAAGACGCAACGCTACATTGCAAGGGACCAGCAACCTATGAAGACGCCAGAGGTTCGACATCTCAGAAGGAAGGCAGCACAAGCATCTCGTCAAAAGACAAGCTTCAGCTGCAAATTACCCTTTGGTGCCTTCATCACAGAACGTGTTTCCGCAACTATGCTGAAGATCAGGCGTGGAAGACGCAACGCTACATTGCAAGGGACTAGCAACCTATGCAGACGCCAGAGGTTCGACATCTCAGAAGGAAGGCAGCACAAGCATCTCGTCAAAAGACAAGCTTCAGCTGCAAATTACCCTTTGGTGCCTTCATCATCGATTGCTTTTCACACGAATTTCTTCACTCGTCTCATCAGCCACGGAACTGTTAGTGCGAAACCCACTGTTGCGCTCGAATGGCACTTGCACCGAAACGGCCGCAACAAAGCTTTGCTTCTGGCTCGAGTTCCTTATGATCCTTGTGTAGACCACTGCAGTACAATCCGAGACGCAACGGCAGCTCGGCACACACGTGTGAATATGAACATGCACAGTCCGCACAGTGCAGTCCTGCTTGAGCTGCTTGAGGCCTTTAGAGCCAGTGCGCCACAAAGCCAGGCCTCTAGCATGAAACCCAAAACACCGACTTGCCAGTGTGATCGAATGCTGAGGATCAAGCAAAGAGTGGAGCAAAGCAGGGTAAGTAGAAGCCATGAGGGCGATGTGCGATTTACCAAGACCTCACACTCGATTCGTCTCCGCCATGTACCAACAGCAATGCACCGTTGGTCGCCCAGGCTCCCAGCACCAAGCGTGACACCAAGGCAAAGCATAGGAATCAGGACAACAATGCAGTCCTTAGCATCCAACCACTCAGCTCATGCGACGGTTTGAAGATGTCCATGTGAACTTGCCTGCCTCCCCTGCCCTATGTGTAGTTGTGCCAGGGTTCATAGTCGATAACTGGCAGCTCTGGGAAATCAGGGTGCCTTCACATCCGATCATGACGCCGCTAAGCTGGAAACAAGAGCTGCGACGCCTTCTGGCCAGGAAGACGGACAGGTTCACGATGGAGCCTACCTTCGGCCGGACCCCGTAGCTTCTTCCGGACCGAGGCATGTATTCTTGAGGCTCCGACAAGAATCATGAACTGGGACAAAGCCACTACGGCAGATTCCTTCCACTTGAAACAAAGCACATCATGCACATCTCAATCTTCCCTAAGTTCTTGCCTTATCTCAGCCGAAGAAATCTGCTGGTAGCTGTTGAGCATGCCGTCATTTGCACATGAATCCTAATCGGCTGTCCTGCAAATAAGAAAAAGAGATCAGGACCGGAACGAAAATGCTTCCACCGCCAGTTCCAGATGCTGCAGCCAAAGCAGAAGACCTGCTCAGGGTGGCTGTTAAGAACCCCTACCTATGCACCAGGCAATGCTCACCAGTGGGCCCATCAACCTGACTTGCATGCATAAAAACCACTGAGTGGCTGGCACTAGGATCAAAAGAGTGCAGAACTTCCTGACCATAATCTTGACTGGTGTGATCAGGCTGCTTCATCAATGCTTATCGTGTCTGTTCATGTCGGCAGAACATGGCAGAACCGCAACAAGTTGAGACTCCGGTTCCTGACCGCTTTGCTGCACTGGCTGCAGAACCCTCTCTGGTTGTGCTGCCAAAGCTCTCGCTGCTGTCGAGCCAGGCAGATTCCCAAGCCTGCCGAAAGCACTGCAATGATGCGGCTCTTGGTGGAACTCCACCAGTGACGTTTCTCTTTGGATATCTAGCTCATGCTCAGGGTCCTTTCTTACAGCCGCCCAGCACATGTTGCACCTATGCATGTCGGCCTGCCGAACAACTGGCAGACTGGTGTACCCCGTTCTGTCCATCAGGGTGTTGACATCTCAATAGTCATGTGATTGAACGATGACCACAATGGTAACCGACTCGCAAGAGATGCTGCTGGCCTTTCGACCAGTCGCGCGGCAAGTTTTGCCACCACTCCTGCAGACAGAAAGAGCTCCGGTCGAAAATGCATTATGCCACTCTGATTGCGATCAAGCGGCATGCTGAGCGCACACTGGTGAAGCGATGGGCATTCAGAGTCTTCTGTGCAATGGGCACACAAACCCTGGCGCAGGACCAACGTCACAACAAACTGCAGCAGCTTGAAAAAATCGCTGGAAACAGGGAAGGTTTTTGATATGAAGACGCGCCTTCCGGCACACGAGATCTCCGCATTGTGTATCAGCCTCCCGGAAACTCGGCAGTCTTCCCATTCGGCAGTCTGCAGAGTCTGACTCTCAATGCGGCGATGTCGGTTCCTGCTCCGTGGAGCATTTCCTTCCCTTGATGACACCCCGCAAGTCGCTCCAGTCCAACCTTAGCCAAGGCCATGGGCACCGTAAACGTGCACGGCGGAGGCAAACAAAGATGAAAGACTGCAGCACTGATGCTGCCGACGCATGCATATGAGGAAGCGGCACATGTTTGGGGTGCTTCGCATACCCAAATTCGCCAAGCCTTTGTTGACAAGCTGGCAGAACTTGCACGCCACGCGAGATCAACGGAATCCCGAACTCTTGTGCTCACGCCAAAGTCGAAGAGGTTGAGGATCCAGCTTGCTTGCGTTCTGGCACAGCAGGCTTCATGTCTAGCTGCTTGCTGTTATTGTAAAGTTGGACCAGACTCTGTCGCATGACACTTCGTGACACTCTGGTTGCATGGCAGTTCTGGTCGGCCTGCACGATGGGCCCAAAATCGCTTTTGGGCGACAACACGTCCTTCACATTCCACGTGAGTCGCCAGGAGGTTGCCTTACCACACCGTTTGTCTGTGCTCTACTCAGAGGGTGATGTCCTCCGGTCGGCTGCCGTTGATGAGGACCTCTACCTGCGAACATTCGGCAGTAGCAGAGTGCTCAGCAACTTGAAAGCTCAGGCTCGCTCAGCTCGCAATCGAACCAAGGGAGACTTTCTACAAACAAGAAAACACAACAGTAGTCACTGTGGGAATGCAGCACTAGTGGAATACTGCGATGCTATGTTGCTGACTGATTTCTTCCTGGCCCATTACCTTCAACACACATCGAAAGACTTTCCACTTGATAACTTGTGTACCAAAACCTTCATGGCGGCCGGGCTGTACCAAACTGTGAAGACCCTTTTTGCGTCCTCTGCAATAACACAATGGTACATATGCAGAGCACATACAACTTTGCGGCCTGTTGCACAAGACGCATCTTCTGATGTCGGGACATGCCGGAGTTCGCCCCATAACAAAGCCTGTGCAGACGGCAACGGATCTGGAGCCAGCTCCTGCCATTCCGTCGGAAGTGCCAATCAACGTCCATGTTTTTTGCGAAGGACTTGGACATCTCAAGCCATCAGACCATGCATGGCATGGCGTCTACGAGTTTCTGAGTTCATAACAATCCTTCGCTTTGGGTTTGGCTTCTGCGGCCGCTAACGCCAGAACCAGCAGCAAGACCGCTGCCATGCCTGAGAAGCAGGAGAGCATTGACATGATCAATGCAGTACTCTCCACTGCGGCAAAATACTGACACATCATTGCTTGGATTTGGACTTGTCGAGCGGCTTGGTATGGTGGTGGGCAGCCCCAAGCTGCTTCCACGATCTACCTGAGGCCGGAACAGGAAACGTTCCGAACATACGGAGTAACTGTCACGACAATCGCCGGGCCTCTGCATTAGAAACGGAACTCCGCGCCCACAGATTGAATGTGGGCTTCTCGCGGAGATTCTGTTGAACGAGCCAGAAGCCACGGTAGTGTCTTCCTAAACTACAAACCCTGTGAAAAGAAACGGTCAACACATGTCAGAACCGGTGCTCGACCATGCTGCCGATCAAAGCTTGAGACCAACCATTTTGCTGACAGGTCAAACCGAAATTGCTGGTCCAGTTGACAACTTTCGGCGTCGCCCCGCACCATCCAAAGCAAGCCAGCTGCACAGCATTTCGGTTGTCCTATCCATGGCCTGTCAAATGTGCAAGGTGCTTAACTCCGCCAAAGCCTCATGGTTTCTTGGCCAATTCACAGCCGAACGCACCTCCGGCGGAACCTTGCCACACCTGTCGCCTGGTTTTACTTTTGGCATACCTCCAATTTAGAGCTCCTGTTTTGAATCCAACCCATCCGACCGACTTAACAATCATGGGATGGAGGTGCGACAATCGACAGAGTTCGAACCACGGCAAGCTTGATCTGTAGAATGCTTCCGGCTTGCGAGAATGGATGTCTGGAAAGCTTAGTAACAATGCGAACAATCACGATTCCAGGAACAAAAAACGAGATCCAGCCATCAGACTCGATGCATCCAGTGAGAGCTTAGCTAAACGAAGAAACTGATAAGAATAAAAAATAAAAACAAACAAACAAGAACCCAATAACTATCTCCAAGACCAATGAACAGTCTGGGCGAGCTGCTCCCATACAAGTCAGGGGCGGGAGAGAGATGCTCTGCAAACGCGTAGTCTGGGGTTAACTTGCATATTGCAGCAAGTAAGGACCTCGACAGACTCCACGTTTTGCGGCTTTTTGCTTTGGGAATATCAGAAACAGCACGATACAAGGATAGACAATCAACACGGGCGGCAAAACCACAAACAGGAAACACAATTGATGGATGTTTGTGCACCTGTTTCACTTCCAGGTTCGACTCCGTTTGTGCTGTGAATGCCTGGGTCTTTCGCCTCACCGCCTGTGTTCTTCTCGGATTTGCATGTTGTTGGAAATGTTGAACTGCCAATTTCTTGGCCGACCCGCCCCCCCCCTCCGGCCCCCGAGGCTTAAACCGACTTGTACCGAGGGCGACTGGCTTCAATGGTGTGTGAGAGAGAGCGGGGGACCTTCATGTAACAAAAACTACGAACCGTGCCATGTTGGCTCCACTGACCTTGAAACACCGGCCAACGAAAGGGTCGGCCTCTTTGCACAGCGGCTCTCGGGAATCTCAGGGATACGGGCGGTGAAACGAATTGACTCTTCAAAAGCTGCTGCATGCTTGTTCCCGTCCCAGTTTCCTCCAGTTATCCCACCGCACAAGTGCCTTTCTGCATCCAACTTCGAAGATAGCGGACTTGAGACAGAAGTGCCGATAAAGCTGGTGGCAGTGGGCACTGCACCTCGCAATGCTTGCCGGATGCGGATGAGCTTTGGAAAGAAAGCTTGCTGCGATGAAGCCAGTTGCCAGAATAATGCTTGGAGTCGGCCCGGTACGTAGCAGCCGTCTGATACATTTGGTCCCCCACCACCGGGGACCCAACATGTGCCAGATGGCTTCTTATCTGATGTTTCCTTCCTGTGCGGAGGCGGAGAGAAACGCTGCTAAGTGCTCCCAAGGAATGCAAGCAGTGGCGGCAAAGTAACAGCAGTGTACTGCTTGGCCTTCCCCGTCCACCTGAAATGCTAGGTCCATCTCCGTGCCAGAAGACCCTCGCCGTGAACTCAGCCCGCGGAGGGAGCCAACCATGACACAAAACCTCGTAGTCACGGCACACACGCCCGGCATGAAGCTGCAGCTGTAAGTCATAGAATGCCTCGAAGGTTTTTGACACTACAACCAGGCCGGAGCTGGGGACATCAAGCCTATGCAGAAAACCGTGGTGATGACTTGCATCACGGAAGATTTGCCGATCACCGTAGCGATCTTGTGCGAAGGCGACAAGCTGAAGCCGGGAGTGGCCACCATAAACCTCCCAACCTCTCGGCTTGTACATCGCCGCCCGATCCGGCAGATCTAGGAGAACCGAAATCCTCGAGGCCGAGGCCCTTGGCACCTTTTTCTCTGCCGCCCTCGCCCTCGGAGGGACAAGCTGCACGCTCTCTCGTGCTCTGGCGTCGAAATCCTGCCCAACCTGAAGAAGAAGCCGGCGAACGGATGCATAGAAGCGCGCAGGCAGGCACCCCGACAGCCGACAGGCAAAAACGATACCCAAGAGCTTAATTCCAGATTTTTCAAAGGCGTAGGTGTGCAAGCTCGTCGTGCAGCCAACCGATGCCAACAACTGTTGGGCACGTGCCGCTGATGCCGCCATCAGGTTTTCCGATCCATGCATTCCAATGGCACCCCAACAGCACATCAGCAACATGTCTAGGCTCAGCGATCGCATCCTCTCCAAGGCGTGCTGCGCAGCTGCAGTATGGATTTGGCCGTATGCTCCAAGCAGAGCTGTTGAGTACAGAAATAATGCAGCATCTGCTCCTTCCTGCCAGCTTGCGACATCTCCGGCATTGACGCACGCCCTTGCGACAACAGCAGGATCTGATGCACACATCGCAGATAAGGACCACAGATAGGATAGCGGTGAACGCAGGCCTTCATGCTCAGAAAGCATGTCAAAGGCTGTCTGCGTCTCGCCACTCTTTACACAAGTCATCATGGCCGAGTCGTAGGTCAAAAGATCTGGTTTTGCCCTGTGCAGAGGCATGGATCTCAAAACCTGGAGGGCCATCTCCCACTTTGTACTCGGACTCGCTTTCCCGCAGGAACTCAGCACCGAGTTGAAGCTCGAAGCCTCGACCTCGACGTGTCTCAGCGACAGGTTCTGCAGGAGCTGCAAAGCTTGATGCCAGCAGCTGACTCTCTCGCAAGCACTGAAGGCACCCTTATGAGCCATCCTCTGGTGGTCTAGCTGTGCCAAATGAAGCAACGTCAATTGCCACTTCGGTTCCGAACTGATTGAGTTTATCAGGGCACCCTGTGCAATAGTTGAGACCTGGAGCCTCTGCGTGAGCATGCATGCATACAAACCCAATGCAGAATGCCAGCTGCCAGAGGCTTCGCAAGCAGAGATCGCAGCGCCATAAGAAACGATGTCAGGCATGAGCCCGAGACCTGGACGGCTCAAAACAACATAGGTCATCCATGTTGCAACATCGACAGCTGCAGGCACCTGAAGCATAGAAGCGCGAAAGGGCGTGGTTCCAATGTGAAGCCCTGGTGCAGCATGTCACGACGGCATTTCGCATCAGCACCTGAGCTCACAAAGCGTGACAACCAAATCGCTCGCCCCGACCTGCCCCAACTTAGCTCAAGCTTTACGGCCAAGGACCGGCCCTTCTCAAGGATGGTTGCCTGAAGCTGGTGCGTCTCCAACAGAAAACAATCGCAGTAGCATTCGGCCTGCTCAATTAGCTTCTTGATCTCATCTTGATCTTCTTTGCAATCACACCCCGAACAGAATCACATCCTCCAGGCATGGAAAGGCCAGGCCTCTCTGTTCCAAAAGCGGTCCGTTTTCAAACCTGTAGAAACCAACGCCTCTGCACCCAGCACCCTACTCATCCAAAACTCTCTCCCGTCTACGAATCCGCAACAATTCACCTCCTCCCGCGTGTTTGTGCTTTGTGCTTGTAGCTTTATTTGTACTACACTGCAATACTTTGCGCCTGTTGCGGTGCACATCTTCTCAATGGCAAGGACAACCGGAGGTGCTATTCCAAACTGTCCTGGCAACCTTGCCCGTGGTGTGAAGCGTTTAGTGCTGTCAAGCCACATCGGTGATAACATTGCTGTTCGCTTGGGTGCTGAGCAAGACACCGACCTGTCTCCACTGTTGGTTGCAGCCGAATGCCTCAATTGCTGCTACACACGATGCTGAGTCGATGTTCATTCTGACCTTGCCCAGATTTCGGAAGATCTGCGCAGCCAGCTGCCACATTTCACCGCTCGCAGAGGCAACACTTGACAAGGCCCGCATCGTGGCTCTGTGGGACACCGAATTTGACTGGCTTCTGCGTGATGAGAAAACATCCAGGGCCCTTCTCCAGTTCTCGGATTCCATGGTTGTGATCAGAGTGTTGAATACGATGCTGTCCGGCTTGACTCTACTGCTTTCGGCCTCGGCCAGAATCCAGAGAGCCTGCAGCCATGCACGAGATCGGCTGCAAGCACGCAAAGCGAGGCTGCAAGTTTCCAGCGTGGGGCCCAGAGACATCTGCACTGAGCTGCGATACAGCTCCAGGCTTTCAAACCATGCTCCGCAGTCATCCATTACAGCCTCTGCCGCGACAAAGTGTACAAGGTTGTATTCGCTGCCTTGTGTCACTAACCGTTGCAACGCACTCAACGTGTGTTTCCAGCTGCTCGGATTGGCTGCAAGGAGAATACCGTTCCGTGTTGCCCCATCGATGCGAATTGACATCCCCCGCCATCGTGATAAGAGCATCCCGGACTTGGACCACTCTCGTGCTGCAGCGCAGGAATCGAGGACTGCGGGAAGGCATCTTGTTCCAGACGATTGGCACAAAGCCAAGATCGTCAACGTCCGATGCCAACTGCTCCCGCTGTGAGCACGCACCACTGATGCAAGTGTAAGATCGTCAAAGGGGACAGCCCTGGCCCGCCGGGAGGTGAAGGCAACCACTCTCTGCCATTGATTCACACGATCAAGCGTTACCGCAGCGGCGTTGCAAACTTGAAGATTGGATTCCACCGAATGAAAATCCAGCGTCATCAACAGACACAAAGCTTGCTCCCACTGGCTCGCAGAAACTGCGACACACCCTGCCACAGAATCGATCCGCAGTTGATGCCTCTGCATGCGCGTGAACAGTTTAGCAGCCGCTCTCCACCTCCTGCCCACATCAGCGGCACAACCTGATGTGGTCAGAGCGGCAGCATCGATCTCACCTCCATCAGACAAGACCTGTCCGAGCACATACTTTGCCTGCTCCCAGCGATGGTTTTGAACGAGCGTTTTCAGCACGGTACTGTGCACGACGTCGTCCGGCGTGAGTTTGACCGACGGAAGCTCGTGTAGTAGAAGCAGCACGACGGCCCATTGATGTCTGTTCAGGGTGGCGGCCATCTTGGTCAGGCGGTGGTGGGCCACGGCATCTGGCTGAAATGCAGAGCGACGAAACAGGTGCAGCAGCCACGGTGCCTGCTTCCAACGTGTCGCTCCAGAGCTCGGCTGTTTGGGCTCTCTTGACATGTGCCAAGATCTACCATTGGATACACTCGTTCTCTGCACCGCCAGCTTGCCTAGCTCTCAAACTTCTTCCTCACCTTCGTGGAACTCAGCATCACCGTACTAGCCAGCGCATGGGCCGGCGCAAAGCCTCGCCAACCCGCCACGATCGAGCGAGCTCGGCCCTGACGCTTCGGCGGAGAGCATCTTGAATTGTGGACTTTTCAGAAGCGGATGCTAGAGCCGAAAAAATGGACGGTCAGCTGTTTGGGCTATGCATGCTATGCAAACCCAAACTGGATGAAAGGTGCTGCTTTTTATCAAAGATGAAGGACTTGAAATGTACCAGCTACACAAGGAGAACTGGACGCATCTGTTTTCATCTTCCAGGCATTCAATGCAGGTCAACGACAGGCGAACCTTCTAAGATGAGCCTTCACCCTCGCCAGAGAATGAACGCCACGGCCGCGCACCATGTCAGCAGCAGTCTCCCATGTGGAGCCGAGGAGTGTCTTCTCCGTACGCGGACACCGGACAGGATAATCTATGATAACTTCTCACCAGTCAGTCGGGCAATCGACCAATCCCAACAGTCAAGGTCGTCGACGCGAGGGCTGGATGCCGTCGTGGGCCGTACTAGTGGTCCTGTGTGTTCAGCCTCCTCTGCCCCAGCGTCACCTCCGCATTGCGATGTGCATTGCTTATGCCAGCACGTCATGCTGGGCTTTATTCCGCTCTCAGAACCAGCCCCGCAGCACGAAGCATGCTGCCACTGATGCAGCTCGGGATGGTCGCGGGTGTCACTTATGTCTTTTTCAATGCAGTGGCCAGGAGCCGTTGCATGCCCTTTTTCAGCTGTTGGCCCTGTAACCATCCGTGGGCTAGAAGACGGCAGCCTCCTGGGCACACGGAGCAGCTCCTGTCCACAGGCCCGGCTGTTCGATCGGTTGCAGCCGTAGGACATTGCAGCCACAAAGGCCCAAGGACAACCTCGGAGTTGCGGCACGGATCACCACGAAGCAGCACGAAGCAGCGTGCAAGCACAGCACATTCAATGACTTCTCCATGCTTCAGCCAAGGCGCGACGTGCAAACTTCGACATCACACACGGGGACAACACCCTTTGTTGAGGTCGTGCTGCTTGGAAACCTTGTCCTGCAGCCAGACCCTGGAGCGCCAGCAAGTTTAGAGGTGAACTGACCCAGTTTTGATTGGCGAAGTCCGTCCTGTTTCCACAGCTGCGGCACCGATGTCAAGTCTGCCAGCCTGAAGCCTGCACTTGCAGGGCAAGTCAGGCATCTCGTGCGATCACCACTCGAAGCTGCATGCACCGCTCAGATCAGTTTAGCTGGAGTGCAGCTGGATGGCCGAACTTCTTGGCATGTTCACGAAGCTTCTGCAGATTTTGCGGCTCCATAGTTGACTCTCGCGACATGACCCACAGCTTGCTGCGATCACTTGTGCCCATCATTCCAACCTCCAAAAGCTGACAAGGCGGTGTTACTGGTGGTGCGACGTGCATCTCATATCTCATGGTACAGCCAGAACAGTTGCCAATCTCTTGCAGACAAGTTATGTGGCTGCCTCACCCTCTGTCGATCCCACATATCACCAAAAAGCCCCCTTTTGCAAACCTTACATACCCGAATCCCCGAGCATGTTGCCAGGGTCAAGGTCGGTAGAGCCATTTGTCTCTCGTGCTCCGAAGCACCACTCAAAGCAAAAGCCATGCTGTGACCTCTTGACACTTTTCGTCCCCCATCACCCTTTCTCGGTCCTCTTGCTTCGGGTGTATGTTTCGGCTTCTCCTTCTGACGTGCATGAGACTGGTGAAAGCCTTTGCCTCGGACATCAAGCATGCCTGTAAAGAGCCTGTGGACAAAACATCGGAGTTAGAAGCACACTCATCAAGCGCAGAACATCCGCCAGAAATGCAAGTTGGCTCTGTGCAAACCCCATCACTCAAAGGTTGAACGAGGGCCAAGCAATTCTCTTACATGAGCTTGCACCGTGTGACCAGGATAGACATGAATCGCCCTGGATCTGGCTTGGGTCTTTGGCGCTTCACTGCGCACGATGTAGGGTAACACCTGCCCTCTCCCTCTCCGACTATCTCGAACCCACTGTCTCCCGATCCCTTCCCGTTCTGGCTTGCTTTCCAGAGGTGTTTCGGAGATGTCCCAGCGCACATTCGCACCCTCTCTCGCCACTCGACTGCTGGACTTGGGTGAGAATGACCTTTCGTGCAGTCCATGTGAGGCTCAAGGCTCACGCTACGAATCATGCGTCTTTACTGGCAAGACTCTCTCACACACTCACACCGTCGCGTTCTCTCATCTCTGGCGTTTCCGTCTGCTTTTTGTGATGAGCTTCTGTTGTGCGCACTCCTACACCTGCCCAATGTAAAGCACGCAAGCAACGTCCCCGTCCACAGGCTGCCCTGTCGCTCTGCTGGCTCTCAATTACAAGAGAAACGCACCACGTCACGTCAAAACTCGTGTCAGCTCGCGCGGGCTCGCGAAGAGCTCAGGTCCTGGCTTTGGCATTGTCAGAGCCTGACAATGCCAACGTTGAAAAAAACCGCAGTCGCGCAGGCACCGCAGGCTCCTGAGTCTCGGGCAATAAAGCACCACGTATCGAGGAAGCCTCGGCTGAAGCTTCAGCATCCAACCAAACATCTCTGATTTGCCTATGTTACTACACCAACAACCGCTGCATTGCACCTTGAGACTAACAAGATCCAGCCAAGCTGCAGCCTCGAGCTCGCTCCTGCCTGCGGCTGTCGCTGAAACTCTGATTGGGATCCCATCACTGCCAGGTGCTCCTGCGATGCGGCCACTCGTATCATGGCAGATGAGGGGCGTGGTTCGGGTCAACAGGCTGGCGTGTCAGGAGCCTGTACTGCGAATCTGAAAGCACCACAGGACAGATGAGAAAGAGCTCCTCGTGAATGATTCGCTTTTCACCATCGCGGCTTATCTGGCGGGCCGTGACCACCGACCTTGACGTGAGCACATGCTGCAGATTATCAGGTGTGGGCCAGATGCCACACACTACTGTGCAGAGTTGTGCCGAAGGGCTGAGATGCGTCCAGCTTGTAATCCCTGACGATGTTAGACCACGCCTTCCCCGGAAGCACATACAAGCAGCCACGGCTTGGCATCTTGGCATGTTGTCTTTTGCGTCAACCATAAAACTCCCTCCGAAGAAGTTGCCGGTGTGTCCCGTGCTGGTCAGACACCAGATGGGGGGGTATCCACCCAGACATGTGTGTGTGTGTGTGTTGGTCTCCTCAAGCTTCGGCAGTGCAGAAAGAATCCCGCTGGACGGCATGGTGGGAGCCTCTGGTTTTCTCGATTCGGCTGTGGGCATGGGCCCGAGCAGTTGCTGCAGCATTCCGACTGCACAGAAAAGGACTGACTTTGGGCACGGTCGTAAGAAGCCGGGATCGCGGTGCCTTCTTCTCGAAATCTGGACTCCGCAAGGTACCATGCACGAGGCCCGGCCTTCTCCAAGGTACTGGGAATGTGCCAGAGGACATACCAAAAGCCCATGAACTTGTTGAGCTGAAACCGAGAGCCATCCTCTGCAATCTGGCAAAGCATGTGAAGGGGAGCATCACAAAATTGTTCGTGGGAACACACAAGCAATTCAAACACTTGGAACACCGCCTGCGAGTGGAGTGGAGCTGGGTCGCTTGGCAAACACCGCTTCAATCACCTGTCAGCCAAGGCACTGTGACAGCGGCATCTTGCAGCGGAGGGAAGCCACTCTTTGCAGGACGCCGCCTCGTTCCCGGCCGTGCTTGGGTCACTATTCAGCTCACGACTTGGCTAAGCACTCCCAGAAATCGATGACCACCGGCACTCCCCACGTGCTACACATCCGAAGAAGTCAATGCAAGACGTCGAGCCGCACTGTCGCCACCCGCTGGCCATGGCTCCATTCCTCGCATTGCGATCGAGCACAAACACGGACACGCATCGGTTTGGCTCTGGTTTGGCTCTGTGAAACCAGCTGTATTCTGCAGTTGACAGGCAGGCCTGTAGGCATACAAGGAAGAGGTGAACATCGGTGCTGCCTCGGCCGTTGATGGCTAGCGGCTACGGTAAGTTCCGCCGAGCATTTATGTTGCTTCAATGACTGTAGCGAATCATGCGATATCAGCAGTAAGAGCAGTGCTGTTGTGTGTTGCTGTGCCCTCGGAGAAGAAGGGGCCTCAGAAGCATTGGACGTTTTGAAATACACCCCACTGTCGAAGTATCTCCACGCTACACCTCAGCTCGTGTTGAACGTTTGAAGCATATTCCCCGCCCCGAAAGAGTTGTATCTTCAAGAAATTCAGATCGTGCAGCTCGCTATCTTGATTGAGAAAGAAGCCTGCGAGGTGCTTGCTCTGGGGTTCCTTGTCCAAGTAGAAAGCGCCTGCGTTTGAAACTCAGAAGCACCGAAATATCGACGGTGTCGCCAGGTTCGGCCTGAAACGAGGTTGCGAGATGCCGTAGTGCAGAGCCACGCGATGCCCTGAGCGCCAAAGTTAGCTACACTTACGACTTCTTACGACAGCAAGACAATCCAATAATTAAACCATGCAGGGTCCTCGGCACCTGCCCAAGCATCACGCATTGGCTCCAATAGCACGGCACCTTGCTGGCAAGGGTGCTCTGTGGAGATCGGCCCGCTTCCTCTGGACTATCCCGAACATAGTATAGCATTACGCAATCTGTCCAAATCAGGGCATGGGCGCTTTCTCCGTACATGTCGTGTGAGAGCCTGTCTTCGACCCATCCTCAGCAGAGTCGGAGATTGGAAAGGAAGAGAGCCATGATCTGCTGGCATCTCCAGAAGGAAAAACCTTACCTTGAGTCTGAACCCACGCCAGGAACCTGCGTGGCAGCTGACAGCTTTCACTTCCGGAAACTCCGTGGCCCAGTGTTCGCAAAGAAGCACCTCAGCCGGGATGGCAACGTGAACATCCCAGTTAGGGCTGGGGTGGGCTGGGTCAAAATGGGCTTGAAGAAGCAGGGGCCACTGACCTGTGCTCGCTTGGTGTAGGCAAAAGCGAGAAGGCCATCGTACTCCTAGCGTTCAAAGTCAAAACATCGGTAAGCACAGAGCATGCGCTAACCTGGACCTGTTCTTGTCTTGTCATAGTGTTGCAAAGGACGGGTGCGGCCACCCCACTATTTCCGAACCGGTATCATGCCTCTCCAACATGTCAGGAGGCATCAGAGGCTCGAAGCACTTCTAAAACACGCCTTCGGCATTGCGGCGCAAGCAAAAGCACGATAAGTGCCCCTCAAGCGAGTCTGTACATGATTTGGACCCCTCGCGCAGTGGTGAAGATGTCGCTCAAGCCACCAACCTCGGAACTTGGTGTCCAGGCATGGGCAGAGTGTGGCCTAGACAGTTGGAACACTTGCCGCAGATCACACACTCCAAGGAAGGATATGCGGTGGTGAGCCACATCCAAATCGAAGGCTACCGCATCGAACTCTTTGCCGAATTGTCCTAACTGTCATGCCACGAGAGAACCGCTGCCAGCAAGAACAACATTTGTCATGATCGCCTTCCAAGACCCAGCCAAGATCTGCATGAGGCTTGTTGGTTGCAGACTTGCAATCCTTGGCTGTGCCAATGCAACGGCAGCAGGCGGCTGCAAGCCTTCACTGCCAACTGATCTCCCCTGTAAGCCAACTGACCGACAGAGCTTCACATTTGGCGGCAAATCGGAGGCCAAGGTCCTCCAACTGGAACAAAGGGCCATCAAATGCATTCTCTTGATTTCTCTCTTCGCATGATGGGATCTCGTGAAGGTAAGAGTGTTTTGTTTTGCTGTTGGTGTTGTTTTTGCTTATTGGTGCCGGGGGCGCGGTTTCTTTTTCTGTTGGGTCCCCCCCGCCTCCCGCACCAACAGCAAAACAAACAAAGAAACACATATGCGCACACACACACACACAGAGTTAAATAACACCCACAGCCCCACCGCCCTCCCCGGCTGTGCAATGGTTTGCTGGGGCTTCAACTACAAAGCACAACACCGCAAAAACAAAGTTCCGATCTCCGAATGTCTACACGACACATAAACCATCCAGCCGGCCTTTGCTTCTCCAGTCTTGGCATCCTGGCTCAAAGCCTCAAGGACCTGCAGAAACAAGGCCAGCGGTTATAATTCGACCAGAGCTTGAAAGGCTTTATCTTCCACCTGTAAAAGCTGCTTTTCCGCATCCACCTGGCCATGGCTGGGCTGCAAACCGCTATGCCCAGAAGAACAACCATGAGGCCTGTGAGCGATTTGGCGGAGCTTTGCGCCGTGCGTAGGAGTCAGCTTCGCTGACCTGCGACACAGATCAAAGCGATGTTTGGACAGCACTGCACGACAATCCCTGAACAACACCATCCTGCAAGCCCGTGACTTCAAAATGTGGGTTCAAAACGCACTTGCGACCAGAAGAATGATCGATGGCGAGGGTTCATATGTGTGCATGCCATGCTGACATTGTCCAGTTGCACAAATATGCAAACAAGGGGCTCCGGCGTACTTCAGAAGTAGGGAGGCAACGCGAACTTTGCGCTTGCCACCAGGCGTAACGTGCTCCACCTCACTACGAGTCTGCAACAAATCAACGTCTTTCTTGACCGTCTGACGACCGGACCTTCCGCTTTTTTGCTTCAGGCCCCTTGGCATCGGCAGCCGGATTGCTCTCCGTTTCAGTACCAACCTGCAGGAGGACCAAGCTGGATTGCCTGCTTGTGATCACTTGCATCAATAAACCAGCACCGATGCCTGCAAGGCAGCAGCAATCACGCCAACTGCTTCACCTGGTGGTGCTGAAGAAGCGGCATCAGCAGCAATGCCTTGCTTGGAGCTGCCACATTTAAGCGGCGATCGTTGCGGTTCGATCATGACTGCTTCAAACGTATGTGTGGGTCTATCTATCGCCCGCTTCATGTTGGGCTACACTTGAATCCGAATCGAGTATTCAGTGCTGGTCTGTGCAAGTGGCATGGTATGTGGGCACCAATGCGCAAGATCTGAAGGACTTCGAGGCGACAACACAAGCCACCTCTTTGTTCAACACGACGCGATGAGGACATCAAGGAAGCAGGGTTCAACATGGCGCAACGGAAAAAGCTGGCAAAACCAAGCTGATGTCAGGCGAGGTGCGCATCGAAGCCGCCTTCGGTCGGCTGTGGTGGACCTGGTGCTGGAAATGCTCTTGATTCCCACTTGCAAGTACGGTGATTGGGTGGCATCCTTAAATTGCATTCTGAGGCGGCACGGCCGCACATGCCTGCTAGCATCATGGACGAAGCTCTTTGGGAACACTCTTTGAGTTCTTTGAGGCAAACACTGCACACATGGATGATGGGACGACACTGCTTTAGGCAAACACGAGAAGCTAGTCAATAAACAGCAGCGGTGTTTGGGCTGCCCGTTTGCACGAATTATGAGGTTTTATTGCTTGGACGCAACTCTTTCGAGATACTGTCATGGACAACATGGCAATGATACGATATATGCTTGCACACAACATTCGCATACAGACGACAAAGGCCAAGAACAAGAATAGCAAGAGGGTAGAGTAAAACCTATCGTTCCTGACAGAGTACGACTATTATCAAACGCTCATGTGCACATATACATATACATTCAAGCATATACATATACATAGGGTGCACACTATTATTACACAGGGGATGTCACCAGAAACCTGCCTGAATAGATCCCACGACATCGCAACACAGCACGTGTGCCAGAATTTGAAGACCAAAATCACTCAACGATAGTACTTCTGCTCGCGGATCACTTTTTGGTTGATTCGCCATCTTGGAAAATGCAACGCTCCTATCGGATTCTGTCGAGACCAGAGCAAACAGGCCCGACTGGCCAAATCTTGACCATGTAGAATAAAACCTTTGAAGCCCCGACTGAAGGCAAAGATGCAATTGCCAGCATGGTGGGAGTCAGAGCAAAAAGCGACGTTTGCAAACTGGGAAGCGTCAAAGCACTACCTTTTCCTTGTTACTTTCCAACGAAAGCATCCCTCAGCAGTGAAACAGCACTTTTCATGAATTGCGCACCGCGCCACAGCGGGAGCCGCGGCACCTACACCATGCTCACCGTTCTTGATAGCAAATTAACAAAAAGACCAGAAGATGGAGGACCAGAAAAAGAGGGACCAGAGTAAACTTCACGAACGATGCCACTACCTACATGTCCAAGGAGCCGCTGCCACCTCGGCCAACCGCTGCTCGCTGAGACCACGAGCGCCATCTGAGAGAAGCGCCAGGAGCTGCGGCCCATCCTCTCGAAACGAACTGGAGATCAACAAATCACGTGAAAAATACGGCATTGATTGTTATCCCGACTTCTTTCAAAGGAACCGCTGACGCAATCTGACCCACGGACTGAAAATTCCGCAGTGCAGGCACGCGGCATCCAACCGGACAATTTCGGACGAAAGCTCCAGGCCGACTAGTGGCCTGGCAGCAAGACACGGCCGGAGCATGTTCCGACATGTCCTCGAAGCGGCATAGCATCACATCCGATTGACTTGTCCATCGACAGTTGTGGTAACTGTTGTAGCAAGATAGAGGAGAAGCAAAACGGCTCCAGGAAGCGTGTCGAAGATTACGAACATCAGGCAAAGACCTGTTTGTTGGACTTGTACAACAACAATCGAGGAAGTAAATTACATGAAGCACCTTGGCCGCTTGAGATCACGAAAACCAAGGGCTCTTGTCACTCTCACCTCGGTCGGTGAATGGTGTGTCTACAGCTTGCTGACAGCTTCGAGTATTCACCGACGAAATCAAGAGTGCCTGTACTCCTAGCCACTCCAGGCAACATAATGCGACAGCAACCCGAATCATCTGGATTTCGGCAGGTTGCCGAGCGATCGCCACTAGGTATCCACAACGGGGGAGTTGAAGGACGTGCCGCGGCATCTGCTAGCTCTGCCAGGACTCGGAATGCACGTTGTGAGTGGCTCGGACCTGGCACAACAGGCGAAGCATCCCACTGCTAGTGATGCTGGAATGATCCCAAGTACCTCCGAGAAATCTGTGCAGCCCAGCTGCTCACAGCAGCTAGCTGCGCAAGCAAAGCCCGGTAACGCCGGTCAATGCCAGCTTGAGCGGCTGCCTCTCCGCAGCCTGGCTCAACACCTGCGCTGAACACAAACTTTCCCGACAGCCAGAAGGCATCTCACTCGGCAGCACACTGCAGCTGCCCACAGCAGCACGGCAGGCAGCCGCGCCTAAAAGGGCCGCCGCGCGCTTCGGAGAAGGAATGCCCCCCTCCTCGTCAATGAGGTAGTACAGCTCTGCAAGGATCTGTGTAACGTAAACATCCATTCCTTGTTGCGGAAGTGATACGGATCTAGCCTAGCTGCAGATGCCTACTTGGAAACACAACCTCTTCGCGACAATGCCGAGGTTCCCATGAAGGACTCGACTTCGGCGGCTGCTTCTTGAACCTGTGTTGATAGTGCGGGGCATCCCTCTGCTGGCAGGCAGGCAAGCAAGCGGGACTGGCTCACAACCACTGCCAAATGCTGCACAAAAGCTCTTGACAGTGCTCGCCGTGCACGGTCCTGCCGACCGTCCTCAGCTGCAAGGCTCTGGGCAGGAAGGCTCTGCCAGATCTCAGACAGAGCCGCTTATATCGAACGGTAAAGAATGGTAAAGACAAGCAGAGTCCAGTCCCTTCAAGCGTGTCAATTGGATTACACATCATTACGCTGCTGCCGGCCTCAGTGGAGAGTGCCGGAGTCAGAACAGCTTCGCAATCTGCGGCTGCTTGCCGGAGGCTTGAAATACCACCCTGCACACGAGCATGATCTCACTGTTCAGAATGTGGAACGGGACAACCCCCAGCAGCAGGCCTGACAAGCAGCCACTGACAAACCAAGTGCAGCAAACGGATGCGCGGCGGCGTCGATGCGCAGAAGCGCCCTGATCAAGACAAGCTCTGAATTCTCGCGGCAGACAATCGGGCATACATTTTTTGCGCTGGCTGATGCTGGCTGCAGTAATGAGCCACGCTCGTCTTCGAAACGACAAACGAGTGACACGCAGCACAATAGCGGGGTCTCGCCGAACCCGGCCCAGGCGCCCGGCCTCTCCACATCATTCGGCTGCGAAGCCTCAGAAGCAAGCACTCATCTTTCTTCTTCTATGTAGGCTGCGTGGCGTCGCAGATTCTCAAAGATCGCAAGGCCTCTCTTTAAGTGTTCGGTCACAATCCAAGAATTGCCGACAGCCAGTGAAACTAACCCCCGACCAGAAGCTGCGCCCTCAGAGGAAAGGTCTGACAGCATACTGTCCTGTAACAAAAACCAACCTGTGAACAGTTTTGATCCTGGCATCTCACTGGGGGCGTCTTTGGAGACATCCGTCTTCGTTGCATGCATTTTTGACACTCACACTCGGACAAAGCCTGGCTAGGTCTGCAGCGATACTGGTCTTCTCGTTAACAAGGCCATCTGGTAGGTGTCACCAAATTGCCACTCACATCCAACGGGTTTCGCCAGACAAGTGGTGCACTGTCAGACACAATGGACACGTAAGCCAGACACAAGTGTACAAGCATGCATTGCATGCCGTCGCACCCCAATGAGAGCTCTGAAGCCGTGCATGACCCCGCTTGCGGCTAGCGCTGTCAGGCAGCCAGCAGCTCCGGGCTCGCCGATGAAGCGCGAAGAGGGCCGCTTGGCTCAAGCGGCGAATGCCAGGCATCCGACAGGCGCTTGGCAGAAGCTGCACGCGCATCTTAGCTACACGGGGCTCTCAACGCCATGCGATCCGGTGATGTTGCGTGTGTTGCTGAATCATCGGCGATGTCACGGGACTGGCCTTCACCGCTGGCTAGCTGCCGGGCCTCCCAACCAACAGGCCTGCACTCTGCAGGCCATGAAAGCATCACTTGCACCGAAAGTCAACTCCAGTGCATTGCATTTCACTGGCTAACCTCACACCTTTGCAATCAGCTCGAGGCTTCTGGGGTATGCACGAATTTGTGGTAAATTTTGTGCGCCTTTGGACCAGTGCGACAACAGGTGAAAGTTGCAGGCGTGATCTGCGAGGAATGTCAACGGTGAAGGTAACTTTGATATGAACCTCGTACGGGCCAGTTTGCTGGAGCAAAGTTAACACTCTTGGTGAGGCTTCATGCCCGAGAGTTCTGAGTTGCAACATGACACAGCTTGGACATCTTTTCGACTACGGTTCGCAAGAAGCACCAACCCTGCTGCACGAGAGCTGGTAATCAGTTTCCCTTAAAGCTTTCTAGCCCGAGCAATTCCATCGAGTTGTCGGTGGTCGAAGCAAACCTCTTGGAAGCACCGTGGCAATGTTACAATGCCACTACATATGGCAAGGCTCGCATGATTGCTTGCCTCTTCGCAGTCGAATCTTTAGCTGGAGACGTTCTTGTACAGAGGAAGACTCGGCAGTCACCCAAGGTGCCCACCTCGCACACAGCCGAAGTCACGGCACAAAATAGGCTACGAAGCTTAACATCACAAGCATGCTAGATTGACGACAGATTACGAAAGCAAGAAAAGACTCGTAAATCTGAAGCTAAGCCACCACCAGCCTGCGGCCCATCAACAGTGCCACGGCCAGGCCGCAACCGCTGTACCGGGCTGTGCTTTCCAGCAAAGCGAAATCCTCAAACGAAGGAGCGCAGTCTCTGCAAGCCGCATGAATTCATTAGTTTACAACAAGCTGAGGAGTGATCCAAGGACTCCAGGCTGTCCTGAACGATTGCCACAAGCTCCTTCGCTCCAGATTGCAAGTTGCACCGCGCGGCGCACCGTCTACTGAGTATGAAAGATACACGAAGCTGCACACTCGCCAGGTTCAGACCCAGGTTCATGATCTTCTAGCGGATCAGACCTCAGCGCCCAAGCATGCACCGACCCGCCGGCACTAGCATTTCAATCCATGGAACCTGCAGCTCAGCCGTGGCAAAATCTGCGAATGGAAGCGTTTCGCACAGAACTCCGAGGCCACTGAGCTGCTCCTCATGATCTCGTGGTGTGCTGCGATGTTGCGCGTATGGCGTAATGCAAGCAGCCTCTCCACTACTCCGATGACTCCCTGACGATCCCGGTCCTCAACCCATCCACCATGACCTTGTGCAATATTCAAATCGGCCGGACATGGAGGCTTTGCACCAGCAGGGGGACAAAGACTGGCTCTCTGCAAAAGGCCCGGAGAGAACTTCGGACTCGGAGAGGATCCCCAAAATCAAACTTCGATCGGCCGCTACGAGCATTCCCTCTCGGCAGGCCGATCAACCACGAGATGGGAAGACAAGAACCAACACAGCTGCGAAGCAAGCGCTGCCGAAGCTTTGCTGGCCAGCTGCAAAAAGCGAAGCGGGCTTGTCGATGAAGGGCACAGGCTGTTTGAGGGCTTGTGCTGTGCGAGGTAGGTCCACAAGTGCCACAGCCAAGTCGTCCTTTCGACCACCCTCCTCGGCAGAGCACATCGTGAGAGCAGTTGGTGATCATGAGTTCAATGAGAAACAGCACGGATGCGGTACCAGAAGAATGCGTTGATCGCTGCTGAGTGACAGCTGGTTGGCACAGCACGCTGGTCAGCATGGTGATCGGCTCTGAGACGGGATTGTGTGGAGTACCAGCCTGAACCCACGATCCTCGCTGCAACAGCCGATGCTCCAAACCGACCAGGACTTGAGACATCTTTTTGCCTCCTGCCTGGCTGGGACGAACCTACGATGCAGGGCGAGACATCTTGAGACCACTCAAAGGCAGCTGAACGGTCCTGTTGTGCCATGGACTCGGCGGTAGTACTTCCCCGACGAGGCATTGAAAAACAGCCAGGGAAGGGGACGGCCGCCCTCTTGCTGCCGTTCGTGCACGTACCACACACCTGCACCCAGAACAGCACAGTGGAGCCCCAAACAACATCATGCAACTCTGAGTGAAATAGCTTCCGCTTGGCATCCCTGCGCCAACTGCGACCACTACTGATAGATAGAGACTGTGGGCAATCCCAGGGCAATGTCCACAAACTGACTTCGACCGTTCTGTGCACTTGCGCACCCGAGGAACTGAAATTTAGGTGATCTTCGCTTCCTAAGGCGTTGGGCGCATGTTCCATGCTTCGTTGAACAGTTTCGTTTGGATCCGCAACCCTCTGAATGTTCCGTTCGTGAAATGAGACGATGTGATATGGTCCGCCTGACGACAAACAGTGCTCGTGAGGATGCCGGGAACTAGGTTTTTCAAAGCGGCACCTGGCAGTCTCGGAACCGCCATGGCTTGTCCAGCGAGTGACCAGCTCGGTCCAGAGGGCTGGAAGTTCTCGAGCTGCTCTTCCTTCCGACCCAGGTGCCCGTTTCCACAAGCCCGCATGCGCAGACGAAAAAGGTGGCAGCTGCACCTTCTTTGCATAGATCCATTCTCGCAGAGAAGACACCTGAGCAGGCCAAGAACTTTGAATCGAGAATCGAGATGCACCAACACTCAAACGATCCAGGGCCCATTGACGCCGAGATGCGCTCTTCTCCTGCTCTTTGAACTTCTCAGCTTGCGTGGCGGTCGTGAATTCTGGAAGACGTCGCTCGGCTCCCTCATCCACTTCCTGACTTGCTCATCTGCCGTCATGTAAACTGGGGGCCAAGAGATCGCTGAGGGTCCTCCCCAAGCAGGTCAGCAGCCAACCACTGCGTCACCTCCAACTCGGCGATCTTCGACTTGATCTCCTCGGGACCAAAAGACGTGCAAATCTCACACGAAACAACCCGTGCTGAGCCACATGGATCGGATTCTTCGACGTGCTATTTGCGCGTGCGAGGAGCTGCTCGGCTGCCATTTGTGGCAAAAGCCACCCGCAGCAGCTGACATCCATCCTTCCGAGCCTCCGGAACCTTAGTCTGACAATCCCCTGCCCTGTAGTTCTTGGTGTGCCCTGTACCACGGAACAGCGAAATCACGCAAAAGCTGGCCCCTTTTGTTCACTGCGGACAGACCTTCAGCCTTCAGCTCTCATGTTTCCAAGTTGCGGTCTTACGCCTCGGCCCACGCAGGCGCGATTCATGCACACCGTCGGGTTCGTGCCTCGGCAAGAACCCCGTACCAAAAGAGTCAGATTTAGCTGAAAGAACTCCACACGGCATGCAGCTGCAGGCTGCGTTGCCTCGTGAACAAAGACAACTCCGCTCTGACCGACGGACCAGCATCATCATTGATGACCTGCGTTCTGGATTGTTGGCAGAAGTCTGCAAGGCAAGCCTGCACCCAATCTGGTCTGGTGGCGGAGAAGTCCGGCGGTGGTACCCCCGGTTGGTTCCATATCAGGTCACCGAAGCGGCAAGCTACGGCCTCGACCTCCCAGAACAGGACAGCAGCAGCAGCAGGAGTAAACATGGGTCCCACTTGACAAGCCCGAAAGCTAAAACTTCAGGTAAGACCACACATCAGCAATGTTTGTGATGCAGCCAGCCCATCAAGCTGAACGAAAACATTGTGGCAATCGCCTTTCTTGGCGAGAGACAGCTTGCCCCTGAGCTTGTGTGAAACGAGTGCACGAGTGCAACGTTCGTCCATTCCTCCCTTCCTGCGGTACCCTTGCTGTTGTGTTGTCTTCACGATCTGCTCGGTTCAATCTTGGATTCGGTGGACTTGAGGTGACGCTTCAATTCAGCGGGCGTTTCGATGATGTCTCCTCCGTGTCGTTCAGGTTTGAACGTGTGGGTTGTCGGTTGAGCCCTGCGGCGGAGGTCTCCTCGCAAAGCCTTGTCGCGGCGAAAAAATGTCACTCGAAATACATGCGAGCAAAGGTCCGCATGCCCCGACTGGATTGGGTGCCCAATGTACTGCACGATGTGCACAGCTGCAGGATTAAACCACCCCATCCCCACCGGGCACCTCTTCAGCCTCTCTTTCCTGGTTTGAGTTGTCCTTCTGAACCTCGGAGAGGATGCCGTGCTTGTCACAAGCTTGCCACTACAGCAGGTCATCCAGCGTTTGTGGTGCACAGCTGCAGCTTCGCAGCAAATTCAGGCGGAGTTGAAGAGAAAATGCCAGCCGCACTGCCTCCGAGCACCTGTCCGAGCATTGGCTTAGGCGAACGGCTGCCTTAACGGGACAAATGATGACATCCCGCCTGCGTGGCCCGGAACTTCACCTAGAAGGTCGCAGACATGGGACAGAGCACACAAAGCTAGGAGATGAGTCAAACTTGAATGTGGAAGAGAGCACCCGAGACTGCGTGCCAGGGGACCCAGGCGGAGCCTGGTGCGGGTCCACGGCCGCCTTGCCTGAGTTTGATGGCTTTGCATTCACTGTCCCACTCGATCCTAAACCACCCTCAATGCGATCGTGAGGTGGCGAGCTTGCTCGCTCGATGGACTCAGCCACGCTGCCGGCCACCCTCGCGACCTTCGACCTGTACTGCGGCCAGCAAGGCAGGCGGGCAAGTAACTTGAGCAACGGCGAGTTGAGTGAGGTTCTTGCATGAAGGATACATATATCCTTGTGTTTGAACTTAAGCAGCAGATACAGACAGACAAGCAGATTTAGACATGTGAGCCGAGTGCATCCTCCACCTGAGAAGCTGTCTCCAAGCTCAACCCCCACTACTCCACCAATGCGCGCGACCTCTGGAGGCATCCCATATGCGGCTCGATTTCCTTCCTGAGAGCGAGAGCTGTTCACCCAGGTATTTCAGAGTCCAGGATATAGAGTTCAAATCAAGTAAGATCTGGTCGGCCATCGTGCTGCTCACGCAGCTGCAGAATCAGCGATCCACATATTCGCAGACGCGTCCATTCCGCAAACCGTTGCTCAGCGGGCAGTTGCCAGCATCTAATGCACTAAATGGTCTGCTAGAGATAGAAGCTGGTGGTCACAAGTCTTAACCTCACGTACCTAGTGAGAGGTGATACCACATGCCGCAAAGGTCAAAACATTAAGACCACTAAGAGCATGACTTAGCAATCTTGGTGTCCTCTTTCCTGAGCCGACTAATCGAATTGATATTGATGGCTGCAATCACCACCATGTCAACGCAGGTTCAGCCTGAAGCTATCGCGCAAAACTGGCGACTGAAAACTTCCCAGCATTAGCACGACTGTCGAAAAAAGTGGTCAACTCCTCCTTGCCATCTGACGCAAGCTGGGGCAATGCCGGGAGTGCAGTCGCATACCTCTCTCACACGTTAGTTAGCCATCTGTGTCGATGACTGCTCATTGAAAGCAAGGGGCATCTCCCAACTGCTCACAACGACGAGCCGACCGTTGCTCAGCTGCAACAAAGGCAATGCCAGAGCGCCTGTGCACCAGGGTTGGCACGAAGCGGTGACTCTCTTGTTCGATCCTGCACTGCCCGTACCACTTAAGATCATGCGCAGTGCCAGACAGGGCACCCAACAGATAGGTGCCCCACAACCTTGGCAAGAGACAGTGAAACAACAGAGTGAAGCAACGGCGATGTCCTGAAAAGCATGCCACGGACGGCGCGTGCCTCATTAATGCGTCCGACGTGATCCACATGTGCGTCCTGCACCTCTGAGATGCAGCATCTTGGCATAGTGACAAGGCAAGGGGCAAGTTTGCCGCAAAGGTCTCTTCGACATTTTCGGTGATGCTTCGCTGGTGGCAAAAGCGCTGCTCGCCACATAGAAGGCAGTCGAGACCTCACGCTAACATGTGTAGGAAAACTGCCAAACCACCAAAGCCGCCGGCAGATTGACACCATCATCAAACATAGTGCCAGGGTTGCTTGGCCAAAGACGCTGTTGAGTCAAGCTGGACTCGAATTGCTGCCTGGCAGCAAAACCGCGTACTGGAGCCGCGTTTTGACAAGTGCTGCTGTGTGCCGCCCAGCCACCAACAGTCTCGAACTGCAGAACGCGAAGCAACGTCCCCCAGCAAAATGTGCAGTGGGCTCTCGCCCTGAAGCATGGCATCCACAGCTTGTAGCCTACTCTGCGCAAACGATTGCAAACGAAACCGCCTCCTCGGTCATGACCTCTAAATGCTGGAGACGGTTGGTCAAGCCGTCTGCCGTCTCCTGGGTTCCACAAACCTGAGACTTCGACTGCAAGCGAAGGCGAAGCAGTGGCTGTGGCGCAGAACTCCCCGCGCAGGCACACGTCCAGGCTCTGTGTCATACGATATCGCATTTTGCAAGGATTACTCTCCAACATAGTCTCTTTTCCCAACAGCTGAACCCATGTTCGGCACACCTGCTCCCTTCAACCGGGCAGGGCAAAAGTCCAAAAGCATGTACTTGACTCTTGTGTTCTCAGCGACCACGATCATGTCAATGCAGGCAGGCGGTCACGCTCCTGGATCGTCCTGTTCTGGAGTTTGTCTGTGTTTGCGAGTGTCTGTGCACTTTTCTGTATCTGTCTGTTTGCATGACTCGCCGTCCTTTTTTCTGGCTCTCCGACGTCTGCCCGTGCTCTTCGTGCCTCATGTCTGTCCGCACACTTTAACGAAGAGTAGAGAGACAGCAGATGCAGCGACCCCGTATGCAAAGTTCCGAAGCCAGCAGAAGGCCCCAGCCAAGCACGAAGGCATGCCAAGCTTTGCAAGAAACCACAACTGGGCAGGGCGGCAACCCAAGTTAGGCCAGCTTCGCTACGTCGGGCAAGTGCACAACGCGACCCATGTGCACCCGGAACCATTCAGGCACCACTGCTTCATGTGAAAATGGAGTGGTAGAATTGGACCTTCCTGTTTTATGCTCTCGGAGTTGAGGGGCGCAGGCCAAAGCGCCAGTAAACACCCAGCCCTTACAAGGAATGTACCTTTTCATGCGCGGATGTCTGGATGTATGGAGAGAATAATGTATGTGCGGACGTGTATTGTGTGTGGATGCATGCATGATGTGTGGATGCATGCATGCACTCATGCATGCATGTATGGAGAAATTAGATACAGCCTAGCAAGACGTACTGTGAGGGCTGCAGACCGTGCCAAGCCGCAGCATAAACTGTAGCTCCACACTCCAGTAAGAACTTGATGATCTCTTGCACGACGACGGTCCCGCAGCCTGCCCATAAAAACAACAAGGTTCTGCCCCGGCTGACATAGCATGATGCTTCTCTGGCCTGTCAACAAATAGACGCGGCCACTGAGGTGTGGTCGGAATGTCCTGTCAAGATGCCCGAAGCATTCGAGGATCAAACACCCCAAAGAATAAGTCACCTGATCTGGCAATCACTGTCGAAGGCATCAATCGCTGTCTCAACATTGTAGCATGCAGCAACAAGCAACCATGGAATGGAGCAGAGCATGAATCCGGACAAGAAGCATGACAAGAAAACAGCAAGCATGAGGCCCGCCCGCCCGACCAGAATCAAGGACGACAGGTCGTGTAGCAAATATGCCGGAAGACTGAGACGAACCGAAACCGTGCCACACGGGCAGTTTTTTGGACAACGAACTATGCTGACGCGGGCCACAGAGAAGAGAGGACAAACTTTCGCGAGTGTCGATCGACAAAAACGACGGGATCAGCCGACCTTGCCAAGTGCTGAGAGAAGCGCAAAGGCTCTGAAAGGAACCACAGACTCGCAATGACTCGCAGTGGCTGCAATGACTCGCACATGTTGTACGATGATGCGCGATGCCAGATCCTGATCGCGTGGTCCGGGGATTTGCTTGTTGCCGCATGTGCTTCAAGTCCGTCTGCGGTGAAGTGCTGCCTGGCATTGACTGCTGCACAACACGAAAGACCTGCTTTCAGCCATCACCGGCCTGAGGCAGCAATACTGCACAGAATTACCCCGCCTGCCGAAAAGATATGGTTGTGCGAGCGCAGCAAAAGAACCGAAAGCCGACTCCATGGGAGAGGTCGTGCCTACACCGACCACTCCAAACTCCACGCCACGTAAATCTCAAACCTACCTGGTCTCGCACGGCGTGCTTCCGACGTACTAGTAACTCTGCAACTGCTGCTGCAGATTTGCCCTGATGTAAGTTCTCGAAAAGCATCGGTGACCACAGCAGTGCCCAAGCATGAGCCGAGAAAGAAACGGAAGTCGCACAGATAGCTGGGGTTCCCTGTGCTGCACTATCAATATTATCTGAGGCCGAGCTCAGGCTTTGCTACGCTGCAGTGTCTGGCTCGACGAGAGCTTTTCTTCTGGGCTTCTGAGGTGCACAACTCAACGTCACGCGCTGATTCACGCCCCGCTAAATTGTTGAAAGCTTTCGCCCAAAGCCAAATCTGCATAAATCTGCAGATGGCACACTTTGCACAAATGTGCACCATGGTGGCTGGCGTTGCCGACCTGAGTCCGAGCAAACCTCACCTCATCAAGGAAACGCTGTGGCTTGAGGGCCCTGCGTCGTTGCTTCAGGACCATCTTCGGCTCGAGCAAGACCCAGGGCGACAGCCAACGCCAAGAATGCCGGCCAATGCCTTCAAGCCGCCAAGAAATTCAGGGATGGCAGGAGCAGTGCAGTGAGGCAACATCCACGCCAAGGGTCAAAGCCGAATCTACCCACATCGCTGCAACTCGCGGTTCAGCTGCTGGGATAATGCAACCAGATTCGCGCGATGCACCGCGCTGTCCTCGGCACTGAAAGTGGTGAAATGCATCATGAAGCGTGAACTCCAACGGTCATGCAGAGGAGACTGCCACGCGGTGGTGACCCACAGTTGTACGGTGACTACAAACAGAAACTCTTGCAAAACTGCGCAGCTTCCCGTGCTCCACTGGTCTCCGACAAAGTGCGGCCTCTTCAATCCATGCCTTGCAGCTGCTGAGTCTGCTGCGCGAGCTCAAGCTGGCTCGTTCGTGTTTAAAAGATTCGCAAAAACTTCGTCTGAGCTGGCAGCTGCGACTGTCTCCTGCAAGAAGGAGTCGTCACTTGCAAGAGCTGGCAGCAAAGCCGAAACGGCCACAAGAGCTGGTGATCTGGCCTGGATCTTAGGGCCACGTAGCTTGAAGTGCAGTTTGATAGCTTCAGCAAACTCTGGCATAGGCGATCTCAGGACGTCGATCATGGCCCACCTTCAGACGGCAGATTCCGGCACTTATACTACTTTCAATTGATGACTTCGCGTGGCATCGGGGGTTCGGGGCACGGCACGTCCTCGGCACGGATGCAACAGCCAACCAAACTGCACAGCATCGAGACTGCCAGCTGCCAGACTGCTGCTCCACGACCACCCCGGACCGTGAAAGCTACTGCCGCTGTCTCTGCATTTTTCACGCATGAGGATACGTAACGCTCCTTTAAAGCACTGTGACTGGCGCTAGCAGCATGTCTCCTTGCCTGATGCAGTTCTCGCGAACTGTGGCATTGTAGGCCTTGCTTTGACTGTCTCCCCGAGGTGTGCCAATCTGTGTCTCATAGCCTCAGGCGTCGCAAAGCCTCCTGAAGCTACCGATCAAAGCATCGCTTTCGGTGTCCAAGCAGCCTGGCTCGTTGAAATACGGCTGTGGCACTAAGATCAGCGACCTCATCTCGGTCGACATGTCTGCATCACTGATTGGTAGAAGATCCCCACACAGCCGGAGCACAAGAGCCCTTCCTGATTCAGAGCACAGTCTTGAAGCCTTGCGACTGTATGGAAACGAGCACCTGCACCGCGCGGGAGGTCTGCGCGTCCCAGCTCTCACTTCGCTCACCTGGCAAGGTTAAAGAGCACGACGAGACGAGGACGAGGGCTCTGCTCCGTGCCTTGCCAGGTTCCCAACCTGTTGTCATCAATGCCAATGGCGTGATCCTGTAACTTACAGGCTGTAAGCTCCGGGCAAGGATAGACACACCTTCCCATTGCTGTAGAGGTTGGGATTGAAGCACACAGTCCCACCGCCTGGCGTGAGTGCTGCACTAGCCGCTGCTTCAACTACTGAGTGCTATGGCGAGGCGGACGGCTCATGAGATCTGAGTGCTGGGGCACTTCAAACCTCCGAATGGCAGCCATGACCCTCACTCGACTGCTTCTTCTGCCAAGGTGTCCAGACTTGCTGCCCAGATGTCTTGCAAAGCTGCGTGCCTGTGGTCAAGAGCTTTACTTCTGGCGGGCCATTCGGATAGCCAACGGGGAAGTACACGTCAAAGACCTGAGCTTGGTCAACGAGAGGAGACAGGGAGAGACTCACAGCTACCTAGCATGCCGACAGCGAAGCAGGAGCGAGAGATCTTCACACACTGCTCCACGTGCATGTTACAAGCTCGAGCTAGTACAATTCAGCTACAGCCTAAATTTCGTCAGCAAGCTTGCCGATCTTGGACTTTTGGTGCAGTTCCTGCATTGTGCAGAGGTTCACGCACCTTGTATATCCTGCCGTTCTCACATAGCAACTCAACCACAGCTGCTGGACTTCAGGCTGGGTCTTGCCATGGTTCGCAAAAATCGGTCTATCGGGCCGCCTTGAACCGGTCCTGTGAGTCAAAAGCTCTCGCTGCAACACCTCTGACCTCTGTTCTGAGCCGTCAGCAAAGCAGCCTCCGGCATAGGGGGTGTCCTGCAAAAGAAGCTTTCGTTAAAGGCAAACCTCGTATGCATGACCATGTAGTTTCTGTCGCCACATGTCCACACTCTGCCGGTACAGCAGATTCTTCGACAGCCCGTGCCGGTGCCACCCCATAACGGCGCAATGCCCCACACAGAACATTGCTTGTCCTCCGGCCCTGTGATCAGAGCCCGCCATAGCTGCTGCTGCTGTGAACCTGCCATGGGCCAATGCCGTGCCACCACCGTTCCGAGGCATGAGTTGCTTGTTTAGCATTTAGAACTGCCGACTCTACTGCAAGGCATTTTCGCGTCTCAGGTCAACAGAACAACAAGCATGGCAGCTGGGCCGTTCCGTACAAACACCTGGGCAAACCAAAGAATCAAGTCAAGCACGACTCTCGAAAAGCATGACGTCACTGTTGCGCTGCTCGTGTCACAGCTGGGGCACTGATGAGGAGTCCGACAGCGGCAACAATGCAGCCAGGCCGGCTAACTCCTGATCTGGACCAGCGAACAGTCAGCAAAAGTGCACTGCGGCACGCGACAAGTACAAGTCACAAGCATCAGAAGTCCTTGGCCAAACGAACCGTGCGTGCCTCTTAGCAGAAGAACAAGCATCACGTGTGCCAAGAGTGAGCTGGAAGAGGCAGACATCCATCCGCATTGCAGTTCAATGGGTGAGGGAAGTATCCTCATATTGGAGGCCCGGAATGTATATCCGGAACAAAAATTCTTCAACGAAAGAAGGCTGAGCTGAGATCCCCTGTTTTGGTCTATGCTCCGACAGTCGATCTTTTGCCTTTCGTGGCTCCTCTCAATGCGGAGACTGCCGTCACCGGCATCTACGTGTCTCTGCATGGCTTAAGGCCACAAATCTCTCTTCACTGCGTTCTCTCACTGTGTTCCCCTCATCTTCAACACATTCGCTGCTTGTAGAAGCCCGGCACCTGATTTATCCGCCCCACCCGCTACACCTCGCCATTTCTCGAAACTTGGCAGTTTTAGGTGCCATTCAGCTTGCGAGGCACGCGCGCATGCTTCGAGCATGCAGCGAAACTCATAAGTCAGCACTTCTGTGCATGTGCTGTTTCCTGGGGGGACAAGATCCGTTGTGACGTAACCAAGGACCCGGCCTGTGGTATGCAGTGCTCATTCCGGGCAATCTGTGCAAAGGCATGCCAATCTGCAGGGTCAGCTCAGGAACATCCAAATACACACGAGCAGCTGAAGGCATATTTCCCGAGGTGTTTCTCGAAAGGATCTAGCCGAGCCTTCAATGCTGCTCGAGTCCAACTGGTGCACAGACAGCAAGCGACAGTATTCCGTCTGAGCACTTCCTGCAGGGAGACCAGCTGCGTGGATGCAAATGCAACAGCAACCCTGATGGTGCATGCGTCATGCGTCATGCACACTGCTACACCTGCACTCCAGGAGCCGCGGAGCCTGCTGGAAGTGACCGTGGCGATGGCGCATGGCAAAGCCTGCCGGAAGAGAGCTTCTGCCTTCTCTGGCTCTGCCTCTCTCGATCCGACCCCGAATCCCCGATGAGGGATCCTCTCCAGGTCATCGGCCGTTGCCACCACAAGCTTGGCGAAGGCCACATCCCTGGCAGCATCCTCGTGAGAGGCGCACTCTCCCAGACAATGCTGGAAGGTCTCCGCTGAAGCCTGCAGATGGCGTATTCTCGAATTTTCTCGAACTTTCTCCACGCTTCTAGGAACACAACTTCTCGTGCAAGCCTGACTCTTGTGAACTCCAGTAGGCACACTACCGTGGCATTCCGTATCTATTGCACATGCTGCGACCTGCTTTCGCCTGACCTTACAGGTTGGGCAGCCTTAGCCGCCGCCAGGTGTTGTCGGATGGGCTGCAACAAGATGGGCGCGTGCTGCCTCGGCTGGCGACGCACTCTAAGGACTGCCCACCGTAGCCACGCAGGAACACATCGCGCGGCTAAGAACGAACTCGCCCGTCGCTTTGTCTTATGCATTCGCAAGGCTCTCGGGCCCAGGGATGAGCACAACAATACACCCAACATCAGGGGCTGTTGAGGTCGTGCAAGCCTGTGCGAAAACCCACTTCCTTGAACACAAGATCAGATGACACAACGGTATGCGTACGGGTATGTGTATATGCATATGTATATGTATATGTATATGTATATGTATATATATATATATATACATACATAGACATATACATATACATCTTCATCTGCATCTGCATCTACATCTACATATCCATCTACATCTACATATTTTTGTCAATCGCACTCGGCAGGCAGGCTAGTACATATACATATACATATACGTATACATATACATATATATATATATATATATGTGTGTGTGTGTGCATGTGTATAAGTTTAAAGATATACACACATAGATATATATATATATATATATATACATATATATATATATATATATATATTGTATACATACATATGTAGAAGTATAATATATATATATATATATATATATATATGTATAGGTATATATGGATATGTACATACATATATATATATATATACATGTACGTATGTTTATATGGATGTGCACCTCTGTATATATGGATGCAACTGCACGCAACCTGTCCAGTTTTGGAGAAGCAATATGACAGTGTGTCTTTAGGAAGGAGCCGTTTAGCTTCCGCGAGGTCATCACGCCAGCGAATCTAAACGGCGGCAGGCTACGGCAGACTAGCCAGCAGCTGCTTCACCATACCCAAAACTTCTCGGAAGATGCCGCATCTCTCGCTGATGCTTGTGTAGGACGCAGAAAGTTCGCCTTCGCACAGCGGCGCTTCTCCCCTTTGACTCAAGACGGGATTGCTTGCAATCTCCGGTCCTTCCAGGAAGGGTACCAAACATGACTTGGACAGCAGGTCTGCCAAGTCATCCTTGCCTCATCACAGGCAGTGCAAATAATCCTCATTCAAGCCTGTACCAGTTTCAATCCTGCGAGCACTAATTAACGAACTCTACGTTGGCAGCCAAACACACAGGCCTGGCCAATCCACAACTACTTCAGCTCGTAATACCACACAACAAATGCTGTTGCCCGCGGCCTGTGTCGTAGCGCGGCAGGCTTCTACCTGAGCTGCGAAACAGCATGGTGGCTCTGTTCGGGATTGCAAGGCTACAGGCCCTTCCTAACCCAACGGGATGTTTCGAAGGCAGTCAATTGCCTCGGTACCAGAAGAGACGGTCATCCTGGCTTGTCTGTTCGTCTGCAATGATGAAGAGGGCTTGACGTTGTGTAGGATGCAGGCTACATTTGCAGACGGCCAGGCCCACTCAACACCATGTAATTATTTCGAGTATTTTGTAGGTTTGGAGACCATCGCTCTGGATCAGAAGTTGATTGACGGTCAAGCATCGCTGGGCTCTAATCGAAAGTCGCTACCGCAGTGGCATCGACCCTGAAAATGCAGCCCAAATCGGCGTGGCACTGATACCAAGGCACTCTGGAAGGGCTAAGGGACTGAAAGAACAGGATGTCTGTCTGTTTGTCTTGCATTCTATGTGTTGGGGGGAGCGGAACCGTCACGGAACCGTTTGAACTCTGGACGCCATGGCGCTGATGGACGACACCACTTGCTGCAGCTCCAGGTCCTGCATTGCAGTTATTTGCAGTTTGGAACACGTGAACTCAGAAGCGCGAGCGCTGCTCCTGAGCCTCCTGTGCTGCTCTCAAGGCTGCAGGATCCCAGCCATCGTGTCCTTCAAGGCAGGAGAGATGCGAATGGGCTTACCACAGGTGTCAAAGCCCACATGAGATCATCAATGAAGCGCTCCTCTTTCCATGCATGCCGTTCCATAGCCCACGCCGGCAGCCCATCTTCCGGAGCTTCTAGAAGCAGCTCCTACTGAAGAATCAAGCACTTCTCCATGAATCACTGCATTGGCCTAGACAGGCCTGCCTGGACCTGCAGAAGAGGAGGTCGACTTCCTGCCTCGCATAGGTAGAAGAGCATCCACGGGGGCTCTCGCATGGGTCTTGGCCCTCTTGGCGCCTCCGGATTGCATGGCACTGAAGGAGCTTGATTGCAGCTCCTCGCTCCTGAGTGCAGGCGGCTATCTTCTTTCGAATCCGTTCGGCAACAAAAGATCTTCGACAAAGGCCGTTACTCGGCCTTCATGTTGAAATTTTCGTGAAATCGCACATGGCAAACGACGTAACGAAACTCCACCACGCTCTGTCACTTGCAAGGCTGCTAGTACTACACCCTTATGCCGAGGCTTTGCCTGGCGAACCTCCTGCACGGTCCCTCCAAAGCTTGAGCCGAGGTTCTGTGCCCATGGGTCATCCTAGCAGGACGCAGGGTTCAGAGCGAATCAACCTCTCTAGTCCAGGGATGTCCAGCGCCTCATAAGCATTGCCCAAAGTCTCAGGTCGAAGATCTAAAGGTACGATGCCCCGAAGACGACCTTGCAGCAGGCGTTTCAAGTGCCAGCAACTTGATCTGAAACTATGGGGCGCTCACGCAACAGCCCGAGCTGCTGCTCCACCACGGAGAAGGCACCCTGCAAAAGGATGGCTGCATGCCAAAAGAAGGACAGAAGCTGTGGTGTCCGAAGCCTCAGGAAAATCGACAATTGCATTCCTGTCGCTTTCCAAGTCCACTCCTTGGCCGGCAAATCTTAGACCTGATCTGCTCTTGGTTTCGCTGGTGGTCAGGACAATCGAACGAACGGCAAGTCGCGAGCCACCCGATCGAGGAAACTGCGGATGGAGACGAGCATGTCCCTGGACGACCTCTGGAATGAGCATGACGTGGGATGCTGGACAGCTGCTGCATGCCCGCTCACGCAATTATGGGCATGCATCTGGGCCTGAAACTCGGGGCAAACATGACACCGTGTTCTTCGGTGGCTGTCTTGGCCCAGGCACTGAAACGGGCTCCAGCCCTTAAGCTGGAGCCGTGGATGGCAAGCCAACGCTGCCTGCACATCGTGTCCTTGAACCAAAACGGTGGATTGCAGCAGGTTTGGCCACACTTTCGAACTTTACACTTTGTACTTTAAACCCAAAGATCAGTAACCGTTCAGCAACTCTGTCAGCTCGCAGTGTATACACGCGGCTACCCTGTGCCCATGCCCACATTGACATGACTTCGCTCGTGGATGCCAAGCGTCTCCCCAGCAACCGAGGCCGCACGATGGATACCGACGGAGGATAGAAGGGATGAAGGTCCTGCACCAAAACTTCGTTTTTTTTGGCATGTCTCTGGTAGTCGGCTTCAGCCCTTACTGGAAAACAGCAAGCACGCGACAGTCCTCCCGGAAGTTTATTCGTAGTTCCACGTAGTCGTAACCTTGGCCAGAACCAGTTCCATGTGACGACAATCCCCATCTCTACCGGAACACGAGCAAAAGAGGCCGCTCAAGCCCGATTTCGGAGCAGAAGCCAGAGCTGGCAGACACAGCAAGGAAGGGAGCTCGGATGTCCGCTGTCAAAGTTCAGCCAGAGAGCCACAGCGTGCCTTCAGCTGGTTCAAGTCCTCCGAAATTCCATTCGAAAATCCACGCAGCTTGACGACCTGCGAAGCGGAGGCCGCCTACGCCGGACAACGCGCTGACATCAGAAGCCCACCCAGCTGTGGACATTGAAGTCAATGGCATCGGCTTCAAGACCAGTTGTCCTCAGGATCTTTGAAGGTATGTCACGGTCTGTCGGGAGTCGCATACTCTGAAAAACAACCCAGATTGCCGACCTACCTGGCTATATACTTTTTCGCTACTTCGTTTCGACGCTGGGCACGCAATTACTGCACCTGCTCAGATACTACATACAGTAACCGACAGCTCTGTGACCACCGGAAGGCACGTGCGTCTGAAGCTGGAACAGCTCGTTAGACAGGATGTTGAAAGCCTGTGGAAGGGAAGGTGCTAAAGAAAAGAAGGGATGAGGATGAGCTCTTCGTTCCGCACACCGCGCCTCGCTGGAGTTGAAGATCTGCTCGCCCTTGGCCTTCAGCTCTTCGTTGTTCATCTGCCCTTTGTCCCCTCCAGGGGTCCAGGGGAACCCACCCACAAAGTCGATGACACAGTGGAGGCATCCCCGCACCTTTTCGCCGCTTCTGGAGCTGCGTCTGTGCCAGGCGCTGGTCTTCCAGTCTTTGGTCCTCCACTTCCTGCGAATGCACAAAACAGATTCGACACTCTTCGCGAACGAACTGCATCCCAAGAGCAGATGCTAACACAGCAAGCATCTCATCCATCGGCGGCCTGCCACTTCATCCGCTTCCAGCCAGGACGCTCTGAGCGCTCTGAGGGCGCCTCGATGCACAGATCTCCTCGTATTTTGCGGCCGGTTGGTTTACCAAGGCACGCAGGGAAAGGATTACTCGAGTCCAGAACATGCTCAACAACTTCGGCAATGTGAGAGCCACCTATCCGCCCTGTCAGTCAATGCGCATGCTGCTTGTCTCCAGCAGCCATGGCTAACGTTCCCCCATCCTTCATCGTCACCCTCGAAGGCAAAGCTTCCATCGACATCGGACTGCCGCTGGTCCTCTTGTCCACATACTCACCGAAGTGAATTTCCTCTTGCAGAGAAACGGCTCCTGCAAACCATCTCCCGCACCGTCATCCAAACAAGCAAGGAGGTCTGTGTCTGACACCTCCACAGCAAAATCAAATCATCGCAAAGAACAGCGTTGCGACCGCTATGCGAGCTCCACGGTCTGTAAGTCTCATGCCTTGCTTGCTTGCGATGTGGCCCGCAACACATCCATGACCGTCAACGACTCCGCGGTCAAGAGAGTGTTGATGGCCTTGCCGAATTGTCTGCAATACTAGTGACGTTGTGGAGCTTGTGAATCGTGCTCAAGTCCACTTCAAGTCCATACTATCGGCTACTTCTGATGTGACACGGGAGGCTCTATCAACAGACAGCAACCTCTGCCGAGATTGCCAACATGGGCCAAGCTGCTTCCACTAGGTCTGAATCTGCATCGTCCTGCACTGCCCGTTCGCCGGAACGCTTCGCAAGGCACTAAAACACGGAGTAAGCTTGGGCTTAAGCCTGCCAGCGATTGATACTACATCAGTGCATCCCTTATCCAAGAACTGCCAATGGTGTCCACGATGAGCCAGGAACTGATGCAAACTCAAGATGTATAGCGATTCGAATGCTATTCTGTGCGGAACTGTCAACTGCAGTAGGGATGCATCACAGTCGTCTGGTAGCACAACCGCGGCCAGCCTCACTCATCATCATACCTCCACTGTTCGGGTATGCATCGGCCTGTTCCAGCACAATGTGGAATGGTTGCGCAAATGTGCAACGAAGATGTAGGTAGCAGGGTCGCGTCCTCGTATACAAGGAAACGGAGACGATGAGCATTGCCCTGCATGGCTATCTTCAACTCGATCATGTTGTCCTGCTGGCGCACTCATCCCACCCCCGACCAAGACTGCGGCTCCGGCGTGCGGCCCCTCAGCCGCTTGAGCCTCGATGTCCAGACGCTGCAGCCATGTCTTGTGCGCGCTGAGCCGTTCCCGAATCGCCTGCCAGGCTGCTCAAATCTGCGGAGTCATCCCAGCTAAGTTTGCAAAAGCTAGGGTAGTGCTAAAGGGGAAACCCTGACCCCCAGGCAGCCGACCCTACCTTTCTCCGGCCGCTACCAAGTAAGCTCAAGGGCCCTTTGGCCACAGGGTGAGCCAAAGGGCAGCGCACACTCTTTGGGCAAACGCCAACGAAGGCAGAACTCAGTCTTCACACAGGTCTAAAGTTTTTGGTTGCCCAAAGGTGCCCTGAAAGAAGGTGACCAAAGTCACAGAAGGCCGGGGTAGCTTGCCATTAGGCAGCACAGTACGCAGAGCTCCGGAATCCATCTCTTTCGTACCTCCATCGACAAACAAGTTGTCGGTGTGGGTCCATCTCATGGCCGTGTTTGGTTCCCTGAGCTGTTGACGAAGCGAAGCTAACGTCAGTACCAAGCTCTTTTGGGCGCCAAAGCCAAGGTCGTTGCCACAGCGATCATGCACGTCTTTGGCATCGGTAACTGCCACCAACGGTAGGTTGCCTAGCGCTGCATCCGATACAGTCACTAGTCCACCTTTCCACACGTCGACCGGGCGGTACGTAAGGGTAAAGTGGGCGTCGTTCTTGAGCTCCCGGGCAAGCTGCGCCGCCTTCAGTAAGGTTCCCACGGTGGGCGGCTGAAAATCCGAGTGCGAGAGCGCACCGAATCCCAGTTCCTTCCCGATCTTTCGGAGGATCTCCAGGGCCGCTTTGCACCCGGCAAAGAGCAGGTCATCCACGTGCACCACCATCAGAGCCAAGAGCTCGCCAGAGGGGGCACGAAGATAAAAGAGAGCACCATCAAGTGCACTCTTGACCCATCCATGCTCCTGAAGAGTGCGACACAGGCGCAGATACCACTGCCGTGGCGCATCTGCGAGTCCAAAGACTCCCTTCAGGACGCGGAAGATCACACCGAACCGCATGCCTGGCAGAGAGGGACCCTTCCGCCGGTCTGGTTGCTGCATGTACAAAGTGCGGGATCCCGCCATGTAAGCATCGCCTTTGAGAAAGGCAGCTCTGACGTCCGCCGACACCAGCTCCCAGGACGGGAAGTGTGCCGCCACCGCGCACAAGAGCAGGATCGCGATCCTCGAGGCGGTGGGGGCATCTGTTCTCAGCCGTCCCTCAAGGTGCGCCGTGTCCTTAAACCCCGGCACCACCAGTCTCGCTGAGGGTTTGGCTGGAAGCGGATTCCCCGGGGTTGACAGCGCCGCGTTCTTGTCTGTCAGAACCCACCGAGGTGTGAGTAAGTCGCCGGACTTCCCACTCCGCTTGAGGTCCGCCTGCACACGGCGGCTTTCCTCCACACTCAGTTCCTGCACTGAGCCGTTTTCGGTCCACTTCTGCCACTGCTCGTCAGCTGCCTTTTGAAAGACGTCCAGGCGGCTCCAGGTGATCTCCTTCCCCGCAGAAGCGAGGCAGGCCTCACTCTCCACCGAAAGGGTCATGAGATCCCCGGTGGCTTGTAGCCGCTTCCTCTGAACCTCGCTGGGCGTGGGCCAGCGTCCGTCCCACGTGCCACAGCGTATTTCCTCATACCCAGTTTGGCGGTCCTCCGCCACCTGTTCCATGAGCCTCACCAAAGGGTGGTCCTTATCCTCCTCAGTCACCAAGACGTCCACCGAGCGTCCATCGGGCATCTGGAGCGGGACCAAGGGGCCTCACAGGAGCCGAGGTCGACTCGTCCACAGGAGAGCTCTGGGCTTCCGGGCTCTCTCCCGCGGTTTCCTCTGGTATGGGAACCAGTTCCGGCGCACTGGGCGCCGCGCTTTCCACAGCAGCGTCACGTAGGCCCAAGGCCTCGGATGTACCATCCATCGGTTCGCCCACCACAGGCTCCCCGAGGGGTTTGGCTTTCGAAGCGGGTCGCTCCGAACTCTCGCCCGCCGTCACAGACTCGTGGGAGCGCTTTCGGTATAGACACTGTGCGACTCCTTTTCCCACGGCGCCAGCGACGACAACGTGGCGATGGTCCTGGTTCACCACCGGCGGGAACTTCCTCCGCAGGTGCCTCCGCGGTAGTTTCCGTAGGCACCGGCTCCGGGGCGTCTGTCACCTCGTTGAGCACGGTCTGCAGGGCAGGGGCCCAGTCAGTGGCCGCCAGCCTTTCCAGGGCTGAGGCCTTCCGCAGGTGCTCAATGGCAACCTTGGTCACGTTGCCCCGGTACGCCACATAGGCGCTCAGCTGGTTCTCGTCGGGCCCTTCCATGGCCACGACCAAGGCTGGCCCATGCCAAGCCTTCAGCTGCAGCTTCTTTCCAGGCTTCGACTTCTGTCGCCGGTAAAAGTACACCACGTCCCCCGCATTGTAGTGCTCAGGGTGTGGGGCTCTTGAGCGGGCCAGCAAGGCCTTGCTCATCGCCTGCGAGTAGTGCAGCCGAAGCATAGCCACTCTCGCGGTTTCCCGGATCGCCAAGGCCCGGCAGAACGAAGGCTCGTTTGTCAGCGCCGTCTGGGCCAGACCCGGGGCTAAGCAGTCTGCGAAGCCCTTGGGCTGTCGTCCAAAGACTGCCTGGGAAGGCGAGTAGCCCGAGTCGTTGATGTCGTCATTGTATGCGCCCGCCGCGGCGGTCACAACCTGAGACACATCACCCTCAGTCACCGGCAGGTACTCCTTCACCAGCCTCTGAAGCACCGCCTTAGTAGAAGCTCCTGCTCGCTCGGCCACGCCGTTTCTCCAAGGCGCCTCGACCGGTATATGGTGTAGAACCGTGTCGTAGAAGTCACAGAGGTCCTGGAAGGACTCAGCCACGAACTCCGGTCCCATATCCACCACCAGCGTCTTGGGCGCTCCGAAGATCCGCGTCCACTCTGCAAGAGTGGCACCGACCTCCTGAGCAGTTTTGCTTCGGAGAAGGGTACACGCCTGGTAGCGCGTTGCCACGTCCACCCAGTGGGCCACCCACCGAGTTTGTCCGGCTCCATCCTTGAAGCTGTGAACAAGTCACCATGCACCCGGTCTCCAAAGTGCGAAGCCCTTGGAAGGCTCGCGGGCATCCGCGTCTTCGGCCGTGCCTCCTCGGCACAAATCTCGCAACGAAGCTCCAGAGCGGCTCTGATAACCACGGGCGGGGCCCGGAAACAGCCAAAGCTCTGGCCAGTCTTCGCTTAGAGACATGGCCCGTGTTCCGGTGAAGCTTTGCCACGGCCTGCACGATCTCCTTCGTCGGCTTAGGCGCGTCCTTGACCAGGGCGTCCATTTCCTCCTGCTCTTCCTGACCTTCCACTGTGTCCGGTGAGTTTTCGACCGCACGAAAGGGAAACGGCAGGCCTCCAGCAGGCGGTTCCCCTGCAGTATCCGGCGAGTTTTCGAACGCACGACTCTCACCCCCATCTAAATTGTTTTGTTGGTCGACGGCCAGGGTAGAGTGAAAGGAGTCGAAACGTCGCTCGAAAAGTCGCGGAAGGGCACGTCGAAGGTGCCAGAAGGTCGCATAGCGCCCGTCGCGGGCACCATCCAGGACGGTCGGCAGGTTGCTAAGGACAAGACCTGCTGTACCAACGGCTTCCAGACCCAGGTCTGGCCCGAGCCATGGTTGCACCGCCTTGCGCCAGGTGTGCGCCGGGCCAACCATGGCAAAGTACAACCGGCCGGTCCTCCGCTCGCAGACTGGCAGCACCAACCATCCAGTTTTCGAGCGCTTGACGGTCCACCGCGCCGCGTTTGGCACGGAATACGCCGACGTGGCCGTAGGCATCCGGACAGTAAGCACGGGTTCCGTGCCCACGCCGCTCAAAATGAGCAGCGACTTCCGAATCAGCTGCTTGCACAAAGCAGTCGTGGAATGCAGCTGCCTCCTCTGCATTCGCCAGCACTTGGAGTGCTTCATGCACTGCTGCCGGCGAGGCCGACGCACTAGCCTGCCGCAGCGCCTTGGCCGTGGCCTGGGCCACGACCTGCTTCAGTCCAGGCTTCAGGGCGCCATGTAGGCGTCCAAGCCGGCCATCTGCTCGGCCAGCTCCTCCGACGTAATCATCCTGAAGCTGTCGTCCGATGGCACCACCTCCTCCTCCATGGGTGGAGCGGCCAGGCGGGTTGGTGGCACGAATTCCGAACCCGTCCCCATCGGTCCTGCGGTCCTGGAGGGAGCTTTTGGCCGCGGTACTTCCGAGCTTGAGCTGGCCTGTGACGGTGGAGGCGGCAGCGCGATTGCGCGGGCCACCGGCGTCACCTTTTTGCGGATCGTTTCCACGGTGTCCTTCTCCTCGATGTCCACCCGCAACAACACCGCCAGCTCGAGCAACTCGGCTCGCAGGCGCGGTAGGCCTCCCCTTGGCCCCAACAGCGCCCGCATGCGCTCTTCGCGCACCTCCTTCACTTCGCTTTGTGCCTTCTTGGCTTCCTCCAGCTGCATTCGCTGCAACCTCGAGCGCACTCCTTTCGGTGCCTTTAGAGCCCTCAGCCCTTCTAGCACGATCTCGTCCTCGAGGAAGGCAAACGCCAAACCGCACTTGTTCCTCAGGCTCACCGAGTGGCCGAGGTTCACTCCTGAGAACACGCGGTTCTCCACAGCGCCAATGTACCAGCGCCGTGGCCACGCTCCTCGTCGCACCATGCCCTCGGACTGTTCTTGCCATTCCTTCGGGCCGGTTACCGACTTCCACGGGAAGGGGGCGAAGCGCAGTTGAGGCATGCGCACCAGCCACAGCAGTAAGCCCTGCCAGTGCCAGGCCAAACGCTCGCGCAAACGCACCACCATTCTTCGCCATTTTCCGACGGACCTGCGACCCAGGTCACGGAGCATGGCTCACACTAGGGGTCTGCGTCGTCTTGGGGCTCTCGAGCAAAACGGCTGCGGGTTTGGAGGTAGGCTTGCTCACTGAGACGCTCGTCGACGTGAGTGCAGCCCTCGAGTCAACCACCGCTTGCTCTGACACAAACGACTCAGACACCGTAAGCATCAGCTGCCAAGCCGCCTTTGTGCGCAGACGCATCCACGCTCCGAAGCCGAGCTGTAGCTCGACCACACCGTTTCTGCCTAGCATCAGCTGGGGCAGCCTCAGGGGTCCCAGACCCAAGGTCTTGAACGGGGCCGTGTGGTCCTCGAAGTCCAACACAGCGCCAAGTGCCTCCATGCAGTCTCGGCCCACCAGACAACCAAGCTTCGGGTTTGGCACGTCCGAAACCCAGAGCAGCATCACATGTCCTTCCAGACAGCAAGGGATGCGCACCCTCCTGCTGCTTACCAGTGTCTGGTTGTTTCCGAACCTGAACCTCTCAGCTTCGTGGTTTTCCACGACCAAGCTGAGGTACTCCGGAGGGATAGCTGCCAAAGCTTGCTTGATCCACTCCGGTCCGGCACAGGTCCGGTTGCACGCCGAGTCCATGGCGCCCAGCAACGTGGCTGGGGAGCCCCTCTTCGGGAGGCTCGACACCTCAAGTGCCTCCGCCAGCGTCATCATCACCTCAAACTCATCCACTTCTACGCTGGTCCCATGGTCCATGAAGTCCACCACGTTGGCTTCAGTCTCCGTGTAGTGGACGTGCTTGGGAGAGCGGCCACCTTTGCTTGGGCTCGGCTTGCCAGGGCTCTGGCTGCCGCTTGGCGGCTGTGGCCTGCCACGGCCTCTGCCGACCCCCTTTGGCCTTCGGCGGGTGTGGGCATTCTCTCGACCAGTGGCCTGCTTGACCACAGTTGTGGCACACTCCTCTGCCGGCGCCCTTCCCGGGCGCGGTTCCACGTCCACCTCCGCCGGCGCTGCCGGCGGCTCCGGGGGCTTTGTACCCACGGTCCTTGCGGATGGCGGCGATCTGCCGCCTTGCTTCCCGCAGGGTCACCAAAGCTTCCCCCGCATTCTCCAGATGCGCGGCCGCTTCTTCCGCCACCTCAGGCGGCAGGTCGTCTCCTTCATCCAGTGCTGCGGCCATCGCCTCTAGCTCGGTCTCGAGCTCGTCGGCGGCTGCTTCACCGCCGTCCTCTTCCTCAGCTGCTGTCTCGTACGCTTCAGTCTCTCCTTCAGGCTCGTCTTCATACTCCTCCGTCTCATCCTCGTAGTGTTCCTCGGTCACAAAGGCCTGGGAAGGGCCCTGACCGGGAGTTCGGGAGCGGTTGAACGAGCGCCTGAAACGCGAAGTGCCACCTGAAGCCGTCGAGGCAGCTGAAGATGGCACCGTCCTAGGCCTCGAGGGGGCCTGGCGCCAGAAGCGAAGGTGGCTTCCACCGGCCGCCTCACTCCGCGTGAGGTGCACCCTTCGGAAGAGTCGCAGCACCTCTCTTTCCACCACAGCGAACTCCAGTTCCTCGCCGGTGGCGGTCTCCAGCAGCTGCCGCTGCATTTCCGTAAGGGCAAGCCTCTCCTTGAAGAGCCATCCAGACTCGACAGGGGTCACCGGGATGCCTTCGGCAATGCATTCGGCCACCAGTGTTCTCCAGGTCGACGCAAAGTTCGTGACCGGCTCAATGGGGCCGAGACGCAAGCTCACATAGAGCTTCTGCCGGAGCTCTCCTCGCTTTTCGGAAGCCGTCTTCCCAAGCTCCTCGAAACACCTCACCAGGTGCCACACACCGTGCGTGTAGTCGGCAGCCTGGATCTCCGTCCCCACAACGTCAGCCACCGCCGGTCGGTGGGCCAACGTATCTATATCTTCTTCCTCACCTCGCGCCCTCGCGGCGCCGGTCTGCCGAAGAAGAAAACGGGCGGCCAAGTTGTACGATGCCGTGCGCTCCAAGTCCAGGCCTGCCAGCCACAACGTCACGGATTTCTTGAACTTGCGCATCGACCCCGCATTGCCGTCCCATATGGGGATATAAGAGTTGAACGAATCCTGCCGGGACTCGTCCCCCATCTCGGCGAATTGGCTTCACCGAGGGTCCTTGCAGTCGTCGGGCTTCCTCCCGGAAGCAGTCCTTGAAGAGCTGTGCTCGTAGTCGAAGAGACCTCGTTCTCGAAAAGACCTCGTTCACGAAAGGGGTGGTAGGTAGAAAGTGGGGTGAAGGTGGAGGTTGAAGGTGGAAGTTGGTTGTGCTGCTTTGCCCCTTTTTCCTGCCCCTCTGGGCGGCTCCTGCCCCTTCCTGGGGCGGTTCCGAGCTCACTGGCTCGGCTTTGGCTCGCCCCTGGCCTGCCTGCCCACGCTGCCGAAGGCAAGTGGTCCAACCACCTCTCGGCGCACACGCCCTTCAGCGGTATCACACCACCCGGGTGGCGGTGGGAAGCTGCAGCGCCCGTACGGAAGGTCCACAAAGAACTTCGGCGGGCTGACTGCTCCACCCGGAGGTGGCCTCACAGGCTCCTCGGCCTCGGTGCTTCCGCGAGCACGCTCCTGCTGAGCCTTCTCTCGCGGTTCCTCGGTCTGCCCACGACCGGGATCCGCCTTCTTTGGCGGCTCAGCCCTCTCCGGGGCTACCTCGCCCGGTTCTTGGGGGGCCTTTTGCTTCTCCTCTGGGGCCTCGCTTTCCTTTTCCTTCTCCTTTGGGGACTTTCCTTCCTTTTTATCCTCCTCTTTCCTTCTTCGCTGGTCTCTGTCCCGGTCTTTCTCCTCCTCTTTCCTTCTTCGCCGGTCTCTGTCCCGGTCCTTGTCCTTTCTACTCTTCTCCTTCCTTCTTTCCTCTTTGTCCTTTGGGGCTTTTTCCTCTCGCTCCTTCTTCTTTGGGGCCTTTTTCTCTTTCTCTTTCTCTTTCTCCTTCCTCTCTTTCGGGGCTTTCTCCTCCTTCTCTTTCTTTCCTCGGGCTTTCTCCTTTGGGACTTCCTCCACCCGCGGCGGCACTTCCTGCGGCGGGTCCTTCTCCAGGGGCTCCTCCTCGGTCTCCTCTTGCTCCTCGTACGTGTACGAGTCCTCCTGTGCCGATGGGCGTGGCACGGATGGCTGAGACCTCTCCCCTGGCGCCTCCCCTGCCGGGCCCTCCGCTTTGACCTCGACCTCTACCTCTTCCTTTGGATAGGTGCCGACGTCAAGTTCCGGGAACCCTCTGCTCGCAGAGGAAGCCTCTGCCTGCGGCTCTTCCGCAGGCTCCTGCGGCTCCTCCGCAGGCTCCACAGGCTGGGCCAGCTCGCGCGGATCCTGCGGCTTAGCCTTAACAGCAGGCTCCTTCTTCAGAGGATACGGCCTCTGCGGTGGCCTCCCCTTCGGAACCGACCTTGGCAAGGCACGCCCTTTTTCGTCGGCCTCTACCTTCGGTTTCCTTGCCGGTGTCCGGGGCCTCGCGCTGCCACTCGCTCTCTCTGGAGACGAAGGCGGAGTCTCCCCGGGCTTGTGCCACCAAGACCTCCTCTGGTCCCTTGTCCGCGGCGAGCGGGATCGACTGATCTCGCGCTCTTCCTCCGGACTTGGCCGCAGGTCCTCTCGCCTCTCCGCCGGAGTGCGGGGCGAGGGCGGGGAACGGCTGTCCCCTCTCCGCCGGCTGTCTCCCCGGCGGTTCCGCTGCCTTTTTCTAGGCCGGCCCTCTCTTTCCTTGCCTTTGCTCTTTCCTTTGCCTTTGTCCCTTTCGCCCTTCTTTCCTTTGCTCTTTCCTTTTGCCTTTCCCTTCCCACCAGGCTGTACCTTTGCTGCTGCGGTCTGTTTCGCGGCCTGGTAGTCGATCTGCCTCTGCTTGTCTCTTTCCCTCTGCTTGGCAGTCTTCGGTTTGCCCCGTCGCCGGCCACCCGCCTCGGGTTCCTCCGCAGGCGGCGTGGTTCCTGGCGGTGTCCGGCAAGCCCCTCGCCGGTTGCACCACGAAGTGGAAGTTGAAGTGGAAGGGAAGTGAAAAGGGAGGTTGAAGTGGGAGTGGAAGGTGGTTGGGTGGTAGAAGAAGAAGACGAAGTAGTCCAGGCACCCGCCCAGTCACACAGCGCTCGCTGTGGAGGGGGTGTTGTCCTCAGCAACCCAAGGGATCACTCCACCGGCAGTTCCGGGAGGATCCAGGCAATGGGTTTGCCGAGGCAGGTCCGTGTCCACGTAGAAGATGTCGTCCAGCGCCGCCTTCCACCGGGATTCCGGGAGGCTCTCAGGCGCGGATATGGAAGGCGCGGAAGGCTATGGCTCAGGGAGGGAGGATCGGCGCCTCTACCTACAACCCAAGCCCACAACCCAAAAGTACCGTACCGTGAACTCTGCTCCGCTACCACTGCAAAAGCTAGGGTAGTGCTAAAGGGGAAACCCTGACCCCCAGGCAGCCGACCCTACCTTTCTCCGGCCGCTACCAAGTAAGCTCAAGGGCCCTTTGGCCACAGGGTGAGCCAAAGGGCAGCGCACACTCTTTGGGCAAACGCCAACGAAGGCAGAACTCAGTCTTCACAAAGTTGGTTCACAAGCTCTTCATGTCCCAAGTCGGGTGCTGAGCCTGAACTTCAGCACGCAGCAACTGCTCTCCCATCAAGAACTTCTGAGCAAAGCTCGGCCAAACAATTCCGCGTTACCAACCAGTCTGCCCAGCATCACCTGCATCGCCTTCCGAAAAATGCGGTCTCTTTGTTACTTCTCCTATCCCAGATAGGACTCGCACAGAAATACTGACAAAACGGCTGCCAGCTGAACCGCGCATGCAGGATGTGTTTCTTTGACACTCGCACTAGGCAATTACGGCTTCTCTTGAACCAACCACGCGGCCTCAACAACTCCCAACGCCTTTTTCATCTATGGCACACGTCATGTACATTGCACCTTGAGCGCAGGGTGTGCACTTTGTGATTCCCTGCACAGAATCCGACCTCATCTTGGCACATCACTTGGCAACGGCTGCAGATTTGAGGTTAGCTTTCAACCGACCGAGAGCACACAAGAAGAGCAGCGTTCTGATAGCAGGTCAGGGGCATCACAGGCGCTACTTTCCACTTCCGAGCCTCACTTCTTGTGTGCACAATGCCTGACGCATGTCAGATCTTTCTCAAAGACAGCGCCAAGTCTCGAGGACTTTGATACCGTGATTTTCATTTCACTTCGGAGTCAGACGAACATGTTCAAAATCCTCGCCGGAAACCCGCCGCAAGAGCCGTCAGAACAGGACGTTTGCGCCAGCTGAAATACATTCTCAAAGGCAAGACGTGCGCCGGTGGATCCATGCATTGGCGACTCTTGCTCGGGTTGATTGAAAAATGCAATGCCAGTCCAACACACGATCGGTCTGCGGCCTGTCACCTTCGGCACAAGCCTGTGACCCAGCGCATGGAGTGGCGCAGAATTCACTTGCATGAGCTCAAACAGAGCACCATTTGACAAACGTCCCAAACACGCTTCCCCGCTCCATGGCCCTGGTGCACCACGGGTGCACCAGTAGCTCAAAGCCTCAGCTAAAGAGTCTTGCCAAAGCCAGTGAATGCTGGAGCAACAGAGGTCGACACACAAATCTCCCAAGCTCGAAACCTTGGCCACCAGTCACCACAGCAGCGCGGTGAGAGCCTCAAGGAAACCTCGTGCCGCACATCGTGTCGAATCGTTCAACGACGTCTCATATCTTCGCACCACCAAGCTGCTTAGATACGGTTCTTGAACAGGCCCAGCTGCGCGCCGCGTTCATCGAGCTTCAATGTGCTAGCATTCTTGGAAGAGGCCATACCTGAGTGGATACAACTGACGTGAATAGACTTCGTTTCGTTCTTCCAGCATTGCACCATGCACTCCTGAGCCGTTCGCCATCCACCCCGGGCAGTGATGCACTTCTGCTGAGCGTCCTGCCAGCACTTCGGGCCGAGTGTAAGGCTCTTGTTGTTAATGGTGCGACCTCTTTGGTCGGCCTAGTCCTAGCCTTATCCGCCTTACACGAAAGAAATGTCTTCCAGCAGCTCTCTCAACAAAGGTCTGCATGATGCCAACTGCTGCGGCCGGTACATGCTGCCGTCACTGCCAGTCTCGTTTCAGCCTCCTCTTCAATGAGAAGACCAGGCCAGACATGGGTGGCTTGAAGAATTGCCCTTGTGTTTCCTCGGTAGTGCACATGGGGCATGCCGCATACTTCGATCAACCCGAACAGAATAAGTTGCGTGGCCAAGGCCAGGCGGCTGCCCTCTCGCCAGGAGCACCCTACCTCAAAAACTTCCGAAGTACATCGGCAGTGCGAACAAGCGCACACGACAGGCTGGACAAGTGCTATCACAGGTGGCCGACTATCCCAGCTTTTTGAATGGCCACAATCGCGTATGGGCTGAGCTCTGTAGCAACATGAGCAATTGTCGACGGAGGCACGCTCTCGAACTAGAAACGATCATGTCAGCGGAAGGTTTCTGTCTTCCTCCACAATCAACAACAGTCTACAGTAGCTGGTTTTCAATGGACAGAATTCCGCTTGTGTTGGAGATGCCCAGACTTTGGGGCAGGTGTAATCATCAATGATTGCGAACCTTTGGCCACCGATGTGACTGCGCGCTTTTCGCCAATCCTCGGCAGCTCTGGCACGACGAACCGTCATAGCCAGAGAAAATTCCGAGCTTCCCATGCCCCAAGAGGCCGTGAGCTGAGGAACCAAAAGCGGCGCACTGTGCGGCCCAGGCTCCTGCTGGCCAGGGCCTGTTGATTCACGCACAGGCCACGCGCACAGCACTCTGAATCCTTCTCCTAATGCTGAAAGACTGCTCCCCTGAGACTAAGTCTCGTTCCCGTGAAAATATCTTAGAATGGGACAGTATGGGCGTGACAAATTGAATGTTGCCGTTGCTGGTCAGAAAGTTGGACGCAAGAGGGGAAAGGTGGGCCCCCTCTCAGAAGAGGCCCCCTTGCATGTTCCGCCCGAACTAGCGCAATTGTAGAGAGAGCTTCGTTAAAGGTTTAAGTAATCAGTTTTAGGCCCCCAACCCTCCACTACCAAGGCGACCGCATGAGAGCACCCTGCCCTAATTGTGCTGTAGACTTGGCAATTTAGCCAGTGTATACCAGCCTTGAAACCTTCGAAGGTGAGCTGGCAATCGCTTTCGAAGAAGGAGTCTTCTCGCGGCCTTGGCTCAGGCTGAATCAGTCAGATCTCACGCGGCGCAATATGTCTTGAGTGACAAGTTGCCCAAAGACTTGGTCCGCACCTCCTTCTCCAACGGCCCTGGCGGGATGCAGCAGCATAGTCTTGCAGCGACACCATCCAGTGTCTCCTGCCTCTCAATGTCACTTCTGCTAATGATGCCATTGGCTTCAGCATCCAGGCGCCGGAAGCAAGCTCGCAGTGCACCTTCCTGCTGGGAAGGAGGCGCAAGACAGGTCCGCAACACAATGAGCACGCGAACACGAAAGTCGACACGCTGCATCTTGCTGCCAGGCATCAGACTCAAGCACCTTCGGCCCAATAGTAGCAGCGAGCCACTCTTGATAGCCTTGGGCGTGCAGAAAGCCAGCAGAAACATCGCATTAGGGTGGGGGGGGAGGGGGGGCACAAACGACCACGTTCACCGAGTAGCTAATAAGCTTGTTGTCGTCCAGGTCCATCGCCTCAAACACTTCCCGAATAGCTGCTTCCTGAGAACTCAGAAGGACGGGATACGCGGCAGTTGTGCACTTCTGAGGGCCCTTCTTGGAAGATGCGTGCCAGGCCACGTCAACGTCAACATCATGTTCCCTGAAGAAAATTCACAACATGCATCAATTCTTGCAGGTCGTGTGCTTGAACTCGGCTTACTACTTTACCCAGTAGTGACGGACGCATTTAACATCAATCTCAAATATAGACCAGACGGCCTGAAGCCTTCGATCAACTCGGACATCTCCAGAAAGCCGTCATTGGTTTTATCGAAGGCTCGAAATGTCCTCATATCATAGCCGCTCGCGTGCACGACTCCGGTATGGCCGATGACTTCAACAACTCCATTCCCTGGCTGCACGATTGAGCTCCTTCGGAGAAGTGCTGTCTTCGCATCAGGAGCATGATCAGCTACCAGGGACACGATCTTCTTCTCCAAGGCGGACAGCTCCGTGAATGTTCCTTGCCAGCATGGAACGTCCGGTTGCGAAAGCACGACGACAGCTCAGAACAAGCCGGGATTCGCAGATTGTAGAGCAGAGTCCCTTTCTCCAACAGCGCAGCGGAGGCAGAAGCGGCCGGATCAGTTACACGCATCCAGTCAGCCTGCTGGAACAAGCTTGCTAGAACTTGCATGCGCGAGGCCAGTCTCTGCTCTGCGGCTACTGCTGCCTGACTTGCAGCACAACTACAGTTGGCAACGCGGTAGCAACAAAAGCCAACAAAGCCGCGAACGACTAAGTAACAATAACAACTATGCAAGCAACATCAGCAGGCTTGATGGATTCGAAACGTCGCCCGACGCACCTGCAAGATGTCAGAAGCACTACAACGTTCAGCTGGATCGATCGCCAGAACCTCCACACTTCTCACGTGCAAAAATAATGTATCAAGCTCCACAACAACGAAGGAAAGATCCAGAGCAACCATATTGCAATGCACATGGCCTTGTCAAGGATGCTGGCAACTTCCGGATGGCCCTTCACCAGAGCACGATTCCAAGGCACTTTGTTCTTGAAAGCGCGGTACCTGAACGGGCGCAGGACTTCATTGCTGCCCCTTAACGTAACCATACTGTGAGGCTTGCTTTGCCGGCGCCCCCGCATGCTGGCACGAGACATGTCGATCCACTTCACGCAAAATTCCCGGCCATCTTCACGATCCAGGTTTGGATGTTGCAAGCTGCCGAGCCTGGGCAGTCACGATTGCTGCAAGAACGTTATGGCAAAACAGCCAGCAGCTCAACGTGTGAATGTGACAAGACAGAGGCGCCAAAGCCAGTCGAGCTCATGAGCCAAGGATCTCAACGGCAGTCATGATCCAGGTCAAAATAACTCCCAGAGCCCAGACATCCGTGTGCCCAGTGAGTTGTGGAGACGGGTTTGTAAACGTTTCCGGCGCCATGAAGACCATCGTGCCAACGGGGAGGTTCTCCTGAGGATAGATGGACATATTTGTATGCACAAGTATGCCTGCATGCATGTATGCATGAGTGTATGATTGTGTATGTGCGTGTGCAAACGAACATGAACGGATACACATACATATGCACGTACATATACAAACCCGTAGATACATACTTATCTACATATATTTATATATGTATGTTTATATATATATATATACAGTACACTCACCATGTAGTCCCAGGGGGGGTGCCGTCAAGCATGGACAACGCGTGACAAGTGTCGTTTCTGCACCCGGACCTCGCAGTGACGTTTCCAAAATTTGCAACCGTCACAGGGATGGGGAGGGCTTGGGATCGGAATCCTTGTGAGAGCTGTTGCTTGTTGGACCGCGGCCTTAACAGAATGTATGAGACATGACTCGTGATAGTAGCTTGTTTTGAAACTAGATGTCGCAAGATGCCTGCGGAGTGGTAACAGCCACAGGGATTGGTCAATGCTTTCGGACCACGAGCGCGCGCACGCACCGGAATGAGATTGGAGGGAGGACTTAACAAAGCCAAGCGCAAACCCACCCGACACTCAAAGGGGGAAGGGGTGAATCGACCTCAACATCCACATACATATATACGTATATACATAAGTACATATAGATATATATATATATATATACATAGATACATTTCTGCATATATACATATATACATATATACATATATACATATATACATATATACATATATACATATACACATATACACATAAACACATAAACACATATACACATATACACATATACACATAAACACATAAACACATATACACATATACACATGTACACATTTACACCTTTACGCATTTACAAACTGCTTTTTCCATTTTCATTTACCAATATCCATTTTGTATACATATACATTTATACATACAAATGTGTGCTGGTCGACTGGTAAAGGAACCACCTTGGTTCCGTCGTGTCTCGTCAATGCCATCTAGAAACAGACATGCCAGCAGAGAGCCGCAAACATTGAGAGACCACACGACGCACCATTTACAGCCCAAAGGAGGGTACGAGTAGGGTGGAGGATCAGAAACAAATTGAAAAGGATCAACAACAGATATAAGCTCAACCGATCAAAAAATTTGGGAAGGATCAACAACAAACTTAGGGTTTGGGGATCTGCTGCAAGCAATAGCACGGTTCCTGGGAATAGCGGATCAAAAAATTGAGGAAGGATCAAAAACAAATTAAAACATTTCATAACATTTCTGCAAGTGCGATTTCAGTAGTTCCGGGTCGGAACTGTGCGTCAAAGCCAGAAAAGCGTTGTACAGCGTAGAGGGTTCGAACGGTTGGTGTAACCAGAGTTGCTGGCCATGGCTGCGTGCTCTGGACAGTCTTAATTGGTTGCCAGGATGAGAATTCAATAGTTCAGAGTCGAAAATTTTGCGAAATAATGGTGTCAAAGCCAGAAAAGCGTGGTGCAGCGTAGAGGTTCGGACGTTCACAGGTGCCGGCCATGGCTGCTTGCACAGAAACAGCCTCGGCTGCCAGGAATGAACCTGCTGCTGTGGCGCGTTGCTGCTTACGTTCTCGAAAGTACAGCGCAGTAGGTTCGGACATTTGGTTTAACCACAGTTGCTGGCCATGGCTGCGCGCGCAGAAACCACTTTATAGTGGACAGGAATGAGCTTGCCGCTGTGGCAGGTTGCTGCTTGCGTTCGCGAAAGGATCCAACACATGGATCATTGCAGGTTTACATCCAGGAATTGCACCAGTACGCGGGGAGAATGTACTTGGGGGCAACAGTGGTTCGCGACTTGACTTACTGTTCGGGCTAAGATGGCTTAGCTCAGTTGACTGAATCCTGCATGCGCACCCATCCGGGCATCTATTTTTTGTCGGCGCATGGCCGAGATGCGCAGCGGTCAGCGTCGTGTGGCTGCCAGGTAGTTGCTGGAAGCTGCTGCCTTCCGAGCATCTCGATTGGATCGCGGCGTTCCGGCGTGGTTTCGGACTCGGCCTTGCACATTCCGGCAGAAGGCACAGAAATAAACATGTCAAGGTCCGTCACCAAGAAAGCAAACCAAGACCAGCGGCCACTGGCTCCAGCAGCAATAACGACCACAAAGGTAAGCTTCGATGGACGCCGGCTTCGCAAGCAGCAGAAGCCCCGCTTCAGCGATGCGCACCAGCAGCAACAATCAAAGCAGTCGCAGAAGCAAGGGCAGCAGCACCACTGCCGAGCAGAGACTGCAGTCTCGCAACAACGGGTGCTTGAGTGAATTGCAACGGCTTCGGGCTTAGGGCTTGACGGTCCACGGAACCCCAGCATCTTCGTCGCGTGGACGAGATGCGATGTTGTAAGACCCAGGAGCTTCGTACATGCATGCCCGAAAGTCTACGTATACTTCAGAGACGTGGAAATTGAGCGCCATGCGCGCCGAAATTCCGCGAGTTGCTGCAGCCCACACGAAGACATGCCTGGATGCGAAGTTGCCGGGGACACGTTACCGTGACTCTATCTTGCCTCGGAGTGGTCTTGAATGATTTACCTCATAGCCGACCGCCTGCACCGCAGGCAGGAAGCTTCGCCGAGATTCTGGTGTTGTAGAAGTGGATGTGTAAATTCTCTGACAGGGCTTTGCTGAAAACATGTAAATTTACAATAATCCTGCACGCTACTGCTCCCCCGCCTTCGGCCTCGTCTGGAGCGGTTGGGCTCTGGCTCTGACAGATCCTGGAGTGGTGCGTGGTGACCCAGAGCCTAGACCCGAAAAGCTTCGATCCTCAACTTTGAAGACCTGAGCACTGATGGTTTCAAAGCTGAGGTGCCCTCCTTGCTGCTGGAGCCGTATCTTGGAGAAGCCCACGTGACCCGGCACTGACGCTAATGAGCGCAGGACAGCTTCTGCAAATGCAGCACCGAGACCCCAAAATGATAAAGACCGCAACTTCGAACACTTAACCCGAAGCCGGTTTGGGTGCGAGTTCTGACGCAATACAATACAAGGAAGACAACATCATAGCGGCATGAGCTTTGTTGAACTCTTCCTAGTCCTTGCTAGTGCAACATACTTCTTTTGGTTTTCTTTGCCACTGAACAGACTGCCTCGAAACCCCATCCTCGACCTTGCATGTCAAAGCGACAACTTTGAAACAGGAACGTTAGGGCCCGAAATGTTCGTACATGTTGTCGACTTCTTCTCCGGCGCCTCCTAGCCTTCGACAGTTCGTGGCATCCAAAATCAGAACAAAGGCGCAAAGTTCACATGGCATACAGTGACGATGCACCTGAATTCGAATCAGCTATGGCGCAGTTGAAGATTTTGATGGACCATTCCTTGCCCGGCAAGCCCAACAACAATTCTCTCGCTGAAAGATCAAATCAGGAAGTGATCAGTATGCTTTACCTGGAAGGTCAAAGAGACCCCGATGAAAAAAGAACGCAAAAACCCACACCTGTTTTCGGTTCCTGCTCCGGCGCCTCCTGCTCCACATGCTGTGGCCCCAAAGCATTCGATGGTGCACGGCATCCAACAACCCAGCAGGTACAGGCCTCAATTACAAAACCCAAACTAGGGTAAGAACGCCGGCTTCCCAGCTTTCCCAACGCCAGCTAGGTTTTGCTTCGTCTTCGTCAGTGGCATCATAACAGATGACGGATATTCCGGTAGACGACGGACAATCTCCTGCTAGACGCATCCAATAAGGGGCCGCGACGCTCAAGATCATTATAGTTATAGTATTCACGGCTTCATCAGAAACAGGGCAAGCCACGGTCAGCACGGGCTGCGGGGGGGATCAAGGCCTACAGTACAGGAACAGAAACCGGAGTCAACCCGAGCTAAGCCCTCCTCATGAACCCGAGCATCCCAACGCCGTGCTAGCAGAAAGGAGTCCAAGCGCTCCGCCAGATGTGCTAAGAGCTCGGCACAATCCTGCTGAGCATGAGGATTTGCCCGCGAAGGTCAAATGGGCACACGGGCGCTGTGCGCAAGGAGAGAGAACGGACTGCCGCAGAGCCCAACCGTGACACAGCCTGATTCCAACCACGGAAGCCAAGCATGGAGCCATGTAGCAAAGGTTGCCCAGATTCGTCCAGATAGCGTGCCTTAGCCACACCATTCCTTCAAGTTTCTGGATGCCATTTGAGCGCCTGTAGCTCTCCTTGCGGAGAGACATGCCTAGAAGGCGACAGGCCAGTCTCTCCAGATGGGTGTTTCGCTCTGAACTGCACGTCTATCTTGAAGGTCACCATGCCTTCCATGGATTTCACCAATTGGCCGCCGCGAACCGGCTGACAGTCTCCCCATCGGCCAACGTGCCAGCGGTCTTCAGAAGGGACACAAAGTCCGTCTGATTCAAGGACTGCCGGCTCTCGTCGGGATCGATTCCAGCAACGTCGTACTTTACGAGGTCGCACCCATTCGCACCCCAAGCCCAAACACCGTTCTCCGATCTACCGGCGGATTGCACCCGAATCCCAAACACCCTTCCCCGAACTACCTACGGACTCCGGACTTCAGGGAAGTGGAGGTGCGACCAGGGTCGCACATGTTCGCACCCGAATCCCAAACACCATTCCCCGAACTACCGACGGATTCCGAACTTCGCGGAACAAGAGGTTATGTCGGGTACTACGGCTGTACTCCAAAAGAGCAGTTTCCAAGCCCAGCCACTGGAAGAGCATTCCGCGTACTACGTTTGTACTCCAAAAGAGCAGTTTCCAAGCCCGGCCACTGGAAGAGCATTCCGCGTACGACATCTGTACTCCAAAAGAGCCGTTTCCAAGCCCAGCCACTGGAAGATCCGTACGACGTTTGTACTCCGAAAAAGCAATTTCCAAGCCGGCCACTGGAAGAGCCTCACCTGTCCGAAGATAAAACGTAATTGAAACTCCCAACACACCCAACAAAACCCAAGATTGCCAGTTTTGGACAGAGCCACGGAAGCTTTCCAGATTGCTCTGAGTTCCACGCAATTGCTGAGGCAGCCGGGAGCTGCACGGGGCTGCAGCCAAGGCTCGTAGTCCTCGTCGGTCTTCAGGGATGCCAAGCCGAAATCGATCAGTCTCGCTGTGCTGTGGTCACAGCAGGAAGCGAGAAGAACATTCTCGGGCTTCCTCAATCCACGGAAAATCACTGAATGTACGCATGTTCCAGCAGCGTTTTGCAGCTGCTCTGAATGCCAAAGAAGCTCAGATCCCGGTGGATCACAGCCGGGACAAAGTTGTGAATGTAGCTGACGGCATACGTCACCTCTCGGAAATGCCTGGCGAAATTGGCGGATTGCACTGGGACCATGCCCGTGAAATACTCCTGTGCTTAGCCGCTTATCAGCTTAGCTTTGCGCGGGAACCGACCCGAGACCCGAGGCTTGGGTGCGACCTTCGAAACCAATACCAGCCCGGAAACCGTCGCAGCTTTTGCAAGTATGCTGTACGCTCCGAATGCTCGGATAGCGCACAGACGTCCTCCAGCTGCGGCAAAGTTGGACAAGGCTGTGGACGTATTTCACGGTCACAGCACGGTTCTGTCCTCAAGTATGTTCTGGAGGGACGGTCCAGTACAGAGTTCCATTACGAAGAAGATCCCGCTGCATGGATCTTCGAACCACTCACGAAACCTGAATTTCATGCTGACGCAGGCACCGCACGCACCAGGCGCATTCGTCCAGCTCCATTGCAGTCAACGTGCTTGATGATGAACGGGTTATCCAAAATCAAGAGAAGCTTCAGCTCTTTTCGAATCTCTTTCTCGGCAGCGCGATTCCGAAAGAAACCTTGCCTTGGAGCGCATGGTAGAAGAACACGTGGCTCCAGCAGTCCGTGCATGAGAATGGCGGCCAAGCTGCCACACCGCCTGCCACTTGATCCTTAGGGTCGACACTGCACCTACACTGCCGAAACGACAAAAGCACTAGAATGATATTATCAGCGAGTACACGGTTTGCTGGCCAGGCCAGGCCAAGCCACAGTTTCACAGCCACATGATTGTCTGCAGATTCGTCTATGCCGTTGACGCGCCACTTGGAAACGGTTCCGAACGCACCCTGCAAACAGCGACTCTGCGATGTCGAGAGGGACAGGCTATCAAATGGGAGAACATACAGCTCCGTTCGCTTCTTTTTTCGCGCTATTTGCTCTTCAGGTCTTTGATCACGCCGTCCACCTTGACAGCAACAAGGTCAAACAGTTCGGCAGCTTCCGTCTTCATCTCCTCCACCCAAGAGCCTGACTGCCTTTGGTCCCAGCCCAACTGGTACATGTACGAAGTGTTTTCATCACCGCCGAGTTCAAACTTCGTATCGTGTGCAATGTTATAAACTCGTATCAAGCCTTGCATCTCATTGTCTGCGGACCTTCCCCGCCAGAGGCAGTGGAGATCCATCTCGTAGTACAAGGCCCGCTTGCCTTTCTTGTTAGTGATGGCCGCGCTGATCTTCGACTGCTCTTTAAGCTCGACAATTTCAAGAGTTGCATTGCTGGGGCAAGTGTGAGATACCCCGACCACTGCGTCTCGTACTCGGCCAGTCGTCCAGTGAGAGAAGTCTTGTTCTGCAAGGTACTCCTTGCTCACATGCTGAGCAGCAGAACCAAAAGCTGTCTGGAGCTCAGTGCCTTGCATTCGCTGAACTTCAGCTGCCTTTTCACCGTCCTTTTCCCGCCGCTTCTTCTCTGCATCAGCTTCAGCAGATGCTCGCAGCCGTTTCAATCGCTCTACTTCACCGCGCAATCGCTGCAGTTCTGATTTCGGCGAGGCTTTCTCGGCATGCTTTACAGACTGGCTCATATCCTCCACTGCCATCCTGAATTCTCTCAATGCTTCGCAGGCCAAGGCTCTCCTGTAGAACAGCTTGGACTGGTCAAAATCTTGGTCGCCTGCCTGCTGAATTGCGAGAATGGCCGTGGTCGCCTTCTTCTTGGCCCGATCAGGCCACTTCAGCTTTAAAAGACAAAGTGCTGAATTGCTGAGGAGGGTGGCAACAGCTGCAGCAGAGACCGACGACTGCTGTCTCAGAAGCTCGAGGCCTTTTTCATAGTGCGCCAGCGCTTCGGGCACTTTTCCTGCTTTGAAGTGTTCATTTCCTTTGACGCGAGCCTCGTCGGGGTCTTGTAGGTCTCGGACAAGCAACATCTGCTCCAGTTGCACGGGCTCCCGGCGCTGCATATCCCCAACCTCTTCGGCATGGCGAAGGTCACTTTCCTCCACGGAAAGGCCTTGGCCCTGAAGTGCCATCAGTGCCTGCATCACGCGAGGATCCCGGTGGGCGGCCTGTGCCACCTTCTGCCCCGCCCCTGCTGCGGCCTCGGGCTGAGCTTCCGAAGAGTCATTTGCCAGCTGCTGCAGCCTCTTCAGCTCCGTAACGAAGCCAGGATCAGCCAGATGCTTGCGCACATCTGGGTGCTGCGCGAGCTTCTCAAAAAGGTTAGCATCGCAAAGAGAAGTTGTCAGCGGATCCATGCGCCACTGCGACAGAGAGCTCTAAAAGAATTGCAGAGACTAGCACTGCTTGCTGCACTGCACTGCCGAAGCATGCCTGAATACGAGCTGTGGATCGTGAGCTTGGCTGTCGGGTCACGAAAACTTGATAGGTCTTGTTTCTCGTTGCGGGCTGTTGTCGCTGGTTCAGATTTATCTGTGTCTGGTAAATTCCTGGTGGGGCATACACCTGGGACACCTTGCTGTATGCTTCAGAACTTGACCGTCAGATGCTTTCGGCTGAAAATCTGCTATGAACACAAACGTCACAACTGCAAACAAATGCATACATCTATCACTGGGACTTCACGTGGCAACACCAGTGAGGCCCGCCTCCCCAAGCACCTGCACTTTCGTGTAAAAGTCAGTAATCGGCCGCTTGGCCCCCCGGACTTTCCTTGAAGGCTCCGGCATGTCTTGCAACACACAGGGTGCACCAAATCACCTGCGAGACCTTTCCAAGTTGTAGCCGGCAATCCACAGATGCAGGATGTTGTTGGCCCGGTGAGTCTCGCCACCATCGAGCAAAAGCTCAGCACCGTTCATTCGTTTCGGCGAGAGAAGGTCTCCTCGATTTACCCGGTAATATTCTCTGAGTCCAAAGAAGGAAGCATACATAGATTTCCAGATACATCCGACGAATCATCCAAGACACTAAGCGGATAGGTGGAGGATGACCAACTACGAGCACGTTGCGGCGGAGAGTCTCCTTCAGATCACAGGCACTGCAGGGACTCCGTCTATCACTCGGCATGAAGCTGCAGTCCACCTGCGTCGCTGTCCCGTACAAAACTGGTCAGTCGCGGCAATGACAGGACTCGCCTCAGGTTGTTAAAGAAGCTGCTTGTTGTCACAGCTGCCACGAACCAATCGAAGGCCCAGGCAAAAACCGAAACTTGAAGTCACTTAGTGGTGGCGCCGCAACAACAAAATTAACAACAACGCCGTGAAATGATGCCTTGAGGAGACACGGCGGAATTTGCTTCTCAGAGAACACAAGGACTGGCACTATGCACAATGTTCCGCTGCTGGAGCCCATCTTCAATCACAGCGGACGTGCAGCGTTCAAGACGTTGTTGAAGGCAGGTCTGAAGGTCTCTTTGCATCGCAGAGCTTCCCGCTGCTCGAGCTGCTTCAGTCTGACCCGGTGGCCGACCCGCCGGGGCGGTTGCTCAATCCGCCTGATTTCTTTATCTTACCTACTGCTTGTGAATTGCAATGCCGCCGTTGTTCTGCGGGGACCATGAACTTCCCTGACAAAGGCTGGACGCAGATCTCTTTCTGCTCGTGAGGCTGGATGCTGGCTCGTAGGTTTTCTTTTGCAAAACATGCCCAGCTGAGCTCGGAAAGAATACAGGAGGATGGAAAGTGCGAAAACCAAACCATACTCGACTTCGGACTTCGGTGCTTCCCAGCGGCATGCCTGCGATTGAATCTCCGGATTGCGGCTCAACGAAGCGGATCGAGTAACCCTTCCCACGCCAAGGATGGAGGCACAGGCTTCGAACTTTACATGCCAGGCTTAGAGATTCGGTACGCTTCAGAGAATTGGAAGCCAGTCAGTGCGCGGCCAACAAGCAAAACGCAGCTTCAACCGTCCTCGAAGCATTTACAATCAAAGCATGCGCAGAGGCAGGTGCCCATGGCTGCAGGGAGGCTGAGACCACCAGCATCTACCACATTCACACTGCAGCTGCAGTTGGCTGAATGAGTGGAGTTTCGCTACAGACACGAGACTTCGCAATGACTTTGGCTAGAAATCCAGCTGCTTTGGACATTCTACGTCGGCACGCACTGAAGGCTGAACCATCTCTCGAAGTGTTTGTTAGCCGTGGAAAGCTGTTCAAGCGAAAGCTGTTCAAGCCAGCGAACGCTGTCAGGCGGTTTTTACAGCATGCAGCATGAAGCCAAAGCTGCAGAGACGGTGCTTGCGAGTAGGAGCCCCAGCAATGTTGCCGGAGATCTTGCCCGGGATGAGACCTTGGCGAGGCAGATCACTGCTTCTTCTAGTCCTCCAAAAGAACAGACAGCTAACAAGAGTACAAGAAGTCCAAGAGGCCGCTGTAACCGGCGCACGCGGTGTAAGCCTCCAGTTGGCAATGTTCCATTTCTGTCGGTGCTTGGCAACACCGCATGGAATCCACAAATACGTTGAGGAATCTGAGCTGCTCTGTCCATGCTTGGCAATTTCTTCTGCACCGGATGGGCTGCACGTTCCTTGGCCCGCTTCCTCGTGGAGCCATCGCCCGCAAACCGTCCCGGGCTTCTCTAGTGCTGAGCTCTACTTGGTGGCATCAGATACGGGACTTATCAGAGAGTGTCGAAAGCACCATGAGCTGACTTCTACCAGCGCACGGGCTCCTCATAGTGTCGTAATGCAACTCCATCAATCCTGACCTTGGTCGGCACTTGCTGCGCACGTACACACATGTCATCGGCCCTGACGTATGAGAATACCATCTTCCAGATGGGCAAAGCGTTGCTCCAGAGAGGGTCTGCTTCAAGCCGACTTCTAGGCAAAGGCATGGATCATTCATCAAGTCAGGATCAGCTTAACACCACGAGAGATTTCAAGAAGAAGTGGCAAGATGTTGACTGTACGTTGGCAGTGTTTCCATCGTTTCGCATTTTTCAGAGCTAGTCACGCCTGTTGTGTTTCTTTTCCCCCTTGGTGACACGGCATGGCACGGCTTCTGCCGGGTTCTGCTTGTGCCGAAGAATGAAACGGCAAACGGGAGGAAGTCAGAGAGGAAAACAGAGAGGAGGAGAAAGAGACGGAGAGAGGGAGGGAGGGAGGAAGAGAGGAGAGATGAGGAAAAGCGCATGTGATCCGGTGCGGGAGAAGCATGGAAAAAGGAATAGAGCGGAGGCGCCAAGGTTACAGCCAAGCCCAAACAAGTCGGATGCGATGCCGGACTGAGCTGCACACGAGCTCTTCAGCGCGAGCTGATGCCGCGATGGAGAAAGCGAGCCATTGTGAAGATACTCCTTTGGTTACAAAAACTGCACGTCATGCTGGCTGCAGTACAGAGGTCGAAACCATCAAGCTCAAGACACATGGGAATCCCCTTCACTTCGCTGACTTGTCTGCGGGTCCTCGAAAACGTCCTCCTGTTCCTGATACTTGGGAGGAAAGCGCTCCAGCTCCTGGTGCAGAAACGGCTATTTGTCATCATGTCAACAAATTCAATTCGCCATTCGAGGCCTCGGTGTCCTTCCAAAACTGCGATTTTGTGGAGCGGTACCTGCATTGGGATGTCTTCAGATAGCTATCTAGAAGCTACCTGCAACGGCTACAGCCCAACACTAAGGAGTGTCACAGACACAGGCTGGGAGGCACTTCTCCGGTCCAAGTGCCAACACAGTGTTTCCACGGTTGAAGCCTCGGCGAGAAATCCCTCAATCATCGTCGATCTCCCTGCGTAGCTCCAGATTCGTGTTTGCATCTTCGGCACCCATGTTGTCGTCGAGGCTGCACCTCATATAAGATGCTTCAAACTCACAGCTTCTGAAAAGAGCAGGTGGAAGCACAAGAAAGTCGGATTCGCCTAGTGGCCTTACAGCCAAGTTCGCTGCTTTCGCCCAACCGTGCGCTGTGATTTGGAACCACAAATGGCTGCGGAGCAAGGCAGCCAATCTCTTGTGCTTCCGTCTGAGTGCATCGCTACATCTTTAACATGACCCTGATGATGTTGATCACAAAGGTGCTGGCCATAATGGACGACGACGATGGACATCTAAGGCTAAGGCAGCGAAATGCTGATGATACACAGGCGTCTGATAATGCTGACACAGAGTAACGAGAGGGGAAGTCGAACCTTTGTCAATTACTTGCCATGCACTCGGAAGCCTTGTCCTGGCCCAACGACCTGCTGTCAAAACTAGTCCAGACCAGACATGAACGGAGCTGGAAGCCAACACTGACACAGCGGGCCAGAGGGGCTGAGATTCTGTTGGTTTGCGTCTGCGTCTCTTTTCCGTCCCAAGTTCGAAACTTGCACAACGCTGAACCGAGCTGTCCAAGTCGTCAAACTCACTGCCACTGGCTGGCAAAAGCTGCCAGGCAGGAAGCACAAACCTCGGCTTCCGTGAGACAGCTTTACTTTTCCGACATGAAACGTCAACAAACAGTCGACGACCGTTTTGCAAACCCTTCGGCAAACAGCAATACAGCAAACATGGCTTGATGAGCTGGTAACCTCTCATCCGTCGATAAACTCACCACAGCATATGAAGCATTGATGACCTCCAGCCATTGGTGTCATCCATGCTGCTAAAGCAGCAAAATTATCACAGCAGGGGCCTCGTCGATCCTCCCTGCTCGCCAGTCGTGGCCCTCAAAGCTCGGAGCGAGCTTTGAGGAGGAAGCGTAGCATCCGCACCATCCAATCCAGACCTGCCTAGGACCGTTCCAACGGGACGGTGGCTGCAGGGCCATGCGCAACGAGCCGTGAACACCTCTACGATAGGTCCAAGCCGCTGTCGGGCCCTACAAGTAACTGCTTGCCCGGCACCCAAGGCTTCAGCGCTTGGCCCCGACAAACGTCGCGGGCAGTGGTGAGCAAACACCTGTCAAGCGAAAGGCAAGCAAAGACAGTCCATCGGCCAGCATCCCCTCAGCTTGAGCACTGGCATCTGGCACTCCTGGCATCTCCTGGCCTTCAGGTCTCCGCCGAAGTTGAAGACATCAGGGCTAGGCGCTTCTACCTCCAAGTCCTGCGGGCAGGTGCAGCTGCCGGTTCCACACAGGCTTCATAGGTCGGAGATCTGCGGAATCAACACTGAAATTTCCATGTCGCGACAGGTCACACAGTTCACATCTCAATCCTCTGCATCACCTGGGCCAAGCTGCACTCGCACAGCATCGGTCTTACGGGCTGCAGTGGTCAGCAAGATTCAAGACAATGGCCCCTTTGCGACTTGACAGTTATGATTATACAATTGCAGTACTGCAAGGTTGCGGCACATATTGTTGCATGCCAGCGGCGAAATGCCAGGAGCAAGTGGCAAGTCTGGTTCATGGGTATGGAAGGCAAACGGTGCCTCGCTGAGTTGTCCCGGGGACGCAAGGCAACAGTAGTAGGTCTGGGGCCACTTATAGCAGCAACATTCAGATCGATGCAACCAAGAAACCCATCAAGTGCCATATGGATGAAACCCTTCGGACCATCCACATGCCCAGTATTCACCAATTCTATCCCAATGGTTCCAAATCCTGGAGCAAAGCAAGCAGTGCAGGAAGCAACAAACGAACAGAAGTGCATTGCCACGACCGTCCTGCCATGCGCATTCGCAGCTTCAGTGGTGGGCCTAACAGATGCTGACTGCGCGATGTTGCGCGAAACTCTGCGAGTACGGCCACGCATAATCAAAATACTCAGCAACGAACATCGCGACTCAGAAATGGCATGTCCACAACCTTTACGAGACCGGCCGAGTTGCCCCACGACCAGCTTAGTCCAGTCCGCCGCGTCTTCTCCTCGCATAGAGTTTGCCATGCACTTGCGCGTGCTTCTTGCATGCGAGGGGAGGGTCGAGATGTCCTCCTCATACCAGCCTTAGCAAGCAGCTGCATGACTGCCAAGCCGCCCTTGTTTCCCATAAGCTTGACAGACCTGTCCATGCAAGCAGGAAGCAGGGTACCTTCTGCGATGGAGTTGGTCGAGTTGATGAAGGTTTGATAGTCTCCGGCTTGATGGGCTTCTTTTCGACACCCAAAGTCGAATGGCCGGTACCTCGGCTGCACAACGCCAAGTACCGACAAGTGCAAGCGTGCAACTCGCATCCAACATTGGCGAGGCAAGCGCGAAGTGACTCGTAGCGGTCGTAACGTCCACTGCCGAAGCCTTGGGTGGGCGTGTAAAATTAAACATGAACACAAGAAACAACGCAGCTCACAGCCCCCCTTCCAGAACAAGTAAGAGCAACTGATCAATGGCTTTTCCTGTCCTCTTCGAAGCGTGAAAGGCCCTTCCACCAACACTGCTGGAGCGGCCATTGGTCGACGATGAACATACCTTGAGTGCAGAAACAACATAGACCTTGCTCCGGCTGTGACTCTGTGACCCACCACCAAGAGTCCAAGAGTGGAACAGGAATGACTTCGTGCGAAGTTCCAGAATCTCACCGGGCGCCCCTTTACAGGAACCCGAGTTCGCAGTCCGCACCCCTCCGATGCTCCGAGGTCTGTGGTCTGCATGGCTGCCCAAGAAGGGATTCCTCTTCGTCGCGTTATGGGCAAGTTGACAAGCCAACTTACCAAACAAAGCACAGATGCTGAAACCACGAAGTCCATGTTCTAACCCCAAAATCCGAAAGAAATCACTGCCAAACCCATCTCAAGGCCAAAATCTTCATGCTCCAAAACCCTACTTCAAACCGTTAGGAGGGGGATGGGGTGCAAGCCTTGGCCGTAACACGGTGTTGTTCGAGTTTCGGTTCTTGCAGGATCTCACAACACTCCCACATTTCTAGGAAGGTGCTCTTCGTAGCAAAATCGATCTTAAGAACCTGCGCAGTATGAGCGGTAAATGCACGACAAACCGACGTCGGTACTTGATGCTGCCAGGCAGCAGCAGGAAGAGAAGCCTCAACGGCAGATGATTGCGATTGTAGAAAGTTCCTACTGCCTCTAACCAGGAGGGCATATCTGACGGACCTGACGTGTGAAAGTGTTTCCATGTGCACTTGTAGGAACACTTGCACGACCAAGGCGACGATGCCACAAGAAAGCTGCCCAGACTGCCACATGTCACGGCGGCCAGCGCACCATGGCCGTGTGGGCCCAAAGCCTACTGGTACCAGTCCGTCAGTGCGTTAGCCCAGTTCAATTCCGCACTTCGCGGGCGAGCACGCGCGAAGCAAAAGACGAGAGCCAGAGCCGCCTCCGTCTCGGCAGGGGAGGGAGGGCTCATTGCAACATGGTACCAAATTCGAGGTATCAGGTTGAGCAGAAGCAGGCGAGGAAACGACAGACTTTTAACAAGCGCAGCCTGCCGGCACAGCAGCTAGAGAAGCATCTTGCTCTTTCGGGCTACACTTGCCTCTGGCAGGTTTGCTGCCAGCAGGGGTGGCACATCTACACTCGCAAAAGAGCCGACCTGATGTATTCTTCCCGCGAGCATCGTGAACATAATGTCACTCAAGCTTGCCTTAACCGCCTAGGGCCTAGCCTGCATGCCACCGACCATCGCACTACGAAACTGGAGCCTCTTTGCCCGTGCTTCAGACCCTTAAGCGCCGACTTGAACCTGCAGACTCCCCGGTCCTGTCAGAGTGCTTGGGAATTGCCGAGTTAGCGCAGCACACAAAAAGGAAGGGTTAAGGGCGTCTGAAACCCAGACATCGGCCACGGTCTGCTTGACGACAGGCCAGTCTGTACAAATGCAAGCCCTACAGGCCGTACTGGCACACTGAGACGTCTGTGGAAGCGGCTTCAATTGCCTGACCTTCCCATCAAGTCACGTAGAGGTCGGACTCTGGCACGAGACTGCTGCGACGGATGCCGCACGCAAAGCTTCTGCAATGAAGCCTCGGCCCTTGCCAGTAAGCCTCACTACCGGCGCCATGCGACAAGCCAGTGGCATTCGGCAGACTCGATCTCCTAAAGCGATGCAAAGGGCTCTTGAAAGGCTTAGCCACTTGTTAGCTCTAATTCTTGACGGCTTGACGCTCCTTCCGTGGCAGAGGACGCCCGGAGGAAAGCTGCTGTGCCCGGCTTGGCAGAGTAGGCACTGGAAAATGCCAATGGCTGCCGTCGCAGGAGACCTCCAAAGGCAGTGAGTCCATGAAGAGTCGAGTCGGAAACCCGGACTTGAGGACAAAAAACACGAAGAGGTGCAGTGGATGTCATAGCAGACCAGAGATGGGCTTTACGCCGGCATCGGTTTGCTAGAGACGGTGGATCGCGAGTCCTATCTCCATCATATCAGAGTGACCCACAAGGAATCGAATGCTTCTATTGCCCTACTCACCTCACAGCAAGCAAACAGGCCAGCTGCAAAACACAAGCAACACCAGCAGCACGGTACCCAGCACACCTGTGCTTGCATGGAGTAGAGATCTGGAGGCGTCAGTGTAACTTTGCAGTTCCTTATTCGGAGGCACTGCCGTTGCGCACTTAAAGTGCGAGAGATTGAAGAGCCAAGGCTACCCCATCTGACTGCTTCCAAGCTTCTCTGCATCTGAGGTCTCGGACCAAATGCTCACTCTGGTCATGTGTCTTCCCTGCCACTTCAGGAACGCGCGGTTGCCTTGCCCAGCGCGACAGGCAACAGGGCAGACTGCAAGCCGCAGTGCTAAATGCGAGGCAGTTGCCGACCATCCGCCAGTGATGGTCTCGCATGTGGTCATTGCTAACCTTTGCTGGCTTGGGGGCTTGTTCACTGGACAACCCCGTAGAGTTGTAGTGCTTTTAATCGTTACCGCCACGGTCTTCACGCTACATGATGTGCCTGTGACAGGTCTGCAAGGATTGGAGGTCTCTGGACCGAACTGTGCCGGGCATGTGTAATTTCGAACCAAATCTGCCAAGACGCCACCTGTACATGCCTAGCACCTCGGCGCGCGGAAGACAGCGCAGCAAATAGCCAGTACCAATCGTCACCTTGCTGCCGAGATCTGCCGCGACACTGGTCTACTGCTACAACCACAGGTTTGGACACCGGGGCTTCTGCAGTCCTTGGCCGGTACACGGACAAGGCAATCTGACTCCTGGAGCATGCGCACCCACATGCATCCGTGCTGATGTGATCGACTTCCGGCGACTTCAGAATTACGGGTCATGACGGAGCCAAGCCTTCCACTGGCGAATGAAGGCAAGCGGTGTGCCAGAGGGTGCCGCCCTCTCTGCATCAGTGATGGGGTCCTTGAATCCAAACCACGCAGGAGAGCTACGTGCAAGCATCGATGGTTGCAGCCGAGCTTCGAAAGGATATTGGATCTCTGGCTCTCCGTCCTTGGCACCCGCCAAACCCTTCCACAGCTATCTGACTTGGGAACAGCTGCAGTAACCCCCATTCGTCCTCGTGCTCCTCCGCCGACTCGTCAGAAGAACCGAGTCCTGACTCCAGGTTGATCTGATCCTCAGGTTTGGTGCTGGCTGAGTTTCCGGCATGGAGCGCTTGCAACTGCTAGTTCGTTCATGCATGCTTGAATTTTCACAAACTCGAAAAGCTTGGCCAGGGTTCGAGTTTTCTCTTTTTTCGTTTGGTTACCGTCCGATCCGCGTCTGCACGCAACCACTTGGGGTGTAGCACCAGGAGCACCCTGCTGCCAGTTTCGCGCAGCTTCTGGATGACAGCATCGATCTGGCTGTACTGAAACCTTTTGGTCAGGAGGGAGCAGGCATGGGTAAACTGTGAAAGTCGGACATGTACTAAGTCAAGCCTAGCAACAAGCCTCCTTCTCTGTTCTGATTGTTGAAGCCAACCTTGCATCTCCCATCTTGCCAAGCTACTATCCCGCGTTCATCAAGTTTGCTTCCAGCCGTCTGCACTCAACTTAGCAGAGACACATTTGCTCCATCAATCACAATGTCGAAAGGCGGTTGTTCTTCTAGCCATTTTTTGAAGCGCTTGAACCGCTTACCTTGGCTGCAGGAACCCGCAGCCCAGCGGCGCGGGGAAAAAATTTGAAAGCCGACATACCCGCACGATGGGCATGCAATCAGGCAGAAACCCGACATTCACGCATTCACGCAGAGCCACCGGAGTTCTTGACCCCATCAATTGCAAGCTTGATCACCATGCGCTCCAATAAAGCTTCCTCCTCATGCTGGGCCCATGCTACCGCTCATGCTACCGCTAATGCTACCCCTAGTGCCCCACGGCTCACACTACTGCTGCTTCTACTCCTACTCCCCCTCCTTCTACTACCACCACGACTACTACTAGTATTCATTCATTCCAATCTCAGCCAGTTGCTCAACTGCTACTCATTCCAATGCACGCTTAAAGTATTCGGCTTCGGTTCTTTTCGCTCCTGCCACCAGTCACCTCGCTACTGCTATGCACGAACCTCGCCATAAGGATATGCTTTGGGAATCTGTCGGTTCCACCTGACAGATCGCAACCCTGGCACAAGTGTTCCTCACTTGGCCGATGCCCGGTTCCCGGGCAAAGCACCCTTCCGAAACAGAAAAGGGTTACGATCGCAGAACATGCGCAAACCCCAGGTGCAGCGGGGCTTACAAGAAGTAAGGTAGCTCCACGGGAGACCGTACCTCAGGGGCGGTTGGGTGGGCAAAGAGAAAACTGTAAGCCGTTTTGGATCAAGACCTTGAACCGAAATGGCAACCACATTTCGTTTCAGCTCTGCCTGCAATGAAGACTGCTCACCCAGTGCCTACCAAACACAAAGCAGTTTTGCATTGCAATGCACGCTTACAGTATTCGGCTTCGGTTCTTTTCGCTCCTGCCACCAGTCACCTCGCTACTGCTATGCACGAACCTCGCCATGAGGATATGCTTTGGGAATCTGTCGGGTTCCACCCGACAGATCGCAACCCTGGGACAAGTGTTCCTCACTTGGCCGATGCCCGAGCAAAGCACCCAAGGCACTAATCCCAAAGCATTAAAGAAACCGTGCAAGCGCAAGCAGAGCGGCGGGTGGCAGTCCCCACACAACGCGTGGGAAATGAACCGAACAGGTGGAAAACGATTGGCTGACATGCCAGGGGTCGTCCCAGCCCGATCGAGAGATAGGGTCTGCCCAGTTGGACTTGGAAGGGATGTGCTCGAACCACATCTGCACATTCAGCCCAAGCAAAAACACAGGCACCATGTGTGCAAAACGCTCCAGATCCTTGGATGCCGAACGGCCTTTCACCAATGCCATGAGCGACGCCAGGTTATCGAGAAACCAAAAGCCGCGCCGGTTCCGAAAACGGTCCGGCCGACAAAGCAGGGCACATGCAACCATTGAGATCTCTGGCTACTTCTGCCGGTTGCCAAACCTCATACCACCATGGCTGGATGTCTGCCACAAATCCTTCTCGGATCTGCTCGGTTCCAGAGAACCAGACCACCAGAAAGCCACCGGTACCTCCGGTGGCCGGCTCCTCGGCGGCATCAGAGGCGGCGACGAAGCGCTCACACGGCAGCAGATGACAGGCAATTGGCGCTCGGGCTTGGCTCGGATGACAGCCCGAACGTGCCGGAAGTTGTCCGCCAGGTCTGGTGTCAAAACCGTGCAAGTCTCGTTCTCTCTCTCTCTCTCTCTCTCTCTCTCTCTCTTTGATGGCCCATAGGCTCCCGGCCCCGACTTTATCGTAGACACCCTGCTCGAAGAAGTTGAGAATGCCATACATCTTGGAGGCCTGACCCGGATGCAGAGAGGAACTAGATTCGGCTTCGGAGAGCATGTCTTCAATCTTGGAGACAATGCGGGACCTGAGCCAAAAGCGAACAACTCCTTGGGACAGGGCCTGCGACATGTCGCGAGAACGGCCCGAACAATCGCCGGTGATAGACCTTGGTTGCCGCTTCAGCAAACAGGGTGCCCAACATCTTGTTACGCTGGACAAAAGCCCATTGCCCCGAACCCCGAGACGATTTCCAATCGCCAACAGTTGCATCGTCGAAGTAGAGTGACACCAGCGTCATCACGAGGCGGCGCCCGAGGGCTTCAACCAGCCTGGACTAGCGGTTGAAGGAAGTGACTGCGAATGGAAGGCCGAATAAATGCCCAGCGTACAGCTGGAATGCTGGCTTCTGCCACTCGTGGTGCCAAAAGCAGACCACCCACACACACACACACACACACACACACACACACACACACACACACACACACACACGTACACACGTACACACGTGCACACGTGCCTCGTCGGGTCCCATGGGGGAGTGGCGGTAGGCGTTGGGCCAGTGCTCCCCGTCCGTTTCCCAGGAGTCACTCTCCTGTGCTTGTTCCGACATCTGGCCGATGTAGCCCTCAGCCGCTGAGCCGGACGCGGCGGGCAGCAAAGCACCAGCTTGTTTGCATCCGACGACATTTCGGACTGGCCTCCATCGGCGGCGTTGTACATGATGCGGTGCTTGCCAGAGCCTTTTTGCTGATGACGCATCGCGGGATGACCCGGAAGGGCATGCCTTTCACTGCTCTTTGTATGGCCTGGTAGGACCGGGGTGGCGTACAGAAGCCTTGCTCGAAGTCGCTGGTGGGCTGTTCCAGCAGCACGCTGTCGAGCTTCCCGGGCTTAAGCTTACGAATAGTCATGGCGTTATGTCACCAACCATTTGCTCCAACGTGATGAAGGCGGCCTGCTGCTTTAGACCTTGAGCCAAAATGGCAGCCACATTTCGTTTCAGCTCTGCCTGCAGTGCAGACTGCTCACCCAGTGCCTACCAAACACGAAGCAGTTTTTACTACTACTACTACTACTACTACTACTACTACTACTACTACTACTACTACTACCACAACTACTACAACTACTACAACTACTACAACTACTACAACTACTACGACTACGACTAAGACTACGACTACTACTACTACTATTTTTCAATTGAACGCTGTGCGAGCGGGCTCTGCACATAGCGGGCGATTGCCGCGGTGCACTCACTTTGGTGTGAAACTGACTCAGACCCTATAGCTGATCCGCCCAGGTCAAAAGACCTTTGAGTGGTAGCGGCCTACAGGCTTTGAGCTAACTGGCAGTGATCAGCCAAAGCGAGTTTGCAGGCTGCAGGGTATCAAGCTCCAGATTGTTGTATGTACCTGAACATTGAAACGGAATTCGCGTTGTGTATGCTGTCAGCAGAGCAGCAGTAGCGCGACCGGCAGCAGGCTAGGGCATGATTTCCGACTGACAGCGGCGGCATCCGGCAGAAGGGCCATCAGTCTGTCTCGGAAGAGACGCAAGTGAGAACAGGCATGGCCTCCGCGACTTACTGCTTAGTCTGCCAGTGGCACCATTGGTTGCAGCGTTGGAGAGGGCATGCAGGGCGCTGCCTTGCCGCTGCTTGCCGCCTCCGGATGTCTGGCGTCGAGTGTCGACCCGAAGCGGCTCAGATGGCTCTCCCATTAGTGAATCTGGAGCCAGGGGAGAGGCGGTTCGACCACTTTTGTGGTCCGGGCTGTGGATCGTGTCAGCCATGCTGGGTCAGCCTGAAAAGCTGCGGGTAAGCCTGCGCATGCCTAAAGCATGCTTGGCCTTGACGTGGGGGGGGCCATGCCCACCTATTGTGGGGTCCGGCCTTCCCACGCACAGGCACCCTATTGGTGCACGCATTCCTAGGTTTGGAGGGCCAGCACTCACCCCTTGAGGGTGAGTCAGAGTCACTCCTGTCTTCTCAAGAAAAGGAGGTAGCAGTCTTCCATAACATGTTTGCGATCTGAGGCCGAGGCTGGGTATGGGCGGGTGGCATCATCCCCCACATACAGCGCGCCTCCATTTGGGTGAATCCAGAAGGACCGGTAGTGGCCGGAGTGTATGTCAGCACCTATGTGAAAAACTCCCGAAATGACTGCATATTGATGCCATTGCCGGCCCTGACCCTCAATCCAAGACGGCATTGAGAGGTGCCTGCGCAGGTCCAGCGGGGTGCGTCGTTTTGTGCCGTCCATCCATCGAGCGATTGTGACTGGCAGGATGTCAGGGGCCCATGCCAGGGCGCGCTGGAACGTGTGGTCATACCATGCCGTGCAGGCCTGCTGCAGTGTACGACAGGCTGAGGAAAGGGGCAGCAGCAACGGCGTGAGGCCGTCATCCTCACTTTCCGGCACTCCATTAGTGCGTCCTTCCCAGCGAGCGGGTTGCAGAGTCCCCGTGTTGTGCTCTAGCATGTATGTGACAAATTCGGAGGCGTCTTGTTGACGGCCATCGAATCGCCATCTAGGCACTAAGGACCGGAGAGCGAATAGGCTTGGAGGGTTTATGTGCCTCGTATCCATTGGATCCGCTTCCGGGTTGATGCAGTGTTGGACCAGTGGTCCCAGTTCCGCTACATTGGACGCAGAGTCTAGCGCGGCTAGTAGGGCCTGAATGGTCGCATTGACATAGCAGGTGTTACCCGAGTTCACCATGTGTCGCATACGAGAATACAGGCCTGGCGGGAGAGTGCTGCCGACGGCGCCCGTCGTTGCCATGGCAACAGTGGGTGATGCAGCCGCGGTAGCTGGCTTGTCTGCAGCCCCAAAAAAGCCACGAAGTGACATTGTCACCGCGGTCTTGGGATGAGGCTTGGAACATTGTTCCCGCATCTTGTCCGTGCCTTGCACCTTGTGCCACCCAAGCAGAACCTGAAACAGGACAATGCATTGCTCAGGGTGTTTGCGTTTGTCATAGACCGGCAGCCTGCAAAAGGGGCAGGGGTGCCCCTTTATCATCTGCACAGAATAGGCCTTGCAAAGCTGAAGTGCTGCCGGACCATCTCGCTGCCATGCTTGTGCATGGGCCTGTCGTTGATGATTCTTCATCTTGGTATGGTCCGGGGTCCAAAAACCGCACAAAATGCACCGATGCTTAAGCTCCTGAGCCTCTGGCCGGGTTGCAATGGCACTGAGTTTGTTGCTGAGCGAACTCTGCACCTTGGCGCGAAAGGCCGCCAGGCCCTGGAGGGCCTGACCCTGCATCTGTTCCTCAGTGGTGAGAGAGATCTGACGCAGTCGTTCCGGCTGCGTGCAGGCCCCCGATAAGAGATGGTCACGTAGGCCTTTCCATTGATGGAAAGCCTTGTCGCATGCAGAACATACAGGTAGACCATCCTTGGAGTGCCGACTGCGATCAAAGGAGGGGGGAATGTACCTTTGCACGTGCTCGCGATGCATTCGCGTGACGTGCATGTGTAAGCCATGTGCAGAGACAAAACCCGACTCGCAGTGAGGGCAGGCGTGTAGCCGCTGCTGTGAGGCCTCGGTGCTCGCCGGGAGGTTTTCCACCTCTCTCAGCATGTCCTGTAGGTCCTGTACGACGTGGCTCAGTTGCGTGACGTCACCGTATGTATGTGGTTCAGACGGCTGCTGGTGTGTTGCTAGGCCCGTCGCTGGTGGACTCAGCCTGGCCCATGGGCCCCGCGTCGCTGAGGGTTCACTGGGAGTGTGTGCAGGCAGGGCTGTAGTGGTGGCTTCGGAGGGGGCTGTTCTCTTGCACAACCGCTTGAGTCTAGAAGCCATCCTTGTTTGGATTTTGGCTACCGGGTCTTGGATTGAATATAGTCGGTACAGGTCAGCTGTAGGTGTGTGGCCGACGTGTGCAGGCTGATTGAGGACCGAGCGTATCTTGTGTGCATACCAGCCTCTAAGATGCCTGGCCGTCTCCTCCGTGAGGCCGACTTCGGGGAGTCCCGTGACCAAGGTGGCCCAAACGGTGGTGAACCAGACCTTTAGCCTGGCCATTGGCCCCGCGGTGCGGCGATTGTAGACGAATCGCTTGACCTGCTGGAGCTTTTTGGCAGCCTCCGCTATGCGGAATCGCAGCGTCTGCATTTCAAAGTTCCCATAGGAAATTTGGATGCCCAGGTACTTGATTTGCGCCTCAAGTTTGTATGCAGGGAAGGATCTGTGCTTGCCCAGTCGCCAATGCCGCTGTAGTGTGCCCGTCGAGTCGGGCAGCCAGCAGGTGTGCTTCTGAAGCACGGCTTCCGCCTCTCTGCCGTTAAGCTTGACTAGCATGGCACATTTGGCCGGGTTGACGCGTAATCCCAGTTTCGTCACCTCCGACAGAAGCTGTAGGATCATCTTGTGAGCAGCGTCCACGTCTGCTTGGCTGCGGATGGTGCGATGCATGGTGAAGTCGTCCGCGTAACCTGTAAAGTATCTGCGGACATTGTCCCAGCCAAATGCGTCTATCAGTCTATGAAGGAGGCGGCCTGTGAGCACGGAAAACAGCGTGGGGGCCAACTTGCAGCCTTGTTTGATGCCAGTGGTAGTTTCCACGTCCTTGTAGGCCCCCTGAGAATGAAGTCTGTATTTAGATCGATGATGAAGGCCGTGTATGAGTTTCTTAAGCGGGGGATCCGCGCCCAGCTCATCTAGCAGGGACAAGATCTCACTTCGGGACACAGTGTCGAATGCCTGTGACAGGTCTAGTGCGAAAGTGATGCCGCCGACGAGACCTACAGGACATTGTCCCCGCTGCTGATCCGCTCGGGTGAGATTCGCATTGCGACAGAGCTGCCTTGCTTCCCTTAAATGCTGAACCACTCTGCTCTGTGCATCCGAAAGACCTCTCCCAGGGAGGTATGCAAACTGGGGTAGAGGCTTCATGTATGGCAGCGTGAAAGGCTCCAGGAGCTCCTTGGCCGTGCCCGCCAGTCCTTTAGCATCCGGGCGAAGAATGCCCAGCGGCCTGAGTTGTGAAGGCTTGTCAGCCGGCTTGCCCGGTTTTGGGATTAAGCAGAGATCTGCGCGAGTCAGATCGTCGTCCAGTGACTGGTCCTGCGTCAGGCTTGAACAGTATTGTGAAAGCGCCGCAGAGATCGGCTGAGCACAGAGCTTCCAGGCTGCGGCCGGTGCCGCTCCTTTCGGAACTGCCTTGCTAGGCTTGATCGAGGCAATATGTTTTGCTAACTTGGTCTGTGGCAATAGGGGCAGGAGTCCCGAATCAGACGGGAGCTGTGGGTGCGCCGCAAAGACCTTAGTTGCATACTTCCCCAGTTCATCCAGTTCGTTTGCAGGACTGAGCAGGAAGCCGTGCGCGTCCTTAAGCTGAGCTTTCAAAGCCGGTTTCCACGGCCGGAGGTGCTTAAGAGTCTGATATGCCAGGTGCTGATCGCCCTGGCTCAGAGCCTGATCAACCTCAGCAAGAAACCGTTTGGTCTGGTCCTTGCGAGCCTGCTTAACCGCCTGTTTATGCTGATCACACAGCCTCTGCCGGGCTTCATCCTCCGGCGATGGCTCCGCACTGGGGTGAGCATTGCTCCCACGCGCCGAGCGCCACATGCGTCTGGCAAGGCTCGTCTCCGGACTATCTGGCATTGCCACTGGGGTCTTAGGGAAAAACCTGGATGCGGCTTCGCCAAGGAGGCGATCCCATGACGCCGGCTGCATGTCCGGAGTGAGTCGTGCTGTAACCCACTCGAGCATGTGCTGAGCTGGCAGCGTGTTGTCCCTGACAGCCGCTTGCAGAGCAGCGGTGTCATAATGATGCTGCTGTATCTGAGGGGCTGGCAGGTTCCAGTGCCGAACTGGTTTGACAGCTGCACTGATGGGTAAGTGCCCGCCTTTCTTCCAGCTTCCAAGCGGGAAAGCTGCCAGCGGCGTAGAGTTTTTGGCAGCTCCTCCAGCAGAGACCTCCCTCGTAAGCACAAAGTCAATTTGAGTGCGCGTATCCCCTTGCTGAAACGTATGTGGCGGCTGAGGCCTCCACGTGTTGAGGGCAACCAAGCGATGATTAAGCAGAAAGTTGGTAAGCTCTGGCTCATCAGATCTCGGTTCCTGTGGGCTAATGATCTCTGGACCAACCAGCCTAGGCTGCTTTTGCAAGGAACTATTGAAATCTCCTGCCAGGATAAGCGTGTCCCTGTGCGGCACGCGTTGCACGCATCTGCTAAGAGCCTTCAGGACATGTGCTCTGTCCTGACGATTGGTCTGTACCTGCTTGGCCGGTGACCAGACGTGTTGATACACAGCAACCAGGTTGATGCGGGCCCCGTGCCAGTCAAACCTGACCTCCAGGGCTCTGCCTATGACATGTTCCTGCCAGCGCACACTTTTGGGCAGTATGTGTGGGGACAGGAAAACCATAACCCCGTCCGCGCGAGTTGTTGAGGGCTCCTTGCGGGGTGGGGTCATCTTATCGTCATTAGGCATTGCCTCTGCAGGTGACTGTTTATGGGCCTTGCCCCCGCGTTGCTTTCGTCTAGAGGCCTTCGGATCTGCAGCAGAAGCAGACGAGATGCAGTACCAGCCTGCAACACTAAATTCGGCCGTAGCCTGCCAGTGGGTCTCCTGCAGGACGAACACATCACAGGTGTGGTGTGCCTCAGTGGAGAGCCATGATTTGACTTCCGACCATTGTTGCTGGCCAAGATGGCCTGCATTCCAGGACAGTACTCGGAGAGGCCTGGTGGCCTGTCCTGCCCGAGATCGTGGTGCAAAAGACTGCTTGGAGCCCGGCTGCGGTGGGCAGTTGCCCATGCGCCTGAGAAGAGCTGGGGTCAGAACCTGACCTCGGTAAGAAACAGGCTGCTGGCTTGCAGCCACCTGTCGGCAAACATGCTTGAAAGAATTCTTCCTGATCTGAGAATAATTTTGTGAGTGCACTGGGAGCAGCGCCATCCGCTATTTCGTCACAAGGCAAGCCGAGTGACTCCCTCCACCACGCGGCTAGTGGAAACCCTACCGCCTGCCCAGTGGGCCCGTGTTGAGACAGGGTACTGGGTCCAGGAATTGGGACCTGGCGGCTCAGACGCAAACTGTTGGCACATGGCACATGGCTCAGCGTGAGGAACCAACCCTTAGTCGTTCGGAGAGAGGCCTTTTTGAGACCTCTAGCAACGCAAGGTTGGAATCCAGAGCCTGTTCGAAAGCCAGCGCGAAACTTCCAAAACGTCTGAGCCGTGGCGGCTACTACTACTACTACTACTACTACGACTACTACTACTACTACTACGACGACTACTACGACTACTACTACTGCTACTACTACCAACTACCGACTACTACGACTATGGCTCCAGTTCCCATTCGCCTCGCGTGAGATGTCCAGAGCCTGCAGGCTATGACCGCTCAGAGCACATCGTCCATCTTCGCTGAGAGTGGTCCACCCGACATGCCAACCTGAAGCATAACAAGCTTGTCACTCTTAAAGCTTGGCTGTATTTCTGGCTTGGTAGAAAAACCACGCTAAACCCAACACCAAGGACTGCCGATTTCAGCAGCGCGCGTTTGCCATTCTCCTCCCGTCCGACTGCTTCAGGCAGATCTGCAGACCGTAAGGCCTGAATGCCTCACGAAAAGATGAAGCGTGACAAGAGCGCCACAGGGAAGTGTCTAGCTTCTCGATGGCAGCCACTCAACGGATCTGTGTCTGTGAGGGCTCTGATCTTTCCGTCACTCCGACGCGACGTATCTGCAGACGATGCTGCCACGGCTGATCTGCACTGATTTCGGCCTTCAACGCCAAAGACACGGCCAATCTCGTCAATCAGTGGTGGATCCGATGGCAACGGCAGTTCGTCAATGAGTTGCCGCAACAGCTCATACTGACCTTGTCCGACAAGAAGCAATGCTGAATGCTGGCACCGTGTACACATGTGCTGCGGAGTTCTCAGTGGAAGGCGGACAGGTTCTCCACGAAAGGTTCGCAGCATGATCGCAAACCTTGAAAAACGCCATCACCGAAATCAGTTCAGCAGCCCCTGGCACCCGCCCATTGTGCCGAGTTGCTCGGAGTCCTGGGGTTCAAGACCCAGGCTTGGGAGCCGTGCCCAAAGCGACTCGCAAGTGGAGCGGTCCCCGGCCTCTGCCGCCTCAGCTGCCAAGCGGTGCGAAGCGATCCGAAGCGGCCAAGATCGGCCAAGGGCCCTGCCTGCAGAAGAACTGCGGAAAGTGTCCGCAGTCGCGGCTTCACGCCCTTTGCCTCCCACTTCAGTCACCCAGGGTCTCAATTGAAACATGAGCTCAGAAGCTGCGAAACTTGGGCAAGGCATGGCAACCAAAAAGGTATCTGGTGAAGGAGTAACAAACAGGAGGCAAGGTAACCGAAACCGGAGGCGTCTGCACGTAAGATCAAAAATGACGGTTGTGGGTTCTCGTTACTTCGTGTACTCGCGAAAGCTACCCAGCCTGCGCTTCCGCCACGAGGTTCAGTGCTTTCTCTTGAGCCCCGCAAGCGCAGCAAACTCGAACCATGGAGGTGACGGCACTCTCCTGTCAAGGGAGGCTGATCGGACATGGACAGCCATGTTTGCTGCCGGCCTGCGGCTTTCCGCCGTCCAGCTTCGAGCAGGACCTGAAGATGCAGCCGTAGTGTATCGGAGGCCACTCGGAGACCTATCGCTTCTGAGGCCTGCACTCAAGCAGCCACTCTCCTTGCCGGACAGCTTCGACTCTGCAATCGCTCGCAGCATGCGTCGCGGCCGCCTGAACACTCCAGTGAACCACGTGACATGTGAACCCCTGTCTCTCGCGGAATCTGTCAAAGCGCTTAGGCTTAATCTGCAAGATTACCTGATTAGCTGAGCCTGCTGGGCTAACTCGATGGCGCACTGTGCCTTCTGGGCCAGAACGCTCAAAGCCTGGAAAAAGAAGGTGCGGGATTGCTCACCTCGGCTGCTGAGGAGCTTCCAAACGAGCAGTGTCCAACCAGTGTGGCAATAAAGTTCATGTCGGGTAAAATCGGCGAGTCCTTTGCGCGGCTGTATGCTGCAAGAGCTGGCAAAGAGCCCCGCCAACGAGAATTTCGGATCGGCACAACACGACAAGAAGTTGTTCAGCAACGATGCCAAAACCGCAACATGTGTGCAGCATGATTCCACTGCCAAAGCTCTTTCGCCGGTTTCCGCCTCTCGAAGGATGCCCAGAACCTGGACCAGATCATGTTAATGTGTTCAGTTGTGCTCGCAACTCGCAACACCTGCCTGAGCAAGGTCCACGGCGCTGCGCAGTCGCTCCTCATAGCCTCACAAGACAAGACATGGAAAGAAAGACTCGCTTCTAAATGTCCCTGCATAGCACGAAAGCACAAAGCACGCAAACGGCTAGTTCCAGAAACGGCTAATCGGGCTGCGCAGAGCCCTACCCTGTGCCGGGCTGTCACGCTCATCATCACAGCTTGACGGATTCAGGCAGACTGGGATAAGCGCATGAAGGACTTCGAAGTAATGCGACCTTCGATAATACCCGCAGCTCGTATTTCCCAATCTGGGGATCCAGAGAGGCAAGCACAACGTAAGGCCCGTGGTTTGGCGCAATTTGGAATCACTGCGTCTTGCTCCCTTGATCTGCTGGCATGTTCTTGGGCTTCCCACACTGCAGCTACACATCCTGATAAACCTTCGCAACAACAACCTCCAACGCACAAGGACTGCCAGAGCTCCAAGGTGTTGATGGCTGGGGGCCTTCCTTCACCTACCTTCTTTGGGTAAATGGCTGAAGGACATCTGTTGGGCAGGTCTGAGTGCCACACGCCAATGCTGACGAGGGGCTTGGATGCGAGTTCGAGCCAGACTTATCAGTCTTCTTGGGCATCCTCAGCTAACGCAAGTTCATGCTGCTCGTTCAACCCATCACCCCGCCAACGAACGATGTGACAACGCTTCTTGCAACCACGCTGCTACCGACACCTGCTATGTGGCAGCACGCCACAGTTTCTCGAGCGGCAAGTGGCAAGCGAGTTGGGCACAAGATTGCCGGAGCTCGCAAAGGTTTCATCGAAACAACGTGACTTCTTCCCTGCCCTGATACCACTGGCAGGAAGGTGTTGGTAAATTTGGAAGGCACATGAAGGCACAGAGGGTTAGATCCCATAAATACATCTTGGAAAATCTTTATGACAGATGCAGCTCACGTCGCCGCCCGCAAGCAGTGGTAGCTAATGTCTGGAACTATACTAGCAGCTCTGGCAACTTCTCCCTCATTAATGATAATGACTGCATGTTTGCGTTGGCTACCAAGAGAAAGAACCCAACAAGCTGAATACACTGAACACCAGTATTTGCCTTGCCAGCGTGTCCGGCCCTGGCTGGCATAACAGGAAGCGTCAAGCCAGCCCACGTGCTCTTTTGCAGTGCAGGTGCATAGCACTCGCGCGAACTGTCCTGTCGAAGTCTGCAGAGAGTGTAACAGCGGACATTTCCACGCCACCACACAGATCTACCTTCTCCTGCACGGGTCTCTGGCTGCAAGGCCAGGCGGCCAGCCATTATGCGAGGCCTTGTTGCTGTACACACTGGCGCCTGGTGGCCCGAAGCCGTCAGACGCGGCGCTCGCACTTGTACATGGCCAGCAGTTGCCTCGCATCGGCCACTCGCACCAGCCGTTCCCAAATCACAACCAGAAAGTCATCTCTGCCCAGCTGCTGCAAGTCCAAATCGCTCAGATGCTTGCCTAGATAGCACACACAGCAAGACTGTGAATAGAATAGTTTGCAAGCTCCTTAGGCAACATCCAAAATCCTCCAGGCAGGCGAGTGACGGTTTCCAACCAACATTTTAGCTGACGCTGGAATCGTGTCAAACTCGTCATATACGGGCGCATAGTGCATCAAACTCTCAAAGTCATAAGGTGCATAGCCGGACTCGTTGTCACCAGTGTATGCATTCCTAGCTGCTGGCACCAGGTGCACAAGAGCAAGTCATCGGTGACTACATCCACACCGCAATTAAAAAACTGTCATTGCACTTGCACTTTGCACTTTGCCCGGGGTCGGAGATCACGGTCCGATAGATAAACACGTATACTTTCCACCCTGTGGTGTGTGTGGGCTCGCGTTTGACTTTCTTTGTTTCGGCGGGCATCTGAGCTCGTTCCGTTGCCAGTTTTCGTCCTGACCCTTGCATGTAATCATAAATCCATCTCAACACGGTCAAGACCATCTGCACCATCAATCATTCGAGTTTCGGCTTGCACCAGCAACAGGCCAGATGTTTCCAACATTGTATTCCGCACATGCGGTACTAAATATCATCGAGTTGCATGATAAGGGCGGTGCACCGTCATGCAGCTAAGTTCCTGTTGCTGGGTAAAATCACCCTGTCTACCTGCACCTATCTACCGCGCCTTCAAACTGCCGAGCTATCTCAACAACGGCTCTATCTGCGCGTGTCTGTCTGCATATCTCTGCATAGGCATCATTGGCAACGGTCATGAGCCCGGGGATAGAGAGATGCTTTACATGCGCTCCCGGCTTGGCCGTCCCCGGATGTAACTGGTGAGGGGGTCGGGCGAGCCGCGCGGCAGGATCACATACCCATGTCAGTGTGATATGCAACGCAAGCCCACATTCTGCAAATCTCCCCAGTTGGAACAAGAGACCGCTGCCTGAGTTGAAACCAGAACCACGGCGAAATCTGCAAAGTCCACCGAACGCTTGCAAAATCACAATCACGGGGATTCATGCGCCACAAGCCAACGTGATAATCCGCGCTGAGAAGAGACAAATGGGCGAGCCGGAACTCGGCCAAGATGTTATGGAGGCGGACAGCCAGAGCTGTGATGGCTGGAGAGTGTGACGTGTTTTGCATATTGAGAAAGTGCGCTGCAGCAGTGTCTGCGGCACCAAGGTCTCAAGCGCTAACACTCATGTGTGGTCCTTCGGGCTTGGCACTGTCACGACTTCTTCCGAAAATGTCTTTTTCGGATGCGCTCACTGCCTTCATCGCGAACTGTTAGAGAGCAAGCAAGGCTTGCCGACCTTTGTCGTGAGAGAATTGCCAGCTGTGGTAGCAGGGTGCAGGTTTGGATGGCATCCACAAGAAGTGTTACTTGAATGTCACAGCGGCAACGGCCGATACACCCAGCATATCAGCATGAAACAGGGTATAGCCCAATCAGGCCCTATCCGAAAGACAAGCCTCTAGTCGCAGGCTTCGAAACACAACAGATAGGAAACCCCGATTCTGCACAGCGGGGACACATGCCAATGCTACACATAGTCCACGAAGGAAGGTCTGGCATCCGCTCGTGAGCGCGCATGCACATCTATATCCCAATGGGCAGCGTTGCTGCGAGATGACGTCTGACGGCAATCCAATTTCCAGAGTTCATCAGACTCACATACTGATGTCAGCTGCAGCAAAGAATCGGGTCGACTTCCCACTGATACTCCCAACCAGGCGCGACATTCTCCCACTTCATGACCTTCTAACTGAGCTTGGGAATGCTTCTGTTGCTGGTGAAATCAGGCTCCAGGTAGTCAAGCTACCAAATATGGGCCCTTCCCGAAGTATTTCCTTTGCGAATCTGGACGCTTCTGCTCGTGTTCCATGCCTGCAGCAACCAGCAGCAGTATCACGCAATGCGAGCTTGCCCCGTTCACGACCCACGAATCTCTGTAGAGGACAAGGCTATACTTCTACACCGGGATGGCTTCCCCTCCATCCATCCCTGTTGCAATCGCTCGCCAGCACTACACAACCTCCTCCTCCATCCCGGATCCCAAAGTCACACGGTGGACCTACTGCCAACAAGGTACCGAGCAGGTGTCCTAATTCATGCATCACCGATCCAAGTTCACGGCTGGTACTGCACCAGCCTCGGCACTTTGGGGGCTGCAGTTGTGGGGTGCAGTCTTTCGGGCTACGGCGAATACAACCCAAATACGGTGGCCCGAACTTCTGAAACCTGATAACTGCCAGGACAGGAAGGAATCATCCTCAGCCAAGTTGCCCAGGTTCATCCTGGAGTTGTCAGCAGCGCCAATGAAAGCACTGTAGCCTTTCTGGTATTGAATCTACTGCTACAGTCTTGCATACAGGTGCCGCGAACCTCCGACACAACACCAAGCAGCAAGAGGTGTAGTCATCCACGCCAACAGATGCATACGTCTGATTTGGTGGTTTGGAATGCTCCATGAAAAGTATGCACGTCTTCGACATATAAGCTTGGCAAGCCTCAGCATTCGTGTGATGTGAATCAGGAAAGGGCTGCAAACAGCAATGCTTTACACATTCGTGTCTCTCTCACGGAGCGGCAGCACGGAAGACTTCCTTTCGTCCACCATCCAAGTTCTCATCGAAAACATACGGGACCACAACGTGACTCTTCCACTGTTGCGAAATACCCTCCTGAGATATGGTGCGAGAGTGCCTGTCCCTATCCACCGCATCATGCTAAGTACCCGCTCCCTCTTCTGCAAAGAGATTGACAACAACAAGTCGGGCCATGGTGTACCCGCGAAGCTCGGCAGCTTTTAGAAGAAAACTACCGTGATTTCATTCCGGTACCTGGACCAATGCATCCAATGCCCATTTTAGGGCCCATACAACCGCGCGTCAAACGCCTGATATCTTGCATCTTCAAGCTAAGCATCTCCAGAAAGAGCGGCTGTACGATTCGACCACAAGCCTGCGCCACTTGCGCAGTTGTGCGGCCAGCCTTCCATGAAAGAAAACACTAAAACCAGTCAGCGTTGACAAACACGAACCTACCATGCGGCGCCGATTCTGAAATTTAGTTGGCCTATTAATGGGCCCGATGGTTTGGAACGGGGGCGTGTATCGGGTTGAATTCCTAGTGGGTCCAAAACAAGTTTGAAAGCATCCTCAGGCCAGGAAGGAGCGTTCGGCCAAAAAATGCCAAGAAGCACTTCCGCATCCATCCAGGAAGTGCTTGCACCTCTTGCTGGCTCAAGGCTTCTCGCTGCAGCGCGGGCAACAGGAGCAGGTCCCTCACAGCACGTCGCATGTCGGATGCCGCATGCCATTGCAAGCAGAGCCTTGTGCAATTCAAGGCCTGAGCTTTGCAGGCAGATCCTCCTCCATTTGATCTGCATCCCGCTTCCGTGTCATCAAGGTAACGTACGACCTTTCTTCGGGCAAGCTAAGCATCCATCGTACACATCTGCAACTGCACATAAGGTGAACATTCACCAGTCTAGGAACAAATCGCTTTGCAATATGTTAGTCCGGCTCCTCGGCACACCCCCATCTTCATAGAAGCCTCGATGAAAAGGGAAGTGATGAAAAGAGTCGTGCACGTGGGCTAAAGCCGCAAAGACACCAATGTAGCGGTAAAACTTCACATCACAATTTGAAGGATCCCGAGGACGCAAACGATCGGGATTGAATGCGAAACTCTGCGCCACCTGCAGGAGCAAAGCGGCAACCAAAATTCGATGCACCGGCCAGACAACGAACCACCCTCGCACCGACCAAGTGTATGTCTCACTCCCGGCCAGGCATCATGTCAAAACTTGTTGCCGAAGCTAACCTCAGAAATCCTGCATGTGTGTCGGTGGAAAGCCCATGTTACCATCCGTGCTGCAGTTGTGACCCGCAATGAACCCGAACAACCCAACGACACCCCGACTTGTCCAACCTACTACCAACCTACTACATTCGAACGCAAGGAACGAGCATGCAACATCGTCCACAAGATGTCGTGCAGTTATATAATGATCAACACAAACCACGGGAGCAAGCAACAGCAGCGCGGCGCGGCAGCAGAGGCAACGGCAGCACCATAACCCAAAAAGAACACAAAAAGGAGCAAGTGCGACAGCAGCAGCAGCAGCAGCAGCAGCAGCAGCAGCAGCAGCACCATGCTGTAGCAATTACAACAAAATACAAAGTATAGTAGCAAAACAGCAGAGCGTAGCAGAGCACACAATGCACGCATGACTTGTCAAGGATATCTGGAAACAAACGATGTTTCGTGATGGTCAAGCACGGGATGTATCTGCAATGGAGCTTTCCCGATTAAGTTGCGACGAGGCTTCCACCAACCACCCGCCTTTTCATCCGGCCGGATGATGGCCGCATTCAGAACGCTAGCGCCACATCGGCATTCATCAGCACCGACAATGCCGAAGACGTCCATCCCTGCCAGGAGCTGATGCGGCTGACACAACAGCGTTCGCGCCTATTCTTCCACACGCCTTGTTATGCCTGCTGCGGGGTCCCGGGCGAGAACGGCTATGTTTCATTGCGAAGCTACGGCGGCTAGAGGATGTGCGGCCGGGAAAAACACCACGGCGAGCCCTAGCACGCGTCAGGGAAGATGCGGTGTAAGTTTTGGCACGGGCGCCACAAGTAGGCTGCCGCAGTTCTGTCCGATCTGTGGGCTCCTCAGCGCCTCCTCATTTTTTCAAACGCTGGTGAAAGGGGCGCCGGCCGACCTCGTGCAAAAAGGCTTCTTCAACGAGAAAAACATGGAGCCGTAGCACCAACGAAACAAAGACCACATCGATACGACGGACCCGGATATGGTACAAGCACGCGCTGAAACGGCGCAGTGCTTTGCGAGCTGACACACCTCTGCAGTGGTGGGGAACTACTTTTGTACATCGAGTTAAATTTGGTTCCCCTTCAATAGTTTTCTTCCGAGATTAGTCGCCCGGTGCAACGCTAGGCGCACTGGTGTTGGAAAACCATTGCTGCGGGACTACCTGTCCACCAGATCCGGTTTCGACGATTTTATGCTCCCCAAGCCAGGAGCCCAGCACGAGGGCAAGCCAAGAGGGACCGCCAGCTGCCCCTGCTGCCTCAGCTCGCTCGCGACGCGATTGGTCCTGGCATGTCTTGGCGGTCGGGTCGCGCCGCACCAGTGGCTGTTGCATACAACATTGTTGGCACTCGTCGCTCCAGCGGCTCCCAACTTCAGCAGCGAGGACATCGAGCCGTTCAGGCCCTCCACGGGTGAGCTCCGCGCCTGCGTGCTGCGACAAACGCGACCCCCACCCGTGTCGGCCCGGGGGACGGGCCGACCGGCGCAATTAACTGGGGACACCATGGCCACCACATGCGCTCGGCTTCGCCGAAGCAGCGGGCCGAGCCGGTTGCCATTGCGAGTCTAATTTCATGCAGGCGCCTCCACAATCGAGTGGAAATCATTACAAAAGCACAGGCTGCTACTTACTTACTGTGAAGCGATGCCGCTACTGGCACGGCCCGGAATTTTACCAGGGCTGCAAAACCCGTGCGGCAAGTGATATCCGAATGGATGATCGGAATGCAATGCAGTTCTGTTTTGCGTTACTAGATGTGTCGGCCGAGTTTTCTACCAGGCTTTCTAACCAAAAAAAGCACGCCAGTCTGCAAACTTGGCGGCAGACACTTCAAGCCTGGAGCCCGAAAGGAGGGTAGGTTGCGTTGAGCCGATGGCACCGCGAATTTGCGATAACCCGACTGTGCAAACGGGTTGCCCGTTCGATCAGGCCTTCATAGGCCGGCCTGACGAGGCCGTGATGGCATTGTCAAACGATCGGCACCGTATATCGCTAGGGCTCCGAACGGTGCCGCGGCGGCGAAACTGGATTTTGCCCACTGCGGCATCGGGTCGGCAAGGCGGGCACTGCCGGGATCGTGGGCTGAGTAGCTGAGTGAAAATGCCATGAGCCAGCGGGATCGTGATGCCAGCAGGGTATCTTAACATTGTCCAAGCATAACGACATGCCACGCAACCTTGATGTCGTCAGTGTGCCTGGCTGTTGTTTCGTGCGCACATTTTGCGACAAATATCAGCGCCGTCCGCGTCCGAGTGCACCTGCACGCTACGGCGCTAGACGTAGGTCCGCGCTGGGAGTTGGCTGGCAGCCGGAGTGACAAGCCATCGCTCGTCTTGTAGGACCTCATGCACAGTCGGCTCCCGACAGCCGGCAGCAGAGGCGACAGAGTCGAGAGGCAGTTCGAGCAATGAGCTGGCGAGCGCCCTCTGCGCCGCGACGGCGAGGATGGCACTCCAACACGAAACGTAGGCTCGCGAAGCCGATCGGACTGCAGCGTGCGCTCGCGTAGCTCCCGCTCGCGAAACCAAACGCAAGAAGGCTGCATCCTCGGATCCCCAGCGAGCGTCGCGTGCGAAAGTGCGAGGCCTGGTCGAAAATCAGACCCTGCCGGCGGCTCACCAGAGCGAGTGACAAGCTGACGCAAGTGGTATCGACAGCAAGCTGAGCCCCGTGCCAAAGCCAGGCCGTTGCAAACGATCTCGATCCGGGGACAAAACAATTCATGTCTGCAACGTGCACGTTGCGCCCGACCCACGCACCTGCTTCCTGGCAAACCCGGGCGACCGCTCGCTCGAGTGGGAGGGCTCGAAACGCGAAGGCACCGCAGGCGGCTCGATATTTGCTGAATGGGTCAAGAGCCGCAGCGCATGGCAGCGCCAGGCGAAGGTGGCGGAGGAGGAGGAGGAGCACCCGCAACTCTTCTGCAGCACGGATAGCGACTGCATCACGAGTGGGGCAGACCGTCAGTCGGCGGCAGGGTGGCGAAATGAAATGCGTCTCGAACGCGCGCTGGTCACAAGAGCGGCTAGCCTCGGATGGCCCGGCTCGTCATCGTGCGCAAGCGGCTTAGGGGCATCCTGGGCAGGAACGTGGCAGCCCTGAGCGGCCAGGTGATCAGCAGCGTGCGTAGCTGTGGCAACGACACATGAACCGCTGGCGTGAGGTGCTGCGAGCGCGCGCTGGAGGTGGCTGCGATCTGCGGGGAGCGAGGGCGGATCGCTGTCAGCAGCCAGTCAGCAGCTGCCGGATGCAGCCCTAACCCACCAAATCCCAAAGCAAGCTGCGAGGCCCGCACTGTGGCAGCTCGCAATTCGTCATCGCGGTGCACAATGGAGCTTAAGCAGGTCGCAACAGCCGCGTCGTTGTCCGCAGCGAAGTGGGCCGTCGAAGTTCACGAGCGCATCCGGGAACTGCAGGACGCCTGCCAGCGAGCACTTCGCGAGCATGCGTGCATTGAGCTGCAGTTTAACCGTGGCAAAACTCGCATTTGGAATGCAGCGGGGGAGGAGCCCGCCCGCATCTCCGACCTGCGCGGCCACCGCGAGGAACCCATCTGGACTGGGGCACGCGGCTGGGTACCGACGAGCGGGCAGAGCACGATCGCCTCCCGCATCCCCGAGGTCCCCGACCTGCAGGCGGCGTGGCTGCTGTTGCACTACTGCGCAGTACCCCGGGCCAACATGGGCCAACTACCTCCTGCGGAACGTCCCGGCCGCACTCACAGCCCAGTTCGCTGCGGACTTCGACGCCGCCCCACAGCGGTGATCAGCTCCCAGCTGCTGCAGTACGGACCTCGCAGCTTGCCCTTGGGTTCGGCGGCCCCGGGCTGCGCTCGGCAACCGCCGACCGCTTTGCCGCGTACTGGGCCTCTTGGCTCGATGCGCTGCCAGCAATCCGAGCTCGCTCTCCGCAGATCGCCGACCACCTCCTGCATGCGCTCGCCGCACCCCATGCCAGTGGCTCCCTTGCCGTCGCATTTCGCCACCTTGCCTTCCGCGTCCCGAGCGCTGCTGCTGTCCCAGGCCGGGCCACATGCCGCCTGCTTCTTTACAGTCCGCCCGACTCACGAAGCAGTCACCATCCCGCCCGCAGAGTTCCGGGTACTTATCCTCCGCCGCCTGCGCTTAGCGCTGCCGCTCGCGCCCCGGCTCTGCTCCTGCCGTGGTTTGCTTGACCCGCTCGGTGACCACCGTGCAGCCTGTGCGACCTCCGGGGCCCTTGCCTCCCGTGCTCTCCCGCTTGAGCGAGCTGTCGCTCGGGTTTGCCAAGTGGCCGGCGCTCGCGCCGCCCGCAACGTGCGCCTTGCAGACATGAACCTCTCCACCCCAGTGCCCGACGCGCGCCGGATAGAGATCGTCTGCAACGGCTTGCCTCTTTGGCATGGGGCTCAGCTATAGCAGTTGACACAGGTCCTGTGTCAGCCCAGTCACTCGCTCCGGCGAGCCGCGGCCAGGAGCTGATGGTCAACCAGGCCTCGCCCTACAGCAAGCCACGAGGCGTAAGCGACGCGACACGTACCTCGAGCTTGCGCGCTCGCTGCGCTGCCACCTCGTGGTGTTCGCTGTCGAGGTTGGCGGCCGCTGGGGCCCCGAGCCCGCGACTTTCCTCAGGCTCCTCGCACGGGCGCGAGCTGGGCGTGCGCACGCTGCCGTTCGGTCGGCTCTGGGTGCCGCCTATGTGTCTCGCTGGAGCAGCATCATCGCCGTCGCAGCGCAGAGGATCGCAGAGGGCCCTCGCCGGCTCCTTGCTGGAGCTCCCTCTCGACACCGTCGCCTCTGCTGCCGGCGAGCCGGCTGTGCATGAGGTCTTGCAGGACGAGCGCTGGCTGTACGCCCCTGCGCTCAGCCGGCTCCCGCTGCGGGCCTACGCTGACGCCGCCACGTAGACTGCAGGTGCACAGGGACCGCACTCGTACTGGTCACAAAAAGTGTGCGTGAAAAAGAAAAGTGGGCCGTGAGTGCAGGCTGCACGTTGCGTGAGATGTATACTTGACAGGGCGGCTTGTTTAGTAAGTAGATAGCAGACATGTGTAAGATAGGTATATCGAGCAAGTGCACTTATTAACTTGACTATGTTGCACTTAAGCAGGATATAAGTATACCAAGTTGGACTGGGGAAATGGATAACATAGTAACTACATAGCGGCTTTTGATAAACACATAATATGTTCAGTATGTATTTAGGTGAGATGCAAGACATATTATGCTAAGTCCAGACCAAGAAGTTAGCCGACTTAGGTCGGGAAGCTAAGTAACATAGCTAAGTTGAGCAAACCGACTTAGCAAGTTGTAAAAACACTGCAAAACCAGGTCTTGTGCTCGCTGGCAGCACGTTTATACGTGTGCTTCAGCAGGGCACTTTGTATTTCTCCTCGTTTTCAGATGATGTATATATATATACACGGTTGAAACATGAAATTAATGTGTCGAAATTTGTTGTTGTTGGTTCGACTCTGTTTTGTGTGCTCGCTGGCAGCATATATATGCGCCTAGCAGGGCAGTGTTGCTGTTGATGTTTGTTGGTTGAAAATTCTGCAATGTTGACATTCTGCATATGGAAAAGCGAAGGACTTGCATGCCGTGCATTCGAGTCGAT